CCATTTAAATACATATATATTAAAAAGCCAGCATGACCTTGTGAGAATTGTAGAAATGTGGACTATGGCAACAGTGTGCATTTTCTTTTCTTAAATATGTCTTTTATTGATTTTCTTCTTTTAGAGAGAAACATCGATGAGAGAGAAACATCCATTGGCTGCCTCCTGCACGCCCCCTACTGGGGATCAAGCCCTCAACCCAGGCATGTGCCCCGACTGGGAACCTCTCAGTCCATGGAACACGCTCAATCCACTGAGCCACACCGGCCTGGAAGGTTGAGGTTGCCCTGTGATTGGTGCAGGGACTATTGCGCTCACTGCTTCCCCACTGGTGGCGAAGGACTGGTGTCTTGTTAGCTGGAAGCTTGCAGTGTGGGCCAGTACTGTACGAAGATCAGGGGTGTGGTCTGATGGGTGGATCCGAGCATCCGAGGGGAGGGGAGGGGAGGGGAGGGCGTTTTTGTTTTTGATGCTGTTGGGTCTTAACTCTGTGTCCAGCTTGCAGATGCTGGGCTTGGGGCTCTAAATTGTTTCTCCTTTGTTGGCTGGCATCTTACGTTCTCCCAGTAGGGGGCATGAGAGGGAGGCTGGAAGGTGAGAGTTGGGGACTAGGATCTTCCCCTTCCTGGGGACTGGGTGGGGCACTTCTGCTCCCTCAGGCACCAGCCCAGTCAGAGACGCAGGTCCTTGTTGCATTCTGCCTCTTTGCTCCTTGCAACTGGCGTAAGGCACGTCGTGGAGATGGAACTGCCCACCTTCGGGGGGTATTGTTCTATAGCTATCAGATCTGTACTTTTTCCAGATGGGGAAGGAATATCAAAAGATAAATAGCCATGGGTTCATTCCCGTCATGGAATATTATTCAGTCATTTGTAAAATATTTTGTGAAATAAAATATAAATAAGTTACGTAATCTGTTCAGGTGGAAACTAGAGACATGGGAAGAGATCTGACCCCAGCATCTTGGAAGCACGTGCGTCAGACAGTCTCCCTCGCCTCACGTCCTGCACCTGATGCCTTGCGCTGGCCCGCTGCCCTCCCTTCCCCCATGCTGCCCTCGGGTTTCTCAGAGACTCGTGGGAGATCTGTCCAGTCTTGGCCTGGACCTCCTGCCTGCCCCAGGGGCTCCAGAACTGAAAGCCCTGACTTGGCAGTCCTGGTGGGCAGCTGCTGCCAACTGGTCGGCCCTCTTGGGCAGCTCTGGGGAGGAAAGTTGTGTCTCCCCAACTTGTGAATGACACAAGGCAACTTAGTTTAAGATGGCAAGAAAGGCGTGGCTTGCGCTGGCTTTTGCTTTCTCTGAAGCACTCCCGTCAAGCCTGGGCAGGGCGACGGTCCCCTTTCCCCCATAACTCCTGCCCCCCTGGGTCTGCAGTTGTGACCCTGAGGTCTCCTGGGTTCCCCGGTGCAGTGGGGCGCCCTTGGCTGTGAGGTCCAGCAGTAAAGCAGATGCACTGTATTTTCGTTGCGATGGCTCCTCGTACAATAACTGATGTGTGTGCTTTGTTGAAAGAAAGTCACCCCAGAAGCGTATTGATTCTTCCTCACACCTATTTTGAGTTAAGCACTTTTTGTGGCTTGCAGGTCCTCCCAGACTCCCAGACCTTCCCCTGGGGCCCAAGCCAAAAGCAGCACGAACCCCTGTGGGAGCCCGGGGTGGGGGTCGGGGTGGGGGTGGGGCTGCAGTCGCCGTGCGTGGTGCAAATGCTCAGCTCTCTTGCTCTCGCAGGTGGACCAGGCTGGACTGGTCCCCGTGCCCTGGGGAAGAATCTGGTTGGGGAGTGTGAAAAAAATAGGTGTTGCTTGCTTGTATTTTGACAGAGTATATTGAGAATCATACTAGAAAAATAGGAATGGAAAATGAGGAAGAAATGAGAGTCGAAGTGGGTGGTTTCAGAACAGATGGGTGTGTGTTCAGCCTTTGCAGAGACAGAGGGCAGCCGAGGACACTGTTCCTGTTCCTGGGGTGGGTGGGGGCACACGGTGCTGTATCTGGGAGTAAGTAAGGTTGGGCACATTACTGAGGCTGTGTGTGTGTGACTGTGGGAGGGAGAGAGAGAGAGTAAGGAGAAGAGGGCAATTTGGTCTGTCCTTGACCTGTGCTCTCTGGTGTGAGGTAATATCCTGCGGGTCCCCCTCTCCTCCCCTCCGCCCCCCTGAGCCCGAGCAGCATGCTCATGATGTACCCTGAGCTTTCTTCAGGGACCACGTTCCCCTGCCCTTCCTGGTCCCAGAGCTGAGATGCAACACGATGCCATAGGAAGACTGGTCTGGGACCCTGCAGGTTCCCGACAGGATCTCTGTCACCAGCTTGGGGGCACGCTCTTGCACTGTTGCTTTCTAGATTTTGGACTAGCAAGGAGTCTTCATTCCTCCCTGTTGACCGTGACCAACCTCCCCTGGTTTACAAGAGTTCTAGGGGCCAGTCCTCCCACAGCCGGACTGAGAGACCTGACAGGTGTGCACACTGAGTGGCCGTGGTGGCCACAGGTGTCACTGTTGTAAGGGTCTCCCCATAGTCCGTGGGCCTGGGGTACCTGTGCAGGGTGTCATGGCACCCCACTTGGGCGCCCTAAAACTGTTCCTCTTGGCATCACATGTTCAGCCTTCGTTCCGCAGATCTGGATGTCCACCAGGGTCCCTCAGTCCTTAGGGGCTTCTGTCCCCCCGGAGGGACCCTGTCCTCGTGAACCTTTAGATTCTGGACTTGAATCAGCCTGCAGGTCCTGTCTCTCCCCATCGAGTCCCCTTAGGGCCTTTCCTGCTGTGAGCCTGCTTCCTGCTTCCCTGCCTTCATCCTGGGTTTCTGAGCCCCTCGGTCACCCACACCCTGGATCTGGGAGAGGGGCTCTCCGCTGACTGCACACAGCTAGCCCAGGGTCTCGCCTGTCCCCTGGACCCGGGAGAGGGGCTCTCTGCTGACTGCACACAGCTAGCCCAGGGTCTCGCCTGTCCCCTGGACCCGGGAGAGGGGCTCTCCGCTGACCGCACACAGCTAACCCAGGGTCTCGTCTGTCCCCTGGGGAAGCTGACCGCACACAGCTAACCCAGGGTCTCGTCTGTCCCCTGGGGAAGCTGACCGCACACAGGTAACCCAGGGTCTCGTCTGTCCCCTGGGGAAGCTGACCGCACACAGCTAACCCAGGGTCTCGTCTGTCCCCTGGGGAAGCTGACCGCACACAGCTAACCCAGGGTCTCGTCTGCCCCTGGGGAAGCTGCTGGTTTCCCACTCACAGTCACGGGGGGCTGGTCGGAGATGGTGCCATAGTAATGAGCATCTCTTCTGTCTTCAGCCCAGGCTCCAATTCTCTCACTTGACATTAGAACACTTTAAAATATTTAAAAATATATACTAAGAACTATAAAAAGAAGATGGATCCTCTTAACGTTGACAGTAGGGGGAACCACAGGGTGGATGGTGTCGGCTGCCACCCCTGGGCCTGTGGGTGGCCCAGTCTGCTAGGAGCTTATCTGAATGGCTTTGAATTACTTTGAAAGGAAGGATTTTGAGTCCTTTGGAGAGGCAGCAGAGGGGAGGGGCTAACTCCAGCGAATCCCACTGCCCCTTGCTGAGTCCGTGGTTTGGTCATGCTGCTGAACCACACGCTGTGCTTCAGTTTCCTCATCTGAAAGGGGGTCACACACACTGTCTGCCTCACAGGTGCTGTGAGGAGCGGATGTCCTGTGTGTGACTGGTGGTGCCTGGCAAGCAACGCGCAATAAAACCAATGAGGGCCACTGGTGAGGGGCCGCCACATCCCTGGGCTCGGCCCCGCGAGGGCCGCTGGGAACAGTCTTTCAGCCCACCTCCTCCCTCTGCCGGGACCTTGGACTTCACAGGCTAGGACGCTCTGCAAGGGCCCCACCGGGCACTCGCCTGCATCGCGAGTGTCCTCCAGCAGAGGCTCGTGCAGAACTGCTAGTCCGCTCTCCCCTCCCAACACTCCGGGTGCTGAAAACAGTCTTTAAAAGTGGCTCGGTGGATTAAGTGTCGTCCCATGGACTGGGGGTCCCGGTTCGATTCCGGGTCAGAGCACATGCCCAGGTTGTGGGCTACATCCCTGGGGAGGAGGGCACAGGCAGGAGGCAGCCAGTCGATGTTTGTCTCATTGATGTTGATCTCTTCTAAAAAAATATTTTTCAAGACGTGTAAACCTAACTAATTATGAGTTCAAAAGACTTCACTGAATTAAGTGACCACTGGTGGGAACCGGGCAAATCTTCCATTCAGCTGAGCTTTTCACAGCTTGGCCTTGGCTGCGTTGTCAGGAGAGGCCTTGGGGGATTGAGTGAGGTGGCTTCTAAGTTTGAGTGTTTGTAGCATATTTATGTGCTCATGGGAGTCAGTGTATTTGTACATGTTAACTCATCGTCTGTAGAGAAAGCAGCAATTGAAAAAGTAACTGGATCTTGGCCTGTGGGTGGTTCTGTGGAACAAACAACGTGACTGAGGGTCCTACAGAGGAGGCCAGGTTCCCGCTGGTTGGCTGTAGCTAGTGCTTCTGGGCCGGGCTTTTTTTTTTAATCCTCACCCAAGGACATTTTTCCATTTTTTGTTCAGATAGAGTAGGAGGGAGAGCGAGGAAGAGAGAGAGAAATATCGAAGTGAAAGGGACACATTGAGTGGCTGCCACCCACACGACCAACCAGGGCTGGGGACAAACTGCAACTGAGGTACATGCCCTTAGCGGGAACCGAACCCGGGTCTCTCTGGACTGTGGGCTGACGCTCTAACCGCGAAGCCAAACTGGCCAGGGCTTGGGCTGGGCTTTTATTCCAGCGTCTGTCTCCATCCCTTCCAGCACTGAGGTGGCAGAGGTGGAACCCCATGTGATTCCAGGCCCCCTGCACCGTCGCTCCATCTGCAAATGCTCCTCCCCCTTGGTCCCCCTCCTGGCAGATGTGACATGAGCACCCAAGCTGTCCTTCAGGCCAGACACCAGGGCAGGCCCAGTCTAGGTTACCTTTGGTCCCAAGCACACGGCACAGGCTGGCCCGGGGAGGTGCTCACTGAATGTTTATTGAATAAAGGCCAAGAAGAGGTCACCAGAGCGCGCTCAGAAGGTGAAGAGCAGCCCTCTGGAAATAAAGAATATTCTTCGTAGGAGCCCGTTCAAAACTAGCCTAAGGCACACGGCTGGTGGTCACCTTTGGTCAGGAGGCAAGGTGGGCTTGCTGCTGGAATCCCTCCTCTCCCCTCGGGGTGAGGATGCAGAGTGAGGCCCTGGGTGGCTCCCCCAGCTCGTCCTCCAGCACCCAGGCTGCCCGAGTTCCTCCCTGTCTCCGCGGGATGGTCACTGCTGCTCCCGGGCTCACACCAGCGGGATGGGGTAGGAGGCACAGGCGGCCAGCCCGCACATGTTCTTCCCACGCTCGATGAGGAAGTACCTGGGCGGGGGAGAGGGCCGAGGCTTGGCAGGTGGGTCCTCACCGCACACCTTTTTGGTGTGTGGCTGCTCACCGGGATCTGGCTGCAGGGACTCGCTCCCTGGGTTTATTGACATAATAGTGGCATTGGGCTTGTTCATCTCTAGGAAATCACTGACGTGACTGTGAACTTGATCCATTTCTCACTTCAGAATTTCCTGGAGGTTCCCAGAAGCCCTCCTGAGCCCTCGGGTAGGTATTTGATCACCACTGGGTGTCGCTCCCTGCCCCCCGCCCCTCCGAAAAAAGCAAGGACATGGAGTCTGGGAGGAGACACACAGACAAAGCCACCTCATGATACGAGCCCCGGCCACCTGGTTCCAGCCCCATTCTCCCCCAAACTGACCCTCCCAGACGCTGGCCGTCTGTTTTCTCAGCGGCAACTGCAGGTCCCGTGGAGCCACGCAGACTCCTGTTCTGACCGAATGCTAACTTTGGGGCCCAGGACAGGAGAGGGGCTGCTGGGGGCTTCTATCCGGAGGTCATGCTCACCCACACCTTACCCACCCAGCACCGGGCCCTGGGCACCGCTTACCCGTCCATCCCCCACTGGGGGCCCCAGGAGTTCTTCACGATCCAGTAGGGTCTCCCGTTCTCCTCTCCGTAGCCAACAGCCAGCACCGCGTGGTTCACTTTGTCCGGAGTGTTATGGCAGGAAGTGCTGGAAGGCAAGCGGAATGGTCTGAAGACGGGGACAGACTGGGAGTCGGTCACATCCGACGTCCCGTGCTTCGCGCAGTGTCCGGAAGGGAGGCTTCGGGGTGCAGGGACGCTCCTTCACTCAGGGTATGGGGGAGCCTCCTCTCAGCTGTGCTCCCGGGACTGACCTCTCCCTTCTCCGTGTCAGGACTGAGGTGCCAGCCAAGGTGGGCGTGGAGGAAGGGTCTCACCTGGAGTAGATGCCCTTCCTGTACAGCATGAAGTCGTTAGTCACCTCGAAGGCAAAGCTCACGGGGTTGTACAGGGCTACGGCCTCCACCATGGCCTCCTCGTCGTTCTGTGGACAGATGGAGAGTGGGGCCCACACACGGACTCGCCCCCCCACCCCACCTTCGAATGTGGCTCTTTGCCCCAAGGTTTGCCCAAGGTCAAGGAGCAGCCGCCCTCACAGCAGATGCTGGGGGAAATATGGGGCCCCTACCCTCTTATGCCTGCATGGCTGGGACCCTCTGGGGTTTCCTATTTGGCTTCTTCTCAAACCCTGGCCCCTGGGACCTCCCTCCCTTGACTGGGCTGGTCTGTCGGGTCACCCTGCACCTTTGGGATAGGGACCTACTCAGTCACTCAGAACCATCATGAGCCAGAGATGGGTGACCCCCCACTCCACCCCTGGACCCCGAAACCCACAAAGCCGGGCTAAGGAGTGTTCATGGTCGAACACACAGTGAGGAGCCCACAAGCAGATGAGGCCTCGCTGGTGGTGGGCACACGAGGGGACCCAGCAAGGGCTGTGCGTCGGGGGAGGGCTTCCCCTCCGGCCAGGGAAGGCGGCACCAGGAAGGCGGAGGCTTTGGTCCAGGGCTTCGGCCCAGGTGAGAGTAGCCACTGAAACCACCGGGGTATTTTATAAAGTCCCGGGGCCCAGGCTGCATTCCTGAGAGTGGCATCAGCGTTTCTAGGGTGGCTTCAGGACTTTCTGAAGGCCTCTTGGCCGGTGAGCTAAGGAGGCTGTTTGTTCCCCTGGCTGAGGAGTGTGGGGAGGGGACCTGAGGGCGGGGCCAGGTGGGCTGAGGCCAGGCCTCTGCTGAAGGGAAGGGGGTGCTGGAGGGGACAGGCGCCCAGCCTGCCCTCCGTCCTGCCTCCCTGGAGGGCTGGGCAGAGACCCAGCTGCATAAAGCACACAGCCGAGTTCACAAAAGCCCTGTGAGCCCAGACAGGCCGACTGGCGCAGGGAACGCAGGAGGCCAGTCCTGCAGCCCTGTCGGGGCCCTGCCAGAGGGGGCTGGGCACCAGTTCCGGCCAGTCCTCGAGGCCCTGTGGCCACTGGCCAGGCTGTCCTGGGAACCAGGTGAAAGGGATCCCTTGAGCCCGGATTCACCTCCTAGGATATAAACGGCCTGAGCCTGCCAGGCCCTGTGGCTGTGTCTCGGGGAAACAGGCTTTCTGCAGATCACATCATCACAAACATCCTGTTATGCACAGGGTGTGGGAGCTGACCACCCCTCAAATCCAGCTTCCTCAGGGGGCCTCTGCAAGCGACTCAGCCTCCGAACCTGTTCCCCTGATCTCCCAGGGCTGTGCCGTCAGAAGGAGGTGCCTGTTCCCTGACCGGCACTGCCCTGACCAGTGTGCCAACCGTGCTGGCCGCTGCTGGGCGCTGGGCACGCTCCAGCCACGCGGCAGCTCTGCCACGGCCCAGACGGGCCGCCTACACCTGTGGGCACGCGTGTGCTCGGCCTCACACCCGCACACCCCGTGGTGACGTTCTCACCCTTCACACACATCCTCACACACCCCGGAGTCTCGGGGGCTGCTCACTGCAGCTCACCTGGAGGCACCGGACGCCTGCTCGTCCCCACCCACCTGGGCGGAGGCCCGACTGTGACTCTGGCGGTCGTGAGTGACCCCTCTCCCTCTGCCGGTCCCGGCCCGGCCCTGCCTAAGCTGAGGGACAGGTCCCAGGAGAGAGGCTGACGCTGTTTGCAGCCCTTCAGGTTTGGCGGCCACCGCGCCATGACATCTGCCCTCAGACGTGCCCACGGGACGTCTCTCTCACACCCTCCCGCAGGGTGGGCACTACTGCCTGCGTTTTAGACAAGAAAGTGGAAACTCAGGCGTGACGACTTGGGCAGACCCAGGCCAGAGCTCCTTCCCCCTTGGGATGGAGTCGCCATGGATCGAGGGACAAGGCCACCCTGCCGCTGCGTCGGAGAAAGGTCGGTACTCACGAGGGTGATGTTCACCACGTCCTTGACAAAGGCGATGGCCTTTTCCGGCTGGAACTTACACTTGCCATCCTGTCGGGGGGCGGGGGGGAAGGTCAGGGCGCACAGGTGAGGGCGCCCAGCTCCGGCTGAGACGTCCGGCCTCCCCGGCGCAGTCAGATAGCGTCTGTGACGCTAACACGGCGTGAGCCCGGGCCTGGTGATGGGGTCAGTTCAGAGCACGTGAGCGGCACCCCTTCTCCAGGAGCTCACAGTCCAGTGGCAGATGGTCCTGCCCTGGCCACGGCGGAGGGGCCGGCAAGGCGCTCGGTGGGATGGCGCCCCGGAGGAGCTGGGAGGCCGGGCTCAGTCCAGGAGCTCAGGAAGCAGACAGAGGAGGTCACACAGAGAGGTCGGAGGACGAAGCAGACAGAGGAGGTCACGCAGAGAGGTCGGAGGACGAAGCAGACAGAGGAGGTCGCGCAGGGAGGTCGGAGGACGAAGCAGACAGAGGAGGTCACGCAGAGGTCGGAGGACGAGAGGCAGGCCTAGAACCAGTGTTGAGGAACCGGCGTGTGGTTGGGGGAGGACAGTGGTTGGGAAGGAACAGGAAAGGCTGGTGGGCACGGAGGGGCAGGCCAGACTGCAGACTTCATCTTGCAGCCCTGAGGAGTCTCTGAAGACTCCAAGCAGCAGGGAGTCAGCGGGTCTGAGCGGCCACGCTGGTAGCCCCAGTGGACAGCGGCCAAGGGGAGGCGGCCCTCAGTGACCGAGGATGAAGGAGGCCAGGTCTGAGTGGGGGCAGGGACCCGGATGGGGCAAGGGAGCAGGTGAGGGGTCTGCGGTGCCAGAAGGCAGACCGGAGTGAGGCTCTGGGTGGGGGTGGGGGACCGTCCCCAGAACAGACCACTAGTGCCCCATGGGTTGGGGGGCTGTGCCGCTCGCCCCTGAAGGGCGACACAGGCGGAACCACAGGCTTGGCTGGGCTGGGCTGATGGCAGGTGGCCCCTGGCACAGCCTTGGGCTCAGTGGTGTGGGCCCAGGGAGCACCCTGGGCATGCGTCTCACTGTGCGGACACGCTGCTGATGGGCGACAGCGTGGCAGGAGGGGAGCAGCGGGGTGGGGTGCAGCAGAGGGGGGTGGGCCGGCACAGAGGGCAGAAGAGGCCCGGGAGCAGAGGAGGTGGAGGAGCGGACCTGCAGAGGCAGAGATGCTGAGGTTCCTGCGAGAGGGGCAGCCATGCGCCTGAGGGAGGTGGGCAGGGGTGTGTTCTGGGGCCCGGGGTGGGCACGTGAATGGGGCGGGGGCGCCCCGAATTACCTTGCCCTTGTAGGGGTAGGTGTCCTCACCCATGATGCCCTTGTTGTAGTGGATGTACTCGAAGGCCTGGCTGGGGAGCCCCCTGCAAGAAGCACACACAGAGGTGCCACCTGGGCTGCCGGGCAGGTGGCTGGAGCTAGGGAACTGGCCCCGCCAGGGCCGGGCATGTGCCCGAGGCAGAGGGTGGTCTGGGGTCACAGTTCTGCCTGAGGGACCTTGGGCACTTGCGGTGACCTTCCCCTCCATGACATGGGGCCGCTTTTGCTTCCACCCAGGGCAGAGGATGAGGCTGGGGCTGGGGCTGTGCCCGGCACACCCCGGGTCCCACGGAAGCAATCGACGGGAAACGAGGGGCCTCCGGCCCTCCTGTCAGGCACGTACCCTTGGCAGCCGTGGTTGTTGAAGTTCTGGGCACAGTCCACCAGCTGCTGTTCCGCCTACAGGAGCGAACACAAGCCCGTGAGCTGGGCCACACCCGTGGCCGATCGGCCTGGGTCGAGATGGCAGAGAGTAAGCTCCCCCAGGGCAGGGACCGTCCTGTGCCGTGTGAAGTGGCAGGTGACAGGTGTGGGTGGCCCTGCTCATCCGGCACCTTGCTGTCAGTGTGCAGGTGCGTGAGGTCATGGGTCCCGTGGTGCACGGGCACAGGGCACAGGGTGGGGACAGGCCTCGCCACAGACCCAGCTCCTGCCTCCCCCACGTTGGCTTCTCGGCCCTCGTCCCACACAGGACGCAGGGGCTGGGCACGTCCCTCAGAGGTTCTCGCTCCCCCTGGGGTGTCGGCTTGAATACCCGGCTCGTCCCTGTAGGAACTACCTGGGCATCAGCAGCTAAAGCCCTAAAGCCCTAAAGGCCCTGGCCCAGCCTCCCCGTCAGGCCTCAGGGCAAACTGTGACCCCTGCAGGAGGTGGGTGACCCCCGCCCCATGGCCAGGAGCTCACCAAAGACAGCATCTTCCCCGTTTTGATGGCGATCGCGGACTCCAGGGCCCCCGTGGTGGAGAAGGTCCAGCAACTGCCACAGCTGCCCTAGAAGGGGTCAGGGGGTCCGTAACCGGGCAGCGCGAGACAGCCCCCAGCACCCCAGGCTCCCAACCACCCTGGTCCACTCTGACCCTCAAGCTGAGATCAGCAGCCTCCTCCCACATTACAGAGGAGGGACGGAGGCTGCCCGGCGCCCGAGCACGCTCAGTGCTGGCCTCCTGCTGGCCGATGCCCTCTGTCCGCGAGGGCCGGCCCCTCCTGTGGCCTCCGGCTCTCCTGCTTCTGAATCCCGTGCTGACTCTCCTTCCCCCCGTTTCCCGGCAGAAGGACTTCACCTTTCCACCTGCCATCTCATTCCACCCACAGCCCTAACTTCAACCGCTCCCCAAACCCTACCTCAGGCTGACCACCCAGGCCCAGCTGTCCTGTCTCCCAGATGACCCCACCAGATGCCCAGACGCCTGGCTACCCGTCCTGGCCCATCGTCACCCCAGCAGATGCTGCCCGGCCTCCTTGCTGACAGCACCTGCTTCCGCCCAGCCGTGTGCCCAGGGCAGTGACGTCCCCTTCCCAGCCCCGTTGCGTCACTTGTGCAGCGGAAGGACAGGGCTTGCCTCACAGGGCTGTTGGGGCTGATGAGGGCCTGCCCAGCGGTTCCCCTTGGGCTCACAGTGTTGCTCCTGCCCCACCCTCGTCTCTCTCCCCATGTTCTCTTCCGAAGCGTCTTCAGAGACTCCCTCCTGTCCACGTCCTTGCCCTAGTCGGGTCCCCACCGCTTGTCTCCACGCTGGACCCCCAGCCTCTTCCTCCCCAGTCCTTCTCTCAGCAAAGAGGGGCCCTGGTCAGAGGGACCCAGAGGGTCCGGGCCCGTCGAGGAGGTGCTTGGCCCGAGCACCGGCCCTGAGCACAGGCCCTGTCACTTGCTTACACTGGACCTGAGCAGCCGCCTGCCCTCAGCTTCCTCCTCTGGAAAGTGACCAGCCCTCCGGGGGCCGATGAGCTATCATGAGGTCCTGTGGCTCCGTCTGGAACCGCACGGCGGCCGCCACGAGACGCCACCCACGCCCACAAGAAACTGGCACCAGCCTGTTCCAGCCCCACGGCCCAGGCGGCCCGTTGCTGCCCGACAGCCACGTACAGTCAATGTGAGGACCTGGAACATCCCGGACACACGCCCCCCCCTCAGCTGCCTGGATGGTGAGCAGGCCCCACACGGAACTCGCGTCGATCTGAACTGGGGTGGGCTCTGCGGCGGGGCGTGCGGGGATCTGCCTGTGTTCTGCCCCACGGGCTGCTGGGAGGGGCGCTCGCCTTGGCTCTGGGGGCCATTTAAGCGTCCAGGTCCCTAAGCGGGATCCAGGACCCCAGGGGCCTGGGAGGATCTGAAGCTGTGCCGTGTGGCTTTCAGGACGAGGGGAGAACATAGCTCATGGAGCTTCCACAGGAAGCCGCGTGTTTCCGGGAGGGAAGCCTTCACCTGGGATTTCCTGGGGTTGAGGGGTCGGCATCTTTCCGAAGAAGTGACTGCACTGTCACTTCTAGGGGAGGGTCCCCACAGGCAGAGAGGACAGCAGGGGGTGAGGTCTGAGTCTCCAGAGCAGCTTCTGTGGACTCCCCAGCCCACAGCCGGTCCTCAGCTCTGAGTGCGGAAGGCATGGTGCCCAGCAGGGGGCGCCCTTCCCCACCGAGGGTGGCCTCCTGTTGGGGCTGCGGGTGTCTGAGATGCTGGGTGTCATTCTGTTGACTGATCCCCTGCAACTATCTAGCAGGAAGCAGCCGGGGAGGGGCTGGATGTGATGCCCTGCGACAGGGTAGGAATGGGGTCCTGCTGTCTAATATCTTTGGGGCCCAGAGAACATGACGTGATGGAGGACTCGAGACCAGGGACCAATGGGGACTGTGCCGTGGGCGGGGCTGGTGTGAACTTCAGCCCAATGAGGAAGCACTTTTTCATCCTAAAGAACAGTCCATAGAAATACAACCAAGAGGTCGCTGGTTCGATTCCCAGTCGGGGCACATGTCCAGGTTGTGGGCCTGATCCCCAGTAGGGGGCGTGCAGGAGGCGGCCAATGATGTTTCTATCTCTCTCTCCTTCTCCCTACCTCTCTCTCTAAATATCAATAAAGAAAAAAAAGTTAAAAAAAAAAAAAGAACGTGAGTATTTTTCGGGGGAAGGGTGGGGGTTTGGCAGGCGTACCTGATTCTTCACTGGCGAGACAAAATGCCCACTCTTCCTCCAGTCCACAAAGCGTGGGTAGGGACCCCTGCCCCGCAGGTAGTTACTTTTGGTGGCTGAGCAATTCTGGAACAACAAATATAATTTTTTTTTTTCGGTGGGAAAAAGAACCTGCCTCACAGAAATGTGTCATTAAAATGGAATCACCGAGAGGCAGAGCGAAGCCGCCAGAACCTCCGGCCCCCACGTACCGGCCGCAGATCCGACAGGCTCCCTCCCAGAGCCCACGCTCGCCAGACTCGTGAGTAAGATACAGTTCACCCAGTGAAATCTGAATTTCAGGTAAGTGAAAAATAACGTTGCGGTCTAAGTATGTCCCATGCAAGGTTTATAGGATACACTGATGCTAAAATAGTATCGGTTTTTAAAATCTGAAATTGTATATTATCTGGCCACCCGAGGCCGAGAACACAGCTGAGTTGCTGCTGGGAGCTGACCTCTCTGGCTCCCCCAGCCCCCGAGGCACCCCAGCTGCGGCCGGGGCTGGGGCTGCATCTGCCTGGAAGCAGAGCAGGCGTGAGGTTCTTCCCAAGGCCTGAGCGAGAAGATTCAGGGGTGACCACAATGACTGACACCCACCTGAGGCTCCGACCAAAGATACTTGTGTTTAAATTCAGCAAATGTCATGTCTGAAAATTGGTTGACTCCCACTGAAAAAAGAGAAGGAAAAACAAAAACCAAAATGAAGAAAGAAAAGGGCTCTCAGTCAATCACTAAAAAGGAACAGAAAAGACTGAAACCCCGTGTCCACTTGTGACACCCTGGCTGCTTGCTGTACATGTTTCAGCGCCGTCATTCAGTGCACCAGGGTCAAGCCCGGCTGTGCCGCAGAACTGCGGGGGAAGCCGCATCCCAGACAGGCAGGTGCAGTGGGCCTGGGGCGGGGCCTGGGCACCCACTCTCCCAGATTACTGGTGAGTCTGATGGACTCCCAGGTACAGAACCACTGTACCTGCGCCAGGTGCCTCCCACCGGCTACCTCAGTTTCATCTCCACTCTATGGCCGAGTAACATTTCCGAGACCTAACCCTGCCCCAGGCCACACAGCCAGTCAGTACTGGGCAGAAGTAAGATCCAAACTCGGGCTTCCTTGCAGCTCCTGCCTGTCGCCCACATCACCAACACTGCCTTCATTCGGCGTCCTTGGTGGATACTCTGCACACGAGTTTCTAGTGCCGCTGACCCGGAGGGCAGGTGGGTGTCCCTCGAGGCTGCTCTGAGGAGGGCCTGCACCCACAGCACTGCAGGGGCTCGGCCTCCGGGCAGCACCCTGAGATCGCAGGAGCAGGCAGGAGGTCTCACAAAGTCTGGAAATGCCACAACCACCCAGCATGGCCCTAAATCTACAGCCCCTTGGATCTCCTAGAAACTAACAGCACAGCGGGCTCTGAGCCAGCCAAGGGCAGCTGCGGAGGCTGGGCCTCCCCGCTCCTCCCTGAGCCCCCCGTGGGGCCTTGAATGAGAGGGTGTCACTAATTGGTTTCCTCCCAGCACGAGAAGCTCCCTCCCCGTGTCCCCTGCAGCAAAGGCTTCCCCAGGTACTTGTAAATGTGTGGTTCTGGCTGTTGTGGGCGTTGATCTTCCTCTGGTTGTTGGCAAAGGTCTGTAGCCGGTGCTGGTACTCGGCCGCCATGTACATCTTCTGGTGCTGAAAGGGAACCCAGCGGTGTCAGGTCCTGGGCCCTGGACGCGGCTCCCGAGGGTGGCCGCTCCTTTCCAAGAGTGGAGCTGTTTTTGTGCCAGCATTTCACAGGCCAGATCTGTGGTCGTGGGTGCAACACCGACCTGGGTCTCGGCCGTGAATGTCAGGAAGTCACAGAGCACAGCCCCTGCCTCCAGGGACCCGTGGCCAGAACGGAGCCAATGCAGCTACCTGAATGTCTACCCACAGCCCCAGGGGCCCCGGTGAAGAGACCTGCCGAGTGCAGGTCACCCCTGGACACCGCAGCTGGTGCTGGGTCAAGTTGACGGCAAACATCACCCTTTTCCAGAGGCACAGGCGCCAGCGTCTCTGATGGACTTTGCAACCGGCACGCCATGTGATTTGAATGCAAAATTTGGAACGAAGCCCGAGGCCTGAAAGGCCGCAGGCCCACTTTAAGGCTGGGGACCTCCGGAAGGTGGTTGCTCAACTGGACCTTCCTGACGTTTGGAAAGACCCGGGAGGGCAAGGCTGGAAAATCCCCATCTGGCACAGATTGCTTTGAGAACAGGAAACTTAGAGGAATGAAAAACTTCAGAAAGAAGAAGCTGCGCACTGACCTGCACCATCCATGACTTAAAGCGAAACCTCTCTGCAAAAGAAAACATAAATTAGGCCCGGGCGCCTGCCTCCTGGGTGAGTCACTGCCCAGGGGGCACTTGAGAGCCAATTTGCATTTTAGGAAACTAAGTTAAATGTGGTTAAATGTAAACCCCAGGGGTGGCGTCATCTACAGCACGGAAAGGAACTAAAACTGCTGGGCCTTGGTACCCAAATTCACTGTGAAAATCCCTATGCCATTAACTCGTGGGGTAAAAGTCAGGATCGCAGCTGTCCTTGGGGTTTAATGATTTGCGTCCTTTTCTGTATGATACTATATGTCAATAAGAAGTTAATTAGGAAATCTATATACCGCAACAATGAGCAGATTTTTTGTTAACAGGACAGGAAGGAAGTATCTTAGACTTTGCCATTCCTACTGTCTCTGTCAAGGTTGCTCAAGTCTGCCCTTGTATTGGGAACACAACTGGGCATGACTGTGTTCTAGTTAAACTTTATTTACAAAAACAGGCCGGCCAATTGTTTGTGGGCCCCTGCTATATCCCCCCCGCCCTCCGTACATTTTAAAGTGATCTAAAAATTCATTCTAAATTGAAATCGCTTCAAAGGGTATAGTCCAGCTTGTTGTACATATCGACATTTTGAAATAAGACTTATATCATTCTTTTAATTTTTGTTGTTGTTCACCCTCACCCGAGGATATATTTTCCACTGATTTTTAGAGAGAGTGGAAGGGCGGGGGGGAGGGGGAGAGAGAGAGAAATATCAATGTGAGAAAGACACCCAGGATCGAACCTGCAACTCAGGTTTGTGGCCTTGCCTGGGAATTTCCCCCGAGACCCTTCAGTGCCCAGGCAGATGCTCTAACTGCTGAACCGCAGCAGCCAGGACGACATCATTCTTTTAAAGCTAGCCAGTGGGCCCTGGCCGGTTTGGCTCAGCGGTTAGAGCGTCGGCCTGCAGTCTGGAGAGGCCCAGTTTCGGTTCCTGCTAAGGGCACGAACTTCGGTTGCAGTTTGACCCCAGGGCCCTGGTTGGGTCACGTGGGTGGCGACCACTCAATGTGTCCCTTTCATGTCGATGTTTTTCTCTCTCTCTCCCCCTCCCACTCTATCTGAACAAAAAATGGAAAAATGTCCTCGAGTGAGGATAAAAAAAAACACAAAAAAACAACTTTAAAGCTAGCCAGTGGAAGCTAGGTACCATGAGTTAATACCCACCATCAATCACATGGACAACCGTTTCTGGAGGAGATGGTGTTTACATAGTTTCTTTTTCTCCTGAACCCCCATCTCCACCCACACCTCTCCATTTCCCCTCAGAGGTCATGTGTTTCTACTTGATCACCCTAACCTTGTTTTGCGCTACAAGGAAAAAAGTACGGATTTAAATTGGTTTTACCCCCTGAGACCCATTATAAAAATTTGTTCTGGATTGACTAATCATCATCATTAATACGGGGTTGGTTAAAACCCTACAAATATATTACACAGAATGGAAAGTCGTTGTTAAACAAACAAAGTACACTTATTGGGAAAAGCATCTCTTAATTAGATAAACAGGACTTCACCAAACACCCCCCAGCCCGCCATGGATTTATATCTCCATTTATATATATGAGTATTATATATTTTTTCGATAGGTCAGCATGAATTCTTGTCTTTGTTCTTTTACAGGTCAGAGGCCAAGAACTCTTGCTCAACTACGCTTAATTGCTTACTTATTATAACAATAAGTAATAAAAATATTATTGTTTGTTGCTTCTGGGACCCGGAAGGCTATTTTTACAACAGTGTTACTCAATGCTGTGCACCGCTTACCACACCCTGATCACATGGTCTCCATCACTCAACACTGTTGTTTTTTTTTTTTAAAAAAATATTTTTTTTCTATTGATTTGGGAGAGAGAGGAAGGGCAGGAGAGAGAGAAAGAGAAACATGGATGAGAAAGAACATGGACTGGCCGCCTCCTGCATGCCCCTCACTGGGGATCGGGCCCACAACCTGGGCATGTGCCCTGACCGGGAATCGAACCAGCGACCTCTTGGTGCCTGGGCGGACCTCAACCAGTGAGTCCCACCCGCTGGGCTCAATACTGTTTCTAAGACCCAATCAGCTGACACCCTGTGAGGTCCTCCCTCCTTAATTCCAGTTTCCTAGAAGGACCTGGCACCAGGATCCTTTCTGGTCTTGCCCCCTCTGCTGTACAGCCCGGTTCAGATTTGGACCAAGGAAAGGGAAGATCCCTTCCTTTGGGTGACCTCGGTCCTGTCCCCAGGTGCTGTGTCTGTCCCCAGGGCAGGGAGGTGGTCTTGTGAGCTCAGAGCCGTGGGTGGTGGGCTGAGCCGAGGGTGGGCAGCAGGAGGGAAGGGGGACCGTGGGGAGGGTGTGGGGCTCCGCCCGGGGTCCCGTGGCTTGTTAACCATGAGCCCGGGAAAGACACGCTGGGTTTTCGGGCGCTAAGGCTGCTGTGGCTCTAGGCAGGGGCGTTACTCCTCCAACACCTGTCCCGCCCACTGTCCCCGCGGGCTGGGGCACCTGCGGGGGCTCCCCGTGGGCCAGGTCCCGGAAAGCTGCCAGGAGAGGCTGGGAAGGCCCGCGCCCGTCCCGCAGGGGCCGAGCGAAGCCCTCCGAGACCCCGGTCGGAGTGAAGGGCACCCGAGCCTCTGCCCCCACCTGGGCAGTGGGGCCCTGGACCCCGTCCGCGCCTCTCCTCCGGCCCCTCCCAAGCGCTCCGTCCCGACCCAGCGCCCGGGGCCCGCGGTTCCTCCCGCCCGGGTGTCCCGCGGCCAAGGACGCGGAGCCCGGCTCTCGGGCGCCCCGCGCTGCCCCACGTACCTGCGGTGCGCACGGACAGGCCGGGGGCGCCGCGGGCCAGGGGCCCCAGCAGCCAGGCCCCGGCGCAGAGCAGCGGCAGCGCGGCCCACATCGCGGCGGTGGCTCCGGGCTCTGCTCCCCCGGAGGTGGGGGTGCGGGCAGGCGGGACGGGGGGCGGGGCGGCCGGGACGCGGGGGCGGGGCCGGGGCGGGGCTCCCAGACTCTGCGCTGACTCTCGGACTGTCCGGTCTCCGCCTCCCCCTTCCTGCCCGGCCCAGTGCCCACCGCCCGCCCCGGCCAGGTCACCCCTCTCTGCAGGGCGAGCTGGACGCCCGTCTGCGGGTCCTCCGTCTGCCCCGACTGGCTGGACCTGGGGCTGAGGGTGGGGTGGGGGTGGCAGCTGGCCCCTCCCTCTGGTCCCTTGTCTCTCACCCTCAGAACCCCACCTCCCTTCCCGTCCCACCCCCAGACCCCCATCAGGTACTCATGAACCACATTCCTGGACAGCAGGTTGTCCCTGGGGTAGGGTAGACAGCTGTCTTTGGTGGCGGTTTTGTTTTTTTCCTCCAAAACAAGCATTTCAGGCTTCCTGCTGAGGAAGTCCTATTAGCAGCTGTAGGGTCATTTTCTCTATTTTGCAATCTGGAGGAGGGAGGAATGTGATCTCTGAGTCTGAGTGTGCGATAAACAAATGTAACCAGGAGCATTTCAGGCTCAGGGACCGTGCTCAGCCCTGGTTTGTGGGGGAGGAGGGAGATTAGACCCGGGCCGTCCTTCACTTACATCATCGCCTTTGCAAAGCAACACCTGACTGACCTCAGATGGGGAAACCGAGGCTCCAAGAGTTGATGGTAACTTTCCTCATCAGTGGGCTGAGGGCGTCTGAACCCTGGTTTACCTGCTGCAGTAGGTCAGCTCTTTTGCAAGCATTTTGGTCAGAGCCTGTGAGGCTGGCCTGTGCAATCTGAGCGGTATCTCCCCGCCCACCCTCCCTCGGGTTGCGCTTTAAGGCAAATGTTTCCGGAAAGACCTTGCAGGGTTGCTATTTGGAAAGTTGTCACAGGCCTTGGGATCAAGGTGCCCCCCTCTGCAGGTGTGCTACCCTTCAGGTGTGCAGGGACCACCCCACCTTTCTACCAGTTCCAACCACCTGGGGAGTGCAAGGGTTGAAGGCCCTGCTGGAAGGGGGTTGTGCAGATGGAATGAAAGCCTCAAATCAGCTGATCTTACAGAATTACCTGGATCGTCTGAGGGCCCTTCAGGGAGAAGAGGAAGGCAGAGAGTCAGATGGGGCAGAAGGGAGGCGGGGAGCTTTGAACCGTGAGAAAGGTTCTCCCCACCAGTGCTGACTCTGAAGGGGCCATGAGCCATGGGATGTGGTGGTCTCCAGGCTGAGCAGGACCCCAGCCGGCAGCCAGCTGCGTGCAACCAAATTCTGCCGACCACCGGAGCAAGCGCGGAAGCAGATCCGTCCCGCAGCCTCCAGAAAGGAAGGCAGCCTGGCTGACCCTGTGCTTTTGGCCGGGCCAGACCTGGAGCAGAGGAAGCAGCCGCATCCCTGTGGACGTCAGACCTCCGGAACCGTAGGATGAGAAATCCGTGTTGTTTTAAGTCTCTAACTTTGTAGTGATTTGTTTTGCAGCCGTAGGAAACCAGTGTATCCGCTGAAGTGCCCAGGTTGACGGAGGCCTGTGGTGACGCAGGCTGGGGGTGTCTCAGGGCTGAGCGTGGTCTCAGGCTCAGGTGCCTGTGGAAGCCGGGCTGGTTCTGTACTTCTGGAGTCGAGGGGGCTGAGAAAGGAGCGCAGGTCGGACCCTCCTGCTCAGGAGACGCAACCCCCAGTGCTCCAGGTGAGTGAAGTCTTTTAATTCTCACTTTTTATCCTCATTACATAGATGAAGTGACTGAGGCACTTACATGATTTGCCTACGGGGTTTGAACCCCTAGCCAGCAGAATCCAGAACTCTCCACAAAAGTAGGCATCTGCCCGGCCGGTGTGGCTCAGTGGATTCAGCGTCATGCCACGGACTGAGAGGCCCCAGTTCTATTCCTGGTCAGGGCACATGCCCAGGTTGCAGGCTTGATCCCCAGCAGGGGGCGTGCAGGAGGCAGCCGATCGATGTTTCTCTCCCACATTGATGTTTCTCTCTCTCTCTCTCCCCCTTCTTCTCTCTCTCTAACAAAATAAAAAGCAGGCATCTGTCCTAGCACAGCAGGTGAATGAAGGTGAGCCCAAGGCCCGCCCACCTTCCCAACCTCCAGGTCCCCGGGGCAGCCAACCACAGTGCTGGCTTCCATGACTGCAGCAGCATGTCTGGCTTACTGTTCTGCTGACTATTGCCTGTCTCACTTCCACCTGATCCATTTCCTTTAGGCTAAATCTGCTGCTTTACCCCCTTCCCAGACTTTATTCCCACCCCGACCAACACCTAAAGGTTTTCCGTATCACCTGTCAGAGTCCACCTCTAAGCAGACAAGCTGAGCCCCTCACAGATTCATTTCTGCACTCCTCTGCTAGCATCTTGTAATAATAATAATTGCAAAAACAATATGATGTAACAGCTGCTGTTTACAAGAACTTTGTTACCCGGTGTTCACAACAACCCTGCAAAGGTTCTTTGAGCATACACACACCCCTTTTTCAGATGAAGACACTGAGACTTGGGGAAGTTAAGAAGGCCCGCTGGTTAGTGATGGGGCTTTGTCCGCACCCGCAGGCTGATTTTGCATAGTAGGTGAGCAGAGGATTGGTTAAATGGCTGCTTGATGATTGTCTGTAAGGAGGCATGTTTGGGTGAATGGATAGGAGCAATAGATAGGTATATGAGAAAGTGGATTTATGGCTGAATGAATAAATGGATGATTGGATGGGTAGATGGATGGTAGGATGAATGCATGGACGGACGGATGGATGGATGGATGGATGATGGATAGATGCATGGACAGGTGGGTGGGTGGATGGATGGATGGATGGATGGATGAATGGGTAGATCAATGGATGGAGAGATGGTGGGAAGGATGGATGCATGGACAGAGGATGGATGGATGATGGATGCATGGATGGATGGGTGGATGGATAGGTGGTGGATGTAGAGATGATTGACTAGAGAGTTTGTAGACTGAGAAAGGTAGTGAATGCAGGAGGTGTATACATATATCCCTGCAGACCTGCTAGAACATGTCCCTAAGCCGTTTGTAACGCCTGCCACCACCGGGCTGTTCATCAGCCCACAGGTGAGCCTGCCCTGCACATAGTTCCACCTCCATCCCTTCCTCCTGCCTTGTCCTCTCCCCACCACAAACACGTCCTCTTCCTGAACTTCTGAATTGACCCCGCACCACACGCTGTCACGTCATCCTTTACTGTGTAGGAGGGTATGCGGCAGAGCCGGTTATTTTCAGCCTGTTTCTACCCGTTTGGCCGTTAGTGGCCAGCGCCTGTGCCATACTGGTGGCTGAATGTCTTGAAAATCAAGTTTCCGGGGTCAGGTCCTCCTCAGTAGGGAGGGGGCGGGATGCTGGCGGGTGCTCAGGGCTCGGCCCATCGTGACCTCGTGAGTGGCCGCCACAGCGTTGTTAGTTATTCCGAGTGTGGTGGTGAGAGTCACGCCATGGAAGGTGCTGTTTGGGGGGCTTTGGCTCCGGGACAGGACAGTGTGGGGGTGCTGTGCTTACCTGCTGATGAGGCCTGTGGGTGCCAGGAGAGGACTCCGGAGAGGACAGGGTGGCATACGTGGTTTGTGGGTGGGCAGGGGCTCAGAGGCAATGAAGGGACAGCAGCCGCTGGGGCCACAGGGAGGTCCTCGCACCAGGAGAGGCCGCGCCTGGAGAGGGTGAGCCGGGACCCTGCCCCAAGGGAGCAGAACATTCCCGGCTTCCCTTCCTGGCAGTGAGAACTGGGCCTGGAGTGTTTCTGGGTCATGAGTCACTTGGTCTGAGTGTGGGTACTAATTGCCCGGTCAACATGCATCAATGCACGTGCCGTGATAAGAGCAGATAAAGGCCTGGCGGGAGGAAGGCAGAATCAGGCTGGGCGAGAAGGAGCCGGAACGATTTCACCATCAGGCCCTGTTGTGGCACCTGTGGGTGACTCCTCGGCCAGCCCCTCCCACGCGCCACCTTCCAGGCCCCTGCTCCCTGGTCTCCTCACCTGATCCTGGGGTGAGGCTGGCACTCAGACTCTTCCTCTGGGGCACCCCTCCCTTCCGCTGAGCCGGAAACCCTGGCTCTTTCTGTTCCCCAAGACCCCGTGAGAGGAGATCCCCCTGAAAGCGCTCCCTGACCAGCACCCCCTTTTCTAACTGTGTGTTAACTGGCATGAAGTCTGTGTAACCTGTAGTCAGCCACCTGAGCATGCTCTTCCGAGTCCTCCCACCACCCGCTCTCACTCATCCCCGGTCGCTGCGGCGCCTGGTCACGGTCAGTTCTCGCCTTGTTTTTTTTCTTGAGGGTCCATTCACGTAACGCACAGTTAACCACTTTGAAGTGTGTAGTCTGGGGCACCGAGGGCATTCACAGTGTTGGGCAACCACCCCCTCTCTTCAGTTTCAAAATGTATTTCTGCGAAGAGCACCCCACACCCATTAAGTAACCACCAACCCACTAATCTGCTTTTGTGGGCTTTTTTTTGGACTTTTCATCTAAAAGGATCATGTATACTTTGTGACCTTTAGTGTCTGGCTGCTTTCACTTGGCGTAGTATTTTCAAGGTTCATGAAATGACGCGGCTTGGGACAGGATTTTATTCCTTTCTAAGCTGAATAATATTCCGTTGCAAACGTACACCCCGCATTTTGTTCACCCATTCATCTGTGGAGAGACATTTGGGGTGTTGTCAGCCTTTGGTGACTGTGAAGAGTGCTGCTGTGGACATCCATGTACAAGTTCCTGTGTGCACACGAGTTCTGAGTGCTCTCGGGTCTATACCTAGCAGTGGAGTTGCTGGGTTATGTGGTAATTGTATGTGTGACCCTTTTCTTTTTGGTTAGTCCTCACCTGAGGATATTTTTCCATTGATGGAGGGGGAGAGAGAGAGAGAGAGAAACACTGATGTGCGAGAGTCACACCAATTGGTTACCTCCTGCATGCACCCCAACCAGGGCTGGGGATCAAACATGCAACCCAGGTGCATGCTCTTGACTGGGAATCGAACCCGCAACCCTTTGGTCCCTGGGCTGACGCTCTAACTGCTGAGCCGCACCAGCCGGGGCTCTCAATAACTTTTAAGAGTGTAGAGGGGTCCTTTTTGGTTGGCCAAAAAGTTTGAGAACTGCTGGTGCAGGGCTGTGGCTGAGGTGGTAAGAAGTCACCTGACTGCCAGGATAATTAGGAGGATGACACCGACTGCACCTGGTGACTGTTGTAAGGTGTCAGTGAGGTAACCAGAGACACACGGCCGAATTGTAAAGGAACACTTTATTACACTGGCGGGCTGAAGGGGGACTCTCCCAAATCGACAGCCCTGAGCCTTCTTTGTTGTCCATTTTTAAAGGCAAAAACTACAGGAAAAAAACTACATTCTCTTGGTGCCGCTTTTTGGCACCATTAAGGAGGGGAAGTGATAGAGGGGGGGCTGAGACAGCTGTTAGAGGTCAGGCAACCGTTCATCTCTTTTTTCTCATGGTTCCTCTAGTTTCCCAAGGCCATCATTAACCCCTGATCTTTATAGTCTTCTCTGGGTTTGTCAAAACCCTTGTGTTTACAAAAAAGGAACTTCCAGGGTGTGTGCGTGCAGTAGCGGAGGGTCGGAATGGAGTCATTACATCTTCGGAGGTGGGAGTCAAGGTGACTCTGGGTGCCTGGCTTTCGAAACTGGGTTGGGTGCCGGCAGTGCGGGTGCGGCTGGACGTCAGTGAGGTCGGGGTGGTGCAGCTGAGTTTGGGCGGCAGTCGGGCATCCCCACGGAGGCGGCTTGTGGGTTGTTGGCACTGAGGTTTTGGAGCCTGGAGGGTGGTGTGGGCTGGAGCTAGAACGGAGGGTGCTTTGTTCCAGGGGCTTCCACTCTGCAGCCAGGGCGCTCTCGGCGGTTGGCGACTCAGGGCGGGACAGTCGTGCCACCAAGGTGTGCACCCACAGGGCTTGACACATGCTTGGGTGGCACTTTCATGCCCCCGTGACAACCACCACCTGGCCCTCCTGCCCCCACCGCTACGGAGCGGCCTCTGCGAGGCCACTGTTGGGGAAGAGGCCACAACTAAGCACAGGGCGAGCCCTGGCCGGGTGGCTCAGCTGGTTGAATCGTCATCCTGTACACCAAAGGGTTGTGGGTTCAGTCCCCAGGAGGATGTGTATGCGAGGCCACTGATCGATGTTTCTCTCCCTCTCTCTCTCCCCCTTCCTCTTTCTCCAGAATCAATGGAAAAAAACATATCCTCGGGTGAGGATGAAAAACAAGATGAACTACCTTAGAATGTTATTGTCATGAATTTTGTGGGGGTGATGTCATCAGAAGCCAGGCAGCCTCTGCCTGAGTCTCAGGTAGGGTTGTCCTTCAGACCCAGCGGCCACACCAAGAAGCCCAGGCCACGTGAAGCGGCCACGTGTCGATGCTCCGGTCCACGCCCCCGCTCAGCGGACCCGGCAGAAACTCCCAGCCGGTGAGAGCACCATCTTGGGCACCCAATCCAGCTGTGCTTCCGCTGACCCCGGCTCCGGCTGACGTGTGACCTGCTCCCAAGAGATCTCAACCAAGAGCTGCCCACAGGGCCCATAACCCGTAGGACTGTGGAAGACCACAGAAATAGTTTAAGTCATCACATTGTGGAGCGATTCTCTCCTGGCACAACGGATAACTGAAACCGTCTGTCTCTTAAGACTGAGTCCCTGTCGCTCCTGACCCAGCGCCCGATAAGGACCAAGTGCTCATCAAACGTCCCTTGGGGGATGAATGAAACCCATCAAAACTCACTGTTCACCCTGAGATAGAATAGATTTATTAGCAAGAGGTAATCAGGAAACATATATTTTTACAAAAAAATGGAAATTTCTTTTTTTCCAAACAAGCCGTAAGTTGAAATATCATAGGACTTGAAATAGAATTCTCATACCACTAGGTATTGCTTACAGCAAAAGTTGTCTGTGGGTCTCGGTGGCGCATGCCTGCCACGTCTGAGTGGACGTCATCTGTACTGTACAAAGTAAAAAATAGGTGTAATATTCACAGAATAAGCACTACGGTACTATATTCCTGCTAGAAGGCGTTTAGACAGGACTACAGTATATGCAATAAAAACACTTGGTTATTGGTTTCCTAAATTCTACAGTGTGGTACTATTTTCACGAGGCATACAGACTTCGAGCATCTCAACGTAAGCTGGGGGGTGGGGGTGGCGTCAGGCGGCTGGAAGAGGAAAAGTGACCTGTGTGTGTGTGAGAGTGTGTGCGCGCGTGTTCCCGACTTGCAGTGGATGTTGGGCGGCGGGCGGCGGAAGTCGACTCTGTGTTGTGAGTGTGGTCGCCTCTGCGGGCTCCGGGGCCCCGTCCAGGCTGATGGAGGCAGCTGCCCTGACTCCCAGGGCCCAGGAGAGGCGGTGTTGGTGGCGCGGGGCCTGGTTCTCCCGGGACAGAACTCCCTTCCGCCAGGTGCCTGGGAGACAGGGAGTTCTGAGACCTGCGGTTCCGGCTGACAAACGGGCATCGTCATCAGCCGAAGGATCTGTCCATGACTGGACTTCAGGGTATGGACCCCTTCCCGCCTCCCCCCACCCCCCACCCGCTTATAACGACTACATGAGACATGCTGGTGGCCCCTCAGCCCAGGGCCCGGGCTGGGGAAGGACAGAAGCAAGGCTTTTCCTAAGATCCAGGGATGCATGGTGCGGCTTCCCTTCGGAGAGCAGCGAGGGGCTGGGCAGGTCGAGACGGGCGGCAGGGACGAGGGGCTGGGAGGGCACGGGGCAGCGGGGCAGCGTCCTAGTCTGGTTCTACAGGGACCGAAGAACAGGAATGGTGTGTGTTCTTGGAGCAGCGCACCGCAGGAGACAGTCCAGAGGAGCCGGCGGATATGTACAGTGTCACGAGCGGGTCCTTGGGAGCGGCTGCGTCTGGACGGAGCAGCTTCAGGTGGGGAGTTTGGGTTCTATTCGGAGAGAAGACTCGTAGAGGCTCTCTTCGTCCATGACGGAGGACTGGTCCAGTAAGTACTGGGCTACCTGAGAGACGGAAGAGGAGGGAGGGGCGGGTTATGGGACCGTCATGGCACTGTGGCTGCGGACGCCCGTGTTCCTGGGAACCAGGCACTCCTATGGGGCACATGTAGCAAAAAGGGATTAAGCTGTGTTTTGTGTTAACATTATTTGACTTAGCAGTATTACTATTCATTATAATAATTCATATTTTGTTTATCGATTTGAGAGAGAGAAAGAGAGACATCGATTGGCTGCTCCACTTATTTAAAAAAAATTTTTTTTTCTTATCCTCACCCGAGGATATTTTTGCATTTATCTTCAGATAGGCGGGAGGGAGAGAGGGAGGAAGAGAGAGAAAGAGAAACATCGATGTGAGAGAGACACATCGATTGGTTGCCACCTGCACAACCTCACCCGGGGCAGGGGACGAACTGTAACCGAGATACGTGCCCTTAGCGGGAATCGAACCCGGGACTACCCAGTCCGCAGGTCGATGCTCTAACTGCTGAGCCAAACTGGCCACCAGGGCTGCTGTTTCTGTACTGATGCATTCATTGGTTGATTCTTGTACATGCCCTCGACTGGGAATCGAACCTGGGACTCTTTGGTCCGTGGGCTGATGCTCTACTGTTGAGCCTAACCCGCCAGGGCCAGAGGTTCAGTGTTCCCCACGGAATCCCAGAGCGGGAGGAAGACGAACATTATACTTCTTATTACGCATTTGGGAATCGGCCCGAGGAAGAGCGGATCTCTGGAGTGTGCGTCTGGGCTGACTGTCGTGTGAGGGTGGGCCAGAGGTCTGGGATGCTGGCTACCAGGCAGAGGTCAGTGGTTACAGGTCTGACTGGTAGCTCATGCTGGCCCCTGCAGGAAGACGAGTTCAGATGTCACCGTCCAGAGGAACCCATGCCCCTGATAAAGATGGGGCGCTTCACAGCCTCGGGACACAGACTCGTGTTTCGTGCCTTGCCGGGAGCCTCCCGGGAGCAGCCCTGGCCGGAGCACGTACTCAGACCCCCCGACCCTTCCTTTATAGTGAGCACGCTCCAGGTCAGTTTCCCTCGAGAGCCCCGCTTCAGCCCCAGCGGTGTGGCTCAGTGGTGGGAGTGTTGGCCCACGCACAGAAGGGTCTCAGGTTCGATACCCGGCCTCCGTTGGGCGTGTGTGGGAGGCGACCAATCAATGTGTGTCTCTCACATGGATGTTTCTCTCTCTCTCTCCCTCCATCCCTCCCACGCTCTCTGAAAACCAATGGAAAAAATATCCTTGAGTGAGGATTAACGACAACCACAAATTAAAATAAATGGAGACGTTTGGTCGCGTTTGCACAGACACAGGAAATGGAGGGGAACGTGGTGGGTGGGACTTCCCCTGGCCCACCTGTGTGCCCTTCATAATCAGGGAGCGTATTTCCTTTCACAGGGTGTTATGCAGACGGGCTCTCTTGCTTTGGGGATCACCATGATCAGCCCTCCTAAGGCAGGTGGGACTAACTCAGATAGGAGGGGCCAGGTCCACACAAGCCTGGCGTCCAGGGGGCCAAACTCACTGCGAGTTGGGGGACAGGGAGTAGGGTGGGCTTCCTGGGAGAGCTGGTGTTGGTGGGGGCCCAGGGGAATTCAGGGAGGGGAAGAGGGGGGGTGTGGAGGGGAAGGGGGGATGGGAGACGCCGGGACAGAGCCCCTGGGGAAAAGCGGCAGTGGCCAGCGTACCTTGGCTTGGTGCTCTATCTTGTAGGCGGTTTGCTGAAATTGGCGGATCTCTCGGATAATGTGGGATATCTGTGGGAAGGAAGGGGGGCGCTAGATGAAGCTAGGTTCCTCTCTTAGTGCCCCCCACTCTGCAGGACAGCAGGGCAGCCACAGCCAAGGCTGCGGGCAGCGCCCAGGCCTCTAGCAGACAGAGAACCCCTTCTGTGAAGGGGAACCCCAGGTGGGAGCCCCGTCCACGCAGAGGCTCTCTGGCCGAAGGGAGCGGGGGGGGGGGGAGAAGGAGTGGCTAGCTGCCCTGGGGGTCCTCCCCTCCCCTCCCAGGCCCCAGGTTTCTCGGGACATTTGAAACCTAAGTGACTGTGACGGTCACGGGACACTGTGCTTGTGTGGATGGTGGTGGATGGAGTTGAACAAAGGCCTGGACTTGGAACCAGACAGACAGGGCTCTGGTCCCGGCTCTGCCCTTTACTGAGGGTCACCCGGGGGTGCTCGTCTGTGAGGCGGAGGTACCAGGGCACCTGTCTTCAGACGAAGTGCAGGAAGGCTGGCTGGGCGGCCAGGTGCTCCCAGAGCCACAGTTCTTGTCAGAGAAGCCGGATTCAGGTGCACAGGCGACCCTACCTGGGGGGCCTGGGGCTGGGGCTGGGGGCTGGGTTTTGCACCCCCTTCCCCAGCTCTACGGTGGGAAACATACCATTCTCATCTTGGAGAAGTTGACCAGGCCGTCCTCCGTGTAGTTGGGTGTCCCCTCTTCAATGAAGGCCAGGTCGGTGAGGTACATCCCCAGGTAAGGGACACAGGGGGGGTCACAACTTGGAAGCAAACGGCATTAACAGAGGTTTTCACTTAAAAACAGAAGCGTCCCGGAGCACACAGCACCCGCCCACCTCTCCTCCGTCTCTCCGTGGACACTCTCCATCCACACCCTGCCCCAGAGTTGTGTCCTGAGGGCGTTGCAGCCCCCAGCCCACTCCTGCCAGGTCCCTCTGCCCCGTGGGGCGTCTGTGCCTCCTGCCCGCCGGGACCTCCTGCCCCCCTGCCCTCGGAGGTCACCTTCCTGGACTGGTGACTCTAGCGGACGGCATTTTGAGAGATGGAACTGAGTGGTGAGCTCCCATTACTGCGCCATCGAGACTTGTTCCGGCGCCTCTGGGTGGGAGCGAGCAGGGGGCTGACTCTGCAGGGGTGCCCCCAGCTCCCCCAGGGGACTCCTCACTCAGTGTCTGCGTCTCCTCTCTGCTCACCTCACCCTTGTCTCCTGTGGCCACTCAGCAATTCTGCCAGCGCCGAGCCCGAGAGGCAGGGAGGATGGCCAAGCACCCACGGAAGCTGGCCGCTGGCCCTCACCTGCTTGCTGTGTGACCCTGGGCCAGCTCTGTCCCTCTCTGGTCCTCAGGTGCCCCTCGTTCAGTAGAACTGAGGCTAAGACAGTTTTCAGTGCCCTGAGAACTGGTTGGAGGTGCTGCCCCGACACCCTGCTGAGTACCATTGGTCCCCTGGTGGTCTGGCTGTGATACTTTGTAGCACCAGGCCCTTCTCCTCCTTAAACAACAGCAGGTGTGAGGGTCGGAATGTGGCGAACGTCAGGGTCCGGCCGGAATTGACCAACATTTCCTTTTCACTGCATTTTTTTTATGTTCACATTGTATTTATGGAAAATGTGCGATTTTTCTCATTTTCTGCCGTGATATAGAGCTTTCCTTCCTATTTACGTTTATTTTGGGGGACAACGGAGTTCATTTAAGGGAGACTCTTAGGTAAACCCAAGTGCGGTTGGTTGCGTCCAGGTTGGGGGGGCTTAGAGTTTGGGGAGCTTTTCAGACTGTAGGTCTTGACCCTTTCATGGATGTTGACCAGATTAAAAAAATTTTTTTTTTCCTAGAAGAGAAAATATCTGAGTTCGTTGCATGGGCTGAAGGTATATGCTGCTTTGTGAGACTTTGGTCCCTGTCACGCACGTATGCGTTTTCATACAGGGTCACACTGTCCCCTGTGACTGCTGTACTGTGGGTTGCACCATAAAGGACAGCAGGGGTCAGGCCGGCTGCGGGCAGGCCTCTCGGTCCTTCCTGCCCTGCAGCCACGACTCGGGCTGACTCCACGTGCAGGCAGAGGGGCTGCCGGGGAAGCTGCAGCTGAAGGGGGGCAGCAGGTGGCCCCCTCCCCCTCCTCTCTCTGCACCGGGTGGTAACTCGTCCCCCGGGGGCTCCCAGGAGGGACCGAGGTGACGGAGGCCTTACAGGGTCTCCCACCACCCAGACCAGTGGAAACACCCGCGGGTGCCCTGGTCACTGGGGTTTTCCCTGAGCTGTGTCCTGAGGCTCACGATCCAGTTGTGTGGAACTGTCCCCTGCACGTGGCACAGCCAGCCCAGGGCCAAGCCCTGTCCCTGGTCCCACCTTCATAGCAAGGGCCTTGCAGGAGGGCCCTCGGCAACAGCACCCTTCACGTACACGCCCAGCCGGACCCAGAGCCGTGCTGGTGAACGTGTGGGGTTGCCGCGGCAGTGGCCCACGTGGAAACGGGCAGGTGGGGGGTAGAGATGGCTGGCAGGCAGCCCCTCGTGGCCTGTACGGCGGGGGACTGAGCCCCGCTGAGCTTCTGCGTGGAAAGGGAAGCATGTGGGGAGTTCCTGCAGGCAGCACGCCCTCTGCTGGGGGCGTTTGGCCCCCTCAGGGTGAGGGCCTGTCCACCCAAGCTGTTAGCAGGAGAGTGGCCGGGGGTGCGTGGGGATGGCCTGGTGGTCAGCGGGCCTCTCCGCCACAGCTGTTCCCTCCTAACCGAGAGGACAAAGGGGGAGGGCTTTCCGCGGGCAGCTGCAGCCCAGGCCGGGGCCCTGCCTCCCGGGGGAGGGTCTCCTCCGCAAACTAAACCGAGTGCGGATGTGCAGACCGGTGCTGGGTTGGGACCAGATGCACGCCAGCCCGAACCGGCCCCCAGAAGAGCCAGCGACCGCGCTCTACGGCCAGAGTCGGTTCTTAGACAAATGTTGTTGCTTGTACTCTGGGAAGGCTCCGATCTCCGGGAGGCTGAACAGCGGACAGTGTCACAGGGTCACATGGGTGCGGGAGGTCATTCACTGGCCTGGGTGCTGGCGCAAGTCTGAAGAGTTTAATGACAGGCTGACCGGACTGAGGACCCCTGTGGGGACACCCCTCACAGCTCCCCGTCTGTCCCACAGACTGCCACTCGTGCCCGCTGCCCGGCCTGGGGAGGTGGACACTGCAGAGCCTCGGGAGGAGGGGCAGACGAGTTTGCCCCGAGGGGCCCCAGCCTTGCCCACCTCTGCACGGCGGGCCCACGTCTCCTGCGGTGAGGACCCGTCTGCATACAGGCCGTGGCCCCCAGAGCGCCCGCAGGCCCCTCCGCCCTCACGGCAGGGCACTTACACGGGCCCACGGGTGACCTGAGAGAGGGAGGACAGTCAGGATGGGGACGCAGACAGAATGGGACCACGGAGGCCGTGGCGGCGGTGGCGGCGGCGCGGACGAGGAAGCCATGTGAAGGAGCAGATGGAGGCGGCCGGGGGCGGACGGACAGTTGAGAATGCACAGTGGGGCAGCTCCCCACAAGCACAGTCCACAGGGGCTCCGGGAGCCCGGGCGGGGGAGACGGCTGCACAGCACAGATGGAGCAACATCTGTCTGAGGACACAAACAAAGTGGAGGTGGTCAAGGCGATGGGCAGGGAGCTGGCGGGGCAGACCAGGTGCGCGGGAGGAGAACGGGAGGGGACGAGCCTGGCGAAGGGGGGTGCGTCACAGTCAGAGCCACGGTGCGTGGCCCAGGGCTGACCGTCCGGTCCCCAGGCCCCGGGGGTGCTGAGTTCCGGGGCCCTGTATCGGCAGGTACCCCGATCCCTGGGAAGACAGCAGAGGCGTCCTGAGCTCTCGGGGAGCGGTACCCAGCGTCTCCCAGTGCCTCTCCATGGTCAGGCCTGGAGTGTGGGGCATGGGCTCAGGGCCATGAGGGAGGCCTGGAGACTGTCAGTGACAAGTGGACAGAGTATGATGTAGAGGCCTCTGGGTGTAACAGGAGTGACAGCAGACCTTCATTTCTTGTCAGTGTGGACCCTCACGGGAGCGGCCTCAGGCCAGCCGGAGCGCGGCCAGGGGCAGCCTGGGCCAAGGCTGGGCTGTCACGGGACCAGACACTAGCTCCCGGTCCCTCGTCTGGAGAAACAGGAGGGGGACCTGTCACAGTGGTGGTTCTCCAAGGGGGCAGTTTTGCCTCCCGGAGGACATCAGCAATGTCTGCACACTCTTGTGGGTGTTGTCCCTCAGGGCAGGGTCCCTGGCATCTCGTGGGCGCAGGCCAGGGAGACTCTTTAACGAGCTATGGTGCACAGGATGGCCCCGGACGAGGGGCTTCCTGGTCTAAACAGCCAGGGGCCATGGCTGACCAGCCCGCCGCTCGGCGATGTCCGCAGGGCTGCAGGTGCTGGGCGGGGGGCGGGGGTGCTCTCTGCAGACTGAGGGGCAGTCACCGCTCAGATGGCATTTCTTTGATTCTAAGATGCACTGTCTATGAAGGTCCTTCTGTGGTGACACCCGATTCCCAGGTACAAGAGGTAAACACGGTGATGTTGAATAGACAGGCTTTGAGACACATCCCCGTGTCAGGAGTAGTCAAATGTGAAAGCAAAAAACTGCGCATTTTAGAATCAAGGAATCTGGCACCTCTGTCAAGTCCCCGGCTGCTTCGTTTGTGGGGACTCCCGTGTTCCTCCTGCCCCAGGGGCCTCTGGTGGGTAGACAGACGGACACACAGACAGACAGACCTCCTGCTCCAGCCGGATGGGGTGGGGATGCCTGCACAGTGCGGGTCTGCGCGTCACAGAACGGCGGTGGCGGAATGACACACACTTACTTTTTCAGGGCTTCTCGCAGATTCTTAAATCTGCCCTCTGAGGACACAAGCTTCTGGAGCCTGTCGATCAAAGCTTTCGTCTGGAAGGAATTAGAAGCGTTTTACTAGCACTCCCTGGGTCTGGGAGCCTGGAGCCGGAGGGTCCTCCACAGACACGGGAATGGAGGGGGGGGGCTGTGTTGGGGCTCGCTGGGTCACCCCCGGGGGCTGGCGCCCACAGCAGAGCGTGGCGGGTGTTTCACAATCAGGATCCTTCTCATGAACTGCACCCAAAGGGTGTTGACCCTCTTCTCACACCTTCCTGTTCCTGTATCAGGATACCACCCAGACTTGGGAATCAAGAAAAAAGATGCAAGGAGAGTTTCCGGAGCCCTGGAGGCACCTGCCCAGCTTCCTGCACACGTGCCGCTATGGCTGGGCACCCACCAGGTGCACCCAGGACACGGCCCAAACGCCACTGGGCCCTCCTTTCAGAACCACCCCCTCAGGACCCCAGTGGTGGGAACTTTAGTCCCCAGGCAGAACCCTCCTACAGGTTTTCAGAATCATGTTCTGAATGAATCAATATCAAGCCCCCATTTAAGATCTCCAACTCCCCCGTGGGTGGCAGGGACCAGCTTATGCTCCGGTGGACAGAGGTCTGGTGAGGTCAGAGTCCCGGGAAGGGCTTGCAGGTGACCCTGAGCACCCGAGCACCATCTCAGCAACCGGCAGGGTTGGGCTGGGGTCCCCATGAATCCACCACTCCCATCCCAACTCAAGAAGAGAGTTGGGACCAACAATTACTACCTTAGAATTCCCACTCGGGAAAATTAATTCTTCAAGTGGAAATTACAGGCCCATGGATCCCAGTGCCATGTCTGTGGGCCTGGTACCTGGTCCCAGGTGATAAAGCAGAAGAGGTTCTCTGTTGAACCCTCACCCTGTCCTTTGTCCACCTATGGCTGCCCAGTGTCCAGTGCTCTGGACGCCCAGCCCCAGCCCAGCCCCAGCAGGTAATGGTGACAGCTTTCAGCCCACACCTGCTTAGAGACTTTGAGCCACGTCTTTTTTAGCCGGAAGATGGCGCTCCGGTTCATGGACGAGGTGATCTCCAGCACAGCGTTGTAGTTGTGCAAGCAACGGCAGATGTCGGCCACGGCCACCCACTTCTCGATGGTGCTCACCCTCGCGTTGATGTCCTCGTTACGGAGGATTTCTGAAGCGATCAAGTTACTGATCTTTAAGCCCAAGTGATAAGACAAGAAAAAGGTAAGAGGGATACATACTGTAAAGATGAGAAATCCTCATTGTTTGCAGATGATCTGATCACCTGTCTGAAAATCCCGAGAGACAACAGAGCTCATTAGGGTAGCTGGTTAAGGACCCAGTGTACAAACACGGGAATTAGGAATACCAATCAGAAAACACAAGGCAGGAATCTGTAAGTTACCTGGGATGTATGTAGGATGGTGTGTGAAAACCCAAAAACGGTTACCAAAGGTTATAGAAGGTTTGAATAATGAAGGAAAAGATCAGATTCCCAAATGGAAATGTAAAGATGCCATTTTTAGAAAGCAATACAGGACAAACATTATGTGGAATGGAGAAATACTAGCGGTGTTCTCTCAAAGCAGGAATGAGATTCACTGTCTCTAGGGCCTGGACTTGAGGCATCTGGCAGGGTGGTAGCTCCTTAAATTCTGTCCCCCTGGGCACCTGCGTGCCTCACCCCAGTTCTGGCCCTGACACTGGAGATCCCAGCCAATCCGTTCAGTAAGACAGAGAATTTGAAGCCAAATGGGACCAGGAAACAGCAGAAATTGCCGTGTCAGGGAGACGAACAGATACGATTTCAGGCCGCGGTTAACCCGTCTGGAGGTGCCTATTTTGTGTCTGAAAAGAAACAGGGTGTTTTACAGAGATGGCCAAGTGCCAGTGTGTCGAGGGCAGCGCCCCAAAGGCCACTGCTGCCGTGTAATGCTGGGGGTGACATGTAGCTTCCTCGAACCCGGGTTTCTTCATCCACAAAGTGAGCCCACCGGGAGCCAACGCAAGGCTGCTGGCACGTGGTAGAACCTCCCGAGTGCTCACTTCCCACCTGGTCTTCACGGACGGGAGCCCTGGGCACACGGGGGACATGCGGACGGAGGCAGGGAGCGCCCTGGGGCCTTGCTGCCTGACTCCTGCTCTCCCTCCTGCACTGTGTTCACTGCAGGCGGGGTACCGATGCCTCTTGTTTATCTGGGACCCTCCCAGGACGAGGGGTGTGCAGGTGGGGGTGTTCCTTGCCCGAGGTGGCCCTGGCTGGGTGGTCAGTGCGGTGGGCCAAGGGCTCCCACCCGACCCTCGAAGGCTCTTCTCTGTGTTGATGACTAAACTCAGAGGACCAGAGACGGCAGCGCCCTCGGGCTGTCACGGGGCTGCACCGGGCAGGCCGTGGTCATGGGGTTGGGAGCTCAGCCCACGGGGAGAAGCTTCCGGGAGGATTTTTTCCTCACAGCTGGGGCTGTGCAGCAGGGGGGCCCTGTGCTCCCAGCCAGGACTGAGGACACCTCAGGCATGTGTCCCTCCGAGCCTTGCTGACGTGGCACCGTCCTCGGGGTGGGTGGGTTTGAAGGAGTCACAGTAAAGCTCCGTGCTCCACACCAGGTGGGAACTGAGCGAGGGGCAGGGCTGACCATACGTGTAGGAGCAGAGAGCATGGCTGTCCTCTGCGATCTGCCTCCTGCCTCAGGGGACTCGGCACCATTGGCCCCCATTCCCCACTGCTCCCACATTTTGCCCCCTCACCAGCGAGCCCACCTTCCTGCTGCTGGCCCCACAAAACCAGGGCTGGGGGTCCAGGAGGAGGGGGGGCTGCAGGGGCCGGGGATGCAGGTGAGCCGTCGGCTCGAACCCAGCCTCCGTGTCACCAGCTCAGGAGCCTTGGTTGCTCTTGTCCTGTGGGGCCATCCTACCCATGAGCCAAGGCAAGAAAGGGGAGTCAGAGGACCCCTCCAGGAGTCAGGACTCGCGGCCCACACCCCAGCAGCTGCAGGGGTCAGAGGAAAGCTGTCTGGCATTTTCCAGCCAAATGTGCTTGTTTCCGACGACAAGATGAGGTCGGGAATGAGAAGCATTGCATGGGGTCCTCACTGCTGTCCCCCATCTCTTCCCCGGGAAGCTGCTCAGAGCTGCGGCCCCACGAGGCATCCCGGGGTCACCTTCTCAGTGCCTGAGACAAAGCCCCAGCCAGGCCCTGGCCAGGGGGGAGGGGCCGGAGAGGACGAGGGAGGTGTGTTGTCTGGCCCTCGGCCGCCTTGGGGGTGCTGCTCAGAAGACGCCGGGAGAGAGGCGCGGCCCCGTACTCACGTCGTTGAAGTGCTTGGTGGTTTTCATGATGTACGGGGTCCGCTCGTTCTTCTCCAGTTTCATCCAGCCCTGCCCAAAGAACTCCCTGGAGGGAGGAGGGGACACCGGGCATGTGGTTCGGTGGCCTGACTTCTTTGCTTTCGTCAGTTTTTGGGGAACGGCTTTCTGCAGCCGGGAGGGGGGCCGGCACCCACACCCACTCACTCGTAAGGGATCTTCTTGAAGACCAGGTGGTCCAGCAGGGTCAGCTGCTCTGCGATCTCCAAGGCCGAGTGGTTTTCAAAGGGCTCGGCCTTCACGCCCATGGCCTGAGGGAGCAGTCGGAGTTACCCCACGCGGCCACCTCCTGGCATCTGGGCGCTCCTCCGAGGGGTCTCCGTGGATTCGGGGGAGGGGGGTGGCGGGGGAGGCCCTCCTGGCAGACCAGATGGGAGCAAGGGGAAGGGAGCCAGAACGACCGTTGTCTGCCCTGTGCACCCAGGCCTGTGCCCGTGCCCCTGTGTCACCATCGCTGACCCGCCTGGGGGCTGCCACCACCCCCGGTGCGTGGATGAGACCACAGGGGCGTCCAGAGGGGAAGGACCAGCACAGGGCCGAGCCAGGCTATGGTCCTCACTCCCGTCAGGTTCTGTCTGGGCCCACAGCGGGCTCCTAAAATCACTAGACGTGGACTCACAGATGTGACAGCCTCCTGGGACGATGTCCCTGAGCTTGTCCTGGTTACAGGGCCAGTCGTGGGGAAACTACCTTCAAAGGTGTTCACCACCCGAGTCCCGTGACCAGGGCAAATTGTCAGGAGACACTGGCCAGGGACCGAGGCCCCGGGGCAGGGATTCATGAGAGGTGGATGCGGGGAGGCCGGTGTCCTTGGCACAGAGGCCGCAGGAAGGCCTGCTGGACGCAGTAGGGGCTGCAGGGAGCTGGGGGGGGGGGGGCGTCTGGGCTGGGCTGGGAGGAGCCCGTGTGCACCGAGGCCAAGTCCGAGAGAAGCATGGCCTTGCAGTTCTGATGGGTGGGCGGATGCGGTGTAGGGGGACGTGGTGTGGGGGACACAGCGTGGGGGACACAGTGTAAGAGACGCAGTGTGGGGGACACGGTGTGGGGGACACGGTGTAAGAGACGCAGTGTGGGGGACACAGTGTGGGGGACACGGTGTAAGAGACGCAGTGTGGGGGACACGGTGTGGGGGACATGGTGTGGGGGACATGGCGTGGGCAACACGGTGTGGGGGATGCGGCGTGGGGGGCCGCGACATGGGGGGATGCGGCGTGGGGGACACGGTGTGGGGGATGAGTTCTCAGGAAGGGAGTGGGGACCTGGCGTGAGGACAGCAGTGCCCTGGGACACTGTGCTGCGGGACAAGGGCCCTCATGGGAAGGGAGTCCCTGTCTCTAAGCAGAAGCAGCCAGGGCGGCTCAGCCTCGGTCACTCCTGAGGCCCAGGAGGGCTGACCTGTCAGGGCCAAGAGCCCCGGAGGAGGCCGGGGGCCCAGAGGCCCGGCGGGGGGAGGCTGCTGGAAGGGGGCAGGCGGCCCCCCTTGCTGGGGCCTAGGGAAGGCAGAGCCTGGAGCAGACCAGGGCAGACAGCCCCCCTCCTGTCACTGGGCCTCCTCCGGGGGGCGTGCCCAGTGCCCCCACGGGCTCTGGGCCCGGGCAGCTCAGCGGCACTTTGCTGGGAAGAGTCTCAGGCTGTTGAGGAACAGGGGCCCCTGTGCTCCGGAGGGGTAACCCTTCCCGCCGGGCCCTGTTGGGAAACAGCGGGGCCGCCCCCATGCAGGGAGGTGCAGGGGTTCCTCCCGGGGTCACCCGCCTCTGGCCCAGAGGGTCCCTCTGCAAGGTGCAGTGTGCAGCCGCTTCCTGCCTGAGCAGGTGGGTGGGTTCCGCACCAGCCCCAGGGCTGCTCTGGGGGGCAATCTGGGCAGGAGGGACCGGCTCACGGAGGGGCTGGGGGCAGTAGCCGGGGCAGCGCCGGCCTGGCTCACCATCTGCGTGATCTCCTCCAGCGTGATCTGATTGTCCCCTGGGTCCTCTTGCGTCAGAGTCCTGGGGAGGAGCAGGCAGGAGCCTGCGTCTGTGCCCCGCAGCCGCCCCGCAGGCCCCTCCCTCGCCAGGAGCCCTCCCCCTTCTTCCTCCCTGACCCTCCTGGGGGCACGGCCCCCTCCTGAGCTCCTGTGGTGAGTCCTGTCTGCACCTGGCCCCTTGGAAGGCAGGGTAACCGATGGTGGAGGCTGGGATGCTGGGGGGTCAGGTGGGGGCGGGAGAAACTCTGCAGCCGGCTCTGCACCTTCCTAACCTCCTGCCGGCCTCCTGGGAGGGACACGGGGACTTGGGGGCGTCAGGGTGTGGCGTGGGGCGGGTATGAAGAGGATGGACATCTGGAAGGTTCTAGGACTCTGAGTCGGGGACTGAGGGGCGGTGGCAGGGGCACCTCCGGGAGCCAAGGGGAGGGTCTGGCTGGAGGGAGGCCGGCAGCTTCGGCTGAGAATCTGAGTCGGGGACGCCCCTTCGGGCGGAGAGGGGCAGGCCGGCCAGCAGGCAAAGTGCAGGTTTGGGGACAATTCAGTTCAGTCTGCTCGACAGACCTTCCTCAAGCACCCGCCCACGGGCCGCCGGCGCCGCCCGGGGAACTCTCAGGAACGATGGGATGTTCTTCATCTGCGTGTCCAATACGGAGCCACCGGCCACGTGTGGCTCGTGGGACTGAGTGTCAGGTTTTACTGGGCTTTGGTTGAGCAACTGAGACTGAACAGCCATAGGTCTGTGCAAGGACATGGAGGGGGCCGGTGGCGCCGTTAGGACGGCCGGAGCTGCGGACAGGTGGAGGAGCAGGCCGGGCCCCTCTGCTCGGGGTGGACAAGGACTGCCGGGCGCAGGGGGAGGAGGGACTCGGGGACCAGCTGCTCCAAAGCCGGCGGCTCAGGGGTGACGCCCCCCACGTGGTCCTACCTGATGATGTTGGCTGCGGCCTTCCGCTCCTGGGTCAGGAGCTCTGGGTCATGCATGACCTCCTCCAGGAAGGCAATCACCTTGCACTTCAGCTCCTCGTTGGTCTCGAAGTCCTGCGGGGAGAGGTGGTGGCTGTGGCTACTCCGTCCAAGCTGCCCACGGGGGTCCCGACTCAGGCCCGCGGAGGAGGTGGTGGTTTCCAGTCCTGCCCGTGGAGGTGCCCCTCGTTTCTTGTCTCGGGCTCCAAGCAGGGCACCTGTGGAGCCCGGAGACCTCCTGGCGGAAGGCAGGTCACGTGGCGGCTGCACCCGGGAGGCAGGGCCTCGGCCAGGGCCCTGGGAGCTGCAGACCGACCCTGTACCCTGAGAGGCAGAAGCCCCTGACCCTCGAAGGTCCTTGGTGTCTGAGATGGTCGGCCAGCACCCGGGCTCCGGCCTCCCACTGCCCCCGACGCCTGGCCCCCAGCCGCGGCCGGGACCACCCACCTGCCAGTGTTTGGACACCCAGTGGCGCAGCACATTCAGGACGCGGTTGGTGGCCGCTCTGCGGATCACAAACTCCTTGTCTCCGTTCCTCTGGTCGGCGGGAAACCCTGCTGGCACAGGGGAGGGGTCACCAGGACATGGAACAGAGCTCACAAGTACCTCCACGCAAACCCCAGATCTGGGTGAGCCGGGCTGCTTCCCGTGTTTGACGGGACGCAAGGCAGCCCAGTGGACAGTCTGAACCACCCGGGGACCACACCGTGCGTGTCGGGCTGCTGGGAGATCAGGCAGCCTCTCCAGACCAGAGCCCCCGGGGCTCCCGCTCCTGGGCCGATGGGTGCAGGTGGGAGGTGGGGGTGACCGGGGCTCCGCGGGCAGCAGGCTTCACTCTGGGAAAACTTTGCCCTGAAGGAAGGGGTCTCGGGGTAGGAAGGGGTCTCCCAATGGAATGTCAGCACTGCCCCAGGCTGAACAGCCACGGGGGTGGGGTCCTGGGGTCCTGGGGCCATCAGGGCCGCAGAGGCCGTGAGTAGAGCCCCCTTGCACCTGCGCTGGCCAAGGACATCCTCCGGTACTTCTCCTTGTTCGGGGTGCCCTCGTTGGCGCCCGCGGTCGCTATGGCAAAGGCGGAGGCCGCCGACAGGCCGCTGCGATTGTTGTCCAGCTCACGGCAGGACGTCATGACAACCCCGTTATTGTAGGAAAAGAGCGGGAACTCTGGAGAGAAAGGGACACCAGGGTCTCAGCGCAGGAAAAGGCTGTGCCCCTGGAGGTCTGTCCCTTGCTCGCCAGGGCCACCCCTGGGGCTGCCCCCTGCCTTCTCCCGCGGGGACGCTCAAGGTCCCGCCACCCTCCTGCTTCTGAGTGCGGTCTCCAGCGCCCTCCGCGTCTCTGCTGGCCCAAACCCTGTCACTGCTCGAGGCCAGCTGGGCACAGGGTGCTCAAGGACAGCTGTTTCTTACCCGTGTCCCCTTTGTTTTCAATACGTTTTTATTGATTTTAGACAGAGAGGAAGGGAGAGAGAGAGAGATCGAAACATCCATGTGACAGACATCGATCGGCCCCTCCTGCACACCCCCTGCTGGGGATCGAGCCGGAAACCTGGGTGTGTGCCCTGACCCCTGACCGGGCACGGAACCCGCAACCTCTTGGTGCTCGGACGCCGCTCCATCCACTGAGCCACACTATCCGAGCGTACCCTTGTCCATTTGGAAGGCACACGCAACCTGCTCACTGTCTGACATCGCTAGTTGACGCCAACGAGCTCACTGGTGTGGTGAGGTACAGAGCCCTGCTGCTGAGTCCTCCCCTACTTGCTGCGTGGCCTCGGGGAGTCACTTCACCTCTCTGGGTCTCAGGAGATGATCCCTGGGTAACAGGGGTGTGAGCACCCACCTCGAAGGGGGGACGGAAAGGTGGAAGGAGGGGTGCACGCAGTGTGGTGGGGACAGCTCCGTGTCTGCCGTGGGCGCGGGCGCTACCAACGTGCACTTATAGACGTTACAGCGGTGGAGTCGGGCTCTGCCAACCTGTGGGTCTGTCGTAGTCTGGGGTGTGGCCCGTACTCAGTTATGCCGAGAGGAGCACACTGCTAAGTGTGTTTCTGAGTCTGGCTCCCAGGGAGACCTGCCCTGCGGGCGGAGACGTGTCTGCCATGTGCGCCCAGGGGTGTCCTGCAGTCGGGTGACCTGTTACTGAATGGGCGTCCTCAGGAGGCCTGGGAGTCGGGGTTGGGGTGTAGGCTGCACCTTCAGGGTCGAGAAGGAGGCCCTGAACTTGAGCGTCACCTTCGGGTGTCCCAGAGCCCCCGTGCGTCCCCCAGGGAGGTGCTTGAGGGGAACAGGAAACCCAGGTGGGGCCGCGAGGCCCTGCAGGACAGGAGCCTGAGACTCAGATGGGCATTGTGCAACCGGTCAGTCTTTTCCATTCATTGAAAGACGGGAGTAACCTGGGCCCTTAACGGGGCTGCACGGAGGGCAGCTCAGGAGACACCCGTGAGCCCGGAGCTCCCAGCAGGGCCCTTGGTTCTGGTCTCCCTGACACCTGCGTGCAGTGGGCCGTGGTCCTGCCTGGGCCCGGTGGCTGTGCCGGGTGTAACAGCAGGACCCGTCCAGCGGAACCGGGAGACCCGCTCAGTCCCCCTCTCGGCGTGACCGGCGCCGGGCCTCACGCCCCTCCGTCAGCAGCTTGGGATGGGTGAACTGTACCTGAGGGATTTTTGCTCTTGACAGATTTCGGCGTCGTTGGAGATTTGGTTGGTGACATCTCGGTGTCGGCATCGTCACTCTGGTTCTGCTCAGTGTCCGACTCTTCCCTCATGGAGACCTCGGAGCCTGGGAGGAAAGGGGGTGATTTCGTGTTTCCCACCTGCCCTCTGACCTTCAGACTCAGGCCTCTGCCCTGTTAACAAGCAGCAGCCCGTGTGGGACGTGCCCGCGAGGACCGGCGGACGCTTCCCCAGGCCCCGCCAGCCCTTTCCGGGGGACGGCACCCTGAGTCTGCAGGTGGGCGTTGCTCTGCCTTCCGGGCACACCTGGGGGCTTGTGGGAACGCAGGTCTGAGTCAGGTTTGGGGCGAGGCCCAGGGTCTGCGTTCCTAACAAGCTCACAGGCGATGCCCACCTGGCTGGTCCATGGGCCACTGGGTGCAGCGAGGGTGTGTTGGGTGCAGCGAGGGTGTGTTGGGTGCAGCGAGGGTGTGTTGGGTGCAGCGAGGGTGTGTTGTGTGACCGCCTGCCCCAGTTGGGTCCCGGGCCCCTGGATCTGAATAATGACTTGTGACTTCCCCAATCCCAGGACACTGGTGGTTTATGCACGTTGGGAAAGTGGATGAATTATGTTAGAAGTTCAGGTCGGCCTGGTGGGATCTTGGTCAGGAATGCAGCGTCTCTGGTTCTCAGGGTCCCCGACAACTACAGCGAGCAGAGCTGTACGTGGCCCTTTTGAAAACTTGGAGAAAGACAGGCCTGGCCCAGGCTGCGGCCACTGCGGAGACAGACACCCCCAGGGACGCGGGAGGGAGCTGTGGGTGGGCACCTGGCATCTCTGCGCCCGGGACCCCATCCCCCTCACTGCCCCAAGGTGGCCACTCACCCTGCTTGCTAAGGGCCGAGGGGTCTTCTGGCTTCTCGGGGGTCACGTCCGCTTCGTCTGCAATCTTGTTGGCGAAGCTGCCGGACACGTAGAGCTTGCTGGTGTCCAGCGTGGCCTTGCCGAAGGGCGACATGGCCGAGTACATGCTGGTGTAGCCGTTGGAGTTGCAGCTGAGTGCGGCCAGGTCCAGGGCCTTGCCTCCCGTGATGATGGGGATGTTCAGGGACAGCTTGCGCCGGCGGCTGGGCGAGGATGTCTTGGTGAGGGACAGCGGTGGCGGGGAGGAGAACTTGCGGGTGGCCCGTGGAGACTTGGGGGGGTCCCCGTAGAGGAGTTTGTTGTTCTGGCCGCTGGCCAGCAGGAGCTCCAGCGACCTTCGGGGAGACGGCGCGGGGGGTGGTCAGGGGACCCTGTGCCTGCTGGGCCCCAGGAAGGATCTCGAGGGTCCTGAGGCACATGCCCACCCTGGACACGGGGTCTGTCCTGCTTCCTCAGGGCCCCTACGCAGCTGACGGCTGAGGGTCAGAGCAGACCGCCTGGCCCACGAGGCCCGAGCAGGTGGACAGTGAGCACTGGTGGCGGATGCAGTCGTGTTGGGGGAAGTGTGGGATGTGAGGGGGGACGGCTTGAGCCTCCAGGTCTCCTGGCCCCTCCTCATGCCTGGGGCTACATTTGGGACCAGCTTGGGCCCCCTGCAGCCCTGGGGGGGTAGCATGATTCAGGAGGTCTGTCCCCCACAGCCCAGGAGCCCTGGCTCTGGCCCCGTGTCCGGCCTTGGGGGGCGATGGGGGAGCACGGCGTCCACACTGTCACACAGACTCGGACGGGGTGGGCACCTGTGGGCTCAGTGAGACCAGGGCCCTGGGTTCGAGTGCCCACTAGGCCCGACTTCTTTCCGAGCCCCAGGTGCTGTCCCATGAGGCCCAGGTGCACCCTCCACTCGCTGAGCCTCCAGCCGGGCCCCTCTTGTCCTCTGAGCAGGGTCCCGGGTGCCGCGCCCACCTGGCGGGGATGGCGCTGATGGGCTTCCTGTAGATGGTGATGAGCTTGTCCAGGACCACCAGGGCCGTGGTGAAGACGCGGTAGGAGTGCAGGAAGGTGTTGAGGAAGTCGATGCTGAGGAAGCGCAGGTCGGTGAGCCGCTCCAGCAGCCGGCCCACGCTGGCGTAGCGGATCTGCAGCACCTTGCAGGAGTTCATGGTCTTGCTGAAGCGGATGTCCACGTCGTCGCAGTACAGGGAGGCGTCGGACCTGCGGGCACGGGGACGGTCGGCCGGGGCCGGGCCCGGGGCTGCCTCCTTCACCACCTCCAGCGCGACAGCCAGGGGGGGCGGACCGACGGCCGCTGAGAGACCGGCCGGCTCGTTAGGGGGACTTTGGGGGTGACACTGAGGAGGTGACGGCAACTTCTCTTTTTGTGAACAACATCCTAACAACCAGCTGTTACTAAGCTCCCGGAAAGAGTAAATAAGATAGAGCGAACTCAAAATAATGTGTTGACCCCTGGCTGGTTTCGCTCAGTGGTGAGAGCGTCGGCCGGCGGACCAGAGCTGGGGGGTGGATTCTGGTCGGTACCTCGTTGCAGTTTGATCCCCGGCTCTGGACGGGGTCCTGGGGAAGGCAACCGACTGATGTCTGTCTCTCTGTCCTGCAGGCCACGGGGGTGGGGCAGGAAGGGGGATGAGCCAGGCGGGGGGCTCGGGTGCCGGGTGCAGCAGGGGCTCAGCGGTCAGTGGAGCCCACCCCCCCGCCCGGTCGCGGCCCTGGGAGCCTGTGTTTCTTAAGTGTTGACATTGTGTAAACGGGAAAAGAAAGATAGTCATCACAAGAAAGAAGGCACGTGACATGTCCTTCCTAACGTTATATTTTAAACAGCCTGGTGCAGAAACCCACTGAGCCAAAGCCATCATCCAAACACACCTTAACTCGCCCTGGCCAGGTGTCTCAGATGTTAGGGTGTCGCCCCGATACCCCAACATTACAGGTTCCATCCCCAGCCAGGCCACATTCAAGAGTCAACCAACGAGTGCATAAATAAGTGGAGCGACAAATCCACGTTACCTCTCTCGCTCGCACATCAATGAATAATAATTTAAGAAACACCACACCAGTAGATATCGACTCAAAACAGACAACAGGCCCCCGGAAGAGGGCAGCGGCGTGTTCGAGCTGCAGTCCGGCCGCCCAGCACCCCTGCCACGCCACGTGGCCCTGGGTCCGGGTGCGGACGGCCTCGGGACACTTACTTGATCATCTGCGGCACTGTGACCTTGGAGTTCTCCTCAAAGGCGTTCATCATGAGCCCGTTGCACCGGATGTTGTCGACACACTAGGATCAGAGTGGGGACCCCGTGTCAGAGCCTCCGTGTCCATCCTGGGGCCCAAGCCCAGCGGGGGCTGCCCAGTGAGCGAGCCGTTCATGGGCCCCCGCCCCCCAGACACAGGGCGCCGTCCGGGCCAGCGCAGAGCACCCCTTGACGTTGGCCGGAGGTGAAGCCCCAGCTCAGTGACCTTGTGGGGTTCACCTGACCTCCCTGAGCCTTGGTTTCTCTACCTGCCAAATGGGGATAAGGACTCCTCCCTGGCTGGGCTGTTGGCAAATTTTGCTTTGAATGGAAAGTACCCATGCAAACGAGAAGAAAAGATACAACTCGGGGTGTGTGTGTGTGTGTGTGTGTGTGTGTGTGTGTGTGTGAGACTGTCTCCTCCCCATTGTCCCCTGTCCCAAGCCTTCACATTTCTGCCGTGAGAGGGGTTGTCCTTGGCATGGGGGCCGTGTGGGGTCCCAGCACAGCGTCTTGTTTCACAGAGGTGCATGGTGGTGGGGGCTGACCACGGCCGGGCACGGAGACAGGCCGGTGCAGCAGGAAGCGGGCACCCCAGGCCCTGCCTGTGGGACCCCCGGCGGAAGGGGGTGCAGTAGAATTTCCATCTCTGCTTTTGCAGCCCCGCTCTCCCAGGCCCTCCTCAGCTCTGGTTCTGCCAGACCCTGAAATGCATCACCCGCAGTGGGTGACCCAGAGGCAAGGGGTTGGCAGACCCAGCTTCGCGGGTGGCCCAGGGGCTGGGACGGCTGTGCCCGGAGGACTCGGAACCGCTCACCTGGCTGATGTCGCTGGTCCACGCCGCCTTCTCCTGTCTGGACGAGGCCACGAGGATGACGGTGAAGGGTGGGGAGTCCTTTGGCTCCACCCCAATCTTAAAGTCCAGGTGGTCCATGTCTTGCCCGGACCCTTTGGCTTCCGGTTGCAAAACATGGATTTACGCAGTGAGCACGGGCCATTTTGGGGGCTAAAATCACTTTCAACCTTGTACCCCGTGGGGAAGGCCGGGCTTCAGTGAGCACCAGGCCACTGACTATGTTCAGAACATTTCTTTCTTCCTACGGCGAGGAACCCCCACTTCAAAGGTGGAAGAACCAAGGCCTGGAGCACAGAGGAGGGGACTTTAGGAAGCCCAGTCTGAAGACCCAGGCCCGGCCTCTCGGACTCGGGGAGAGGGGCCACCTCCTCCTGCGTCCCGCCTCCCGCGTCCCTCGTCCCTCCTCCCTCCTCCCGCCTCCCTCCCAGCCACAAGCACGCCTGGGCCCAGCCTGGCAGGGTGAGTGAGCCTGTGCACCTGCAGCGTCCACACACTACCTTCTTCCTCCGAGCCTTCCGGGTCCTCCAGCAAGGTGCAGTCGATGAGGGACACCACTCCGTTCTGCAAGAGAGCAGGCCCAGGACGTCAGGAGGGGGACCGGGACTGTGAGCACCCACCTACGTGTGCTGTTCCAAGTGGGCATTTTGTTTGTCAAGCTGAGGGGCTCTATATATACAAAACCGGACGAAGGGAACCCTTCCTGGATGCAGGTCAAGGTCGGCGGGGGTGGGTCACGGAGCTGCCTGTGTGGCCTCTTCCTGCCCCGCGGCAGCTCCCAGACGTTGGCGGGACCCACAGAAGTTGGCGATCCCCGTTCTAGGCCAAACCCTTCCTGTTACCAACAGGGAAACAGGCCGATTTCACGGACCTGTCACAGGTTTTGTTATTCTGATCCTACACCTGAAGAAATGGAACCAGGGAGCTAAGTGTCTTCCCCGAGGTCATGTGAGGGTCTGGGGTGGAGCCTCAGGGGCCTGATCCCAGCTCAAGGTCGGTCCCTGTTTTTCAGTTGGTAGGAATATTGAGTGTGCAAGCCCGAGTCCCCGGAGGCCGTAGTGAGAAATGAGAGCAGGCACAGCTTTGGGGGTTGTGAGATGCGCCCCAGACAGGCAGGTACCCCTTCCTCTGAGTGTGCCCTGGACTTGACGACCTGCTTCTCGTTAGAGAACCAAGCAGGACTGAGGGGTGTCACTGTGGAGGCAGCAGCCTCCCCCCGGCTCTTGTCTCTCGGCACTGGTGCAGGGAAGCCATGAGGACAGGTGTACGTATGAGACACTCGGCCAACCGCCGAGTGGGCAGCCAGAGCGGAGAAGGACGCTTGGCCCCCATCACGCCTGGGTGACACTGCCCAGCATCATTGTGTCTTCAACCTCCCCAGAGGTCCTGGGTCAGGTAGAGCCCAATTTCCTGACCCACAGAAACTAAGATAACACATGTTTCTTTTAAGCACTACAATTGGGGTCATTTACTGCACAGTGACAGATAAGTCATATGATAACCGGTGACAGTCGGGACCTGACCATGGGCTGATTTGTATTGGAAAACGTTAGCAGGGCAGGCTGCCCCCCGGGGTGCAGGGGGACCCCAGATCCTATTTCTCATTTTGTTCCTTTGTGGCCTTGTTGGACCTTAACTGCCCAGTGATGTCCCTGGGCTGGATGACCTTGAAAGTCCCATCTGGCTCTGACGTTCTCTTACTACTGTTGAAACAGTTTGTAAACCTTGTGGAGTCACAGCGTGCCCCTTTCAGAAGGTTCTTAGGGCATTCTGTCTCGGACTGCGGTGTTCGAAGAGAAGAGGTTTGGCCTTGGCCAGTTTGGTCCAGCAGTTAGAGCGTCACCTTAGACCAAAGCGTTGGAAGTTTGATCCCCAGCCCCGGTCAGGGTCATGCGGGAGGTAATCAATCAGTGTGTCTCTCTCACATCCATGTTTCTCTCTCTCCCTCTCTTCCTTCCACTCTATCTAAAAGTCAATGGAAAAATATCCTTTGTGGGGATGGGGGGTTGGTGGATAGACGATTTGTAACCTTGTGATATGCATTCTCACAACCTGGCCAGCCTAGGATCAAAGTACACATGTAGATAGATAAGGTTTGTCTGAAGGGTAGGAACGCCACCCTGTCTGAACTGAGTGTGTTGTATATATGTGAATAGATAAGGTTTGCATGACAAAGAGTTGGAAGACCACTCAGCGAGGATAATGGGCCGTAGGCCCAGGTGTGGCTGGGTTTGTTATTTTTTAGCTTTAAAGTCTCTTTCTGCAGTAAAAAGCAAGAGACAAAGCTAGGCTGTATGGTTTGCACAGATGCCATCTCCAGGAAATAATTTACATAAATCCACTTGTAACCTGGGGGAACCAATCTGCAAATAAATGGGACTGCGTCCAAAGACCTGGAGCACTTGCTCCCTTGCAAAGCTCCCTCTCACTCCAACCAGCGTGTGCTTGTAGTTCATTGTGTTGCACCCATCCCGGCAGGCCAAGAGACAGCAAGTGGTGACCCCGACATGATTCGAGTATGCAGTGGCGTGATTCGACCAGCAACATAATGGTATGCGAAAGGGAATTAGTGATACAGATCAAAAGTAAACTACGCTCGAGTTTTCTCGAGTCAGTGGCGCCCGGCTTGGGACAACCACCTGCATATCTAGTGTCGTGAGGGGGTTACCCTACTGGGTTCCTGGAGCCACCTCCACAGTAAGAGGGAACGCAGGGTTTGGGAGCACTGGTCAGGGTGATGTTCTCTGGACAGCTGCTACTAACACCAGAAAGCCCTTGCTCTCCATTAACACACAAGGGCAACTATTTTCAGGATTAGTGGATACAGGGGCAGACATTTCTGTTATAACAACACGGGAATGGCCTAAAGTCCCAGCACCTCTGCTAGTTACAGGAGCGGGAGGAACTCAAGCTCCTCAACAGAGTACATGCTCCCTTTCCTGTACAGGTCCAGATGGACAAAAAGGATGGATTCAGCCTTACGTCATGGAGCCTCCCCTAAATTTGTGGGTAAGGGATCTTCTCTCTCAATGGGGAATGGTTATTCAAACCCAGCCTTCTGGCTAGGGGTCACTGGTAAAATTCCCCTCCTCTTATGGGCCTGGAAAACAACAGAGCCAGTGTGGATTGATCAGTGGCCCTTAAAAGGGGAAAAATTGTTACATGCAAACAGATCAGCGAAGGAGCAATTTGAACAGGTCATGTAGCACCTTCAGTCAGTCCCTGGAACACTCCCGTTTCTGTTATTCCTAGAATAGGTGGTCAGTGGAGATCACTACAGGATTTGAGGGCAATCGATGCTGTTACAGAACCCACAGAAGCATTACAGCCTGGGCCCCCCAATCCTACAATGACTCCTGAGAAATGGCCTGTAACTGTTATAGATCTTAAGGTTATTTTTTCACTATCCCCTTGGTTCTTACAGATAGAGAGAAATTCACCTTTTCTGTTCCCTCCATTAACAATAGTAAACCTATGCAATGGTTTCAATGGAAAGTACTACCCCAAAGAATGATGAATAGTCCGACAATTTGTCAATACACTGTGCATCATGCTATTGAGACAGTAAGGAAACTATCTCCCATTATTTATCTTTACCATTATATGGATGATATTTTATTGGCTGCCTCTACCCTAGAAAAATTGAATCAGGCCTATGTAATGCTTCAGGAGACTTTGAAAGAGGCAGGATTACAAATCACTCCAGACAAGGTACAGCAATTAGAACCTTGGCAATATTTAGGGTGGATATTAGGGGCAAGAATTATTCTCTCCCAGAAACTTACCATTCCAGAAAAAGTAACAACTTTAAATAAATTACAAAAATTACTGAGAGCCATCACTTGGCTTCGACCTATGCTTGGTATCACTACTCAACAGTTAATTCATTTATTTAATATTCTCAAAGGTGACCCAGCACTAAATTCACCTAGAACTCTATCTATAGAGGCGCAACAGGAACTTAAAGTAATAACTTCTCAAATACAAACCCGACAACTCATCGTCGGTCATTGAAAGACCCTATTAGACTATTTGTTTATTCAACTGCGCCATACCCTACAGCATCAATAGGACAATTAACACTTAAAATAAAATATCTTGAATGAATCTTTCTCCCAGCTACCCCATCTAAAACAATAACTCCATTTGTGGAACAGTTAGCAAATCTTACAACCAAAGGTAGAAAAAATCACAAGAACTGACAGGTATGACCATCAGATTCTACATTTACCTCTTACTCAGGAACAATTTACCACTTTGATTTCCCAGGCAATAGACTTTCAAATCCCTCCAGCAGTCTTCACTGGAGAAATTAATTACTCTCTTCCAGCAAAGAAGTTATTGCCAATTAATCCTCAGTTATACCCTAAGTTGGTACAAAACATCAGTAATACCCCATAACCCGGGGCTAGAACTTTATTCATTGTCGGATCAGGTGAATCTCACAAAGCAGCCATAGCCTGCAAAGAAAATGAGAAATGGAGAAATATCAGCAGCCTTGGGCTTGGGTTAATTCAGCGTACTGAATTATGGGCTACCACATTGGCCCTTCAACATTTTACAGAAGAGCCCTTAAATATAGTTAGTGATTTCACAGTATGTAGTTAAAGTGCTACAAAGAATAAAACAAGGCTTGCCCTGGCCGGTTTGGCTCAGCGGTTAGAGCATCAGCCTGCAGTCCAGAGAGACCCGGGTTCGGTTCCCGCTAAGGGCACGTACCTCGGTTGCAGTTTGTCCCCGGCCCTGGTTGGGTAGTGTGGGTGGCAGCCACTCGATGTGTCCCTTTCACATCGATGTTTCTCTCTCTCTTCCTCTCTCTCCCTCCCTCTCTATCTGAATAAAAAATGGAAAATTGTCCTCGGGTGAGGATTAAAAAAAAAAAAAAAAGAATAGAACAAGGCTTTATTAAGCCTTTAACTGATGAACATCTATTAATCTTATTTATGCCTCTGCAAGCTTTAATAGACCAATGGAATCATCCTATTGTTTAACCTACATTCGGCCTCATTCCACGCCCCCCAGACCTCTGACACAAGGAAATCAACAGGCGGATGCCATCGTAGCAACGCTTGCATTTCAGCGAGCGCAGTGTTCACAGGCCTTTTCACCAGAATGCTCGAGCACTCGTGAAAACCTTTCATTTGACCCTCTTGCAAGCTCAAGATATTAATAAGTCCTGCCCAGAGAGCCAACTTTCCGGAGGGACTTCAACATCAGCAGGAGTCAATCCTCGGGGTTTAACCCCTAATGCCTCATGATATAACACATATTCCATCATTTGGTCAATTTCAGTGGGTACGCGTCACTATGGATACCCATTCCAATGTTCTACATGCAACCGCCGCGACCTGGGAAAAAGCCAAAGACGTTAAGGGTCACTGGCTGTCCTGTTTTGCACATATGGGGGTGCCACTGGAAATTAAAACGGAAAACGAGCCAGCCTATACATCTCAAAGCATTAAATTATTTCTCCAACAATGGAGTATTAGCCATAAGACTGGCATCCCCTATAACCCTGTAGGACAAGCTATTGTTGAACATGCTCCTGCTACTTTAAAGTTATTAATTACAAAACAAAAAGGGGAGGTATGGGTGAACCCCCTGTAAATCAGCTTTCTCTGGCAATCTATACCTTAAATGTTTTAAATTGAGATCGTTTTATCACTACAGCTGTGGAGCGATATTTTCAACAAAAGTCTTCTGCCACAGGGCCCAAGCCTTTGGTCCGGCACAGAGACCCACAGCCAGGGCCTGAATGGCGGGGCCCTGCAGAGTTACTGGCTGGGGGGCGGGGTGTGCTTGTGTTTTGTCTCCTACAGGTCCCAGGTGGCTGGCGGCGCAGTGGATAAAACCTTACCATGAACAGGAAGGACCTGCGCTTCAACCTGACTCCTCAGATGGCACAGCTGACCTTGGACACTGATCGTAAAACTCACACTCGGTCCCGGGGCCCCTCTCAAACCCTTTCTAGGGTTACCTGGGGAAGCCTTAAGCAGTTACAGCAATGTTCTGAGGAAATGCTAACTAGAATGGGGGCTTCTCTTACCCCAGAGAATAGTTTTTTTGCTTACTTATCTATAATCTCCACCCAATCTAGAGTAGGTATTTTATGCTGCTTGCCTATATTATTGAGCCCCGCGGCAGCAGAACAACACTTATATTGGACTCATGTTATGGACACCCCTGTAAAGGAGGCCTGTTGGGTGGCTAATAGCATTTATCATTTCAGCCACAGTCATTGCTGCGACTGCAGCTGTTTCAGGCACGGCCTTGACGGAATCAGTCTGAACTGCACATACTGTGGCCGAAGTAATGACCAATGTTACTAAGATATGACTTCCCAGACAGAAGCTGATCGAGGAACTCCGACTCGATTGGATGCCTTAGAGGCAGCTGTATCGTGGCTCGGAGAACGTGAAGAGGCCTTGGCCACTCGCTCTTCATTAAACTGTGACTGGGAACTTACTCATAGTCTGTGTGTAACTGCTTTGCTTTGGAATGTCCCTCCCACAGTTGGACAGCAGTCAGACAGCACTTAGAGGAGCTTTTGCTAGCAACGTTGGAGGGCAAGTAACTAATCTAAAAAAGGCTCTGGAAGCACAGTGAGCAGATATACAACTTGCTCAACAAAATGTTTTCAAGGCTATCTCAGATAATGTCCAATGGCTCAATCCAAAACATTGGTTTGAGGGTTTCAATCTTAGAATCTGGATTTTTACTGCTATGTGTTGTTTTCTTGTTTGTGTTGACCTCATAGTTCTCCGAGGACTCTGGGGAGTGGTGTCCTCTATGCAGAAGATCGGAAAACGAGTGATGATGCTCATGACCACTGCAGCAGCGGTGATCCCACAATTTCAAGAGAACAGAAGGGAGGGAGATGTGGGGATGGGGGGTTGGTGGATGGACGATTTGTAACCTTGTGATATGTATTCTCACAACCTGGCCAGCCTAGGATCAAAGTGTGTGTGTGGATAAGGTTTGCCTGAAGGGTAGGAACGCCACCCTGTCTGAACTGAGTGTGTTGTATATATGTGAATAGATAAGGTTTGCATGACAAAGAGTTGGAAGACCACTCAGCGAGAATAATGGGCCGGAGGCCCAGGTGCGGCTGGGTTTGTTATTTTTTAGCTTTAAAGTCTCCTTCCGCAGTAAAAAGCGAGAGACAAGGCTAGGCTAGGTGCGGTTTGCAGAGATGCCATCTCCAGGAAATAATTTACATAAATCCACTTGTAACCTGGGGGAACCAATCTGCAAATAAATAAATAGGACTGTGTCCAGAGATCTGAAGCATTTGCTCCCTTACAAAGCTCCCTCTCATTCCAACCAGTGTGTGCTTGTAGGTCATTGTGTTGCACCGATCCCGGCAGGCCGAGAGACGGCAATCCTTGGTTGAGGATTAACAAAAAAAAAAAAGAAAAGAAAAGAAAAGAAAAAAGACAAGAAGTTTGAATTGTAGCTTATGATTTAACAGTACAGTCTGACCTCAATCCCAGCTCCGCCACTTGCTGGCTGCTCCCAGACGTACCCTTATTCATAAGGTGCCTCTGTGGGTTGTCGTAGGAATTAAATGCACAGAAAGTGTTGGGGAGGGTGCCTGCCACACCAATCAGCATCCAAGGGCCTGCTGTTACTCTGTGAGCTCATGGTTCTATAAACAAGAGCGACACTGATGTCATCTCTTGAGCACCTGCTGTAGGTCAGGCCCTGCCTCGCTGGATCCTCACAGCCCTCCTCTGAAGGGGGTGTTCTCACCCCATTGTGCAGATAAGTAAACTGAGGCCTAGTGAGGTCATGTGACTTGTCTGAGATTGCCCACTGGTGTGTGGCCGCTGGAGTCTGAGTGGATTGACTGCGCTCTTCCTGAGTATGCTAACAGGCTTTTAAAACTCAGCCCTGCCCCAAACCAAAATGAGATAAAATGTGGAGACGTAAAAACACGTGCTTGCTGGCTTTTGGAGCAGGAAGCTGTGGCCCTCGCTGACCCCCACCAGCCGGAGGAGCCGTTTCCCCCTCCCCTCAACCCGCGGCCTGGAGGAGACTGTGAGGGTAGAGACTGCAGAGCTAATAGTGACGACGCTTTCCCTGATACAGCCTGCAGTTGAAGCTGGAGTATCCAGTGTTCATAAATTCATTTCCCCGTGTGCAGCCAACCAATTAATTTGTCGCCAGGTGAACAGAGCAGGGTGTCCCCTGATGCTGCCGCCTGCTTCGCGAGCCTAGAAAGAGGTCACGGGCCAGGCGTCCGGGCTCTGGTGTATTTAAGGCGCCTGACCCTGTGCCGGCCACCACGAGCTCAGCTCTGAAGTCTGCAGAGGCAAGTTTCCAAGGGATGGACACGGTGCTGGGGAGACTCTAGCTTATCCAGCGGCCCCTACTGACCAGGCCTGTGTCCACCTGCCTGCACCTGTGAGAACAGTCACCCCGGTAGAGACGAGGAGCTGTCCCAGGGCCACACATGTGAGATGAAGCTGGGACTGGACCCTGAGCTCAGAGCAGTAGACAAGCAAGGTGTCGTGTTGGGGAGCAGGCAGCTCTGCCTGGGGGTTGGCTTCTCAGCAGGTGTCGTTAGGCCTCGAAGGACGTGAAAGGAGTTTGCGGGGTGGGGGTGGGGGGAAGAGCCTGTGCAGCTATGTGGATGGCAGAAGCCAACGCCCTGGGGTCAATGAGGAAGCAGGAAGGGGTTCGAGGTGCTTAGCGCCCCCGTCTTTTTGGATGGGCCAGCTGGCTGAGTGTGGGTCTCCCGCAGGGCTGTGAGGCCCAGAGCACCAGCCCTGTGGGTGAGCACCCAGCAGCCTGCAAGCATCTGGCCGGTCAAGGCTCTCCCTGGGGAGTGAGTGCTGACAGGGCCCTGGGAGGGCTCCATCTGAGCCCCCTTTGGTGGGAGATGAGAAGCTGTGGGCACAGGCAGGTGTCATCACGTCCCTGCTCCCTATACGCATGCGCGCACACACACACACACACACACACACACACTGTCTAGGGGCTTGTCTAGCCCCCCAGCTCCTCGGCCCCCGCACCCAGCTGTGTGGGTCCTGGTCCTCACCTTCCTGCTTCCCAGGAGTTCTCCAGCAGAAACTCGGTTGTTTCAAAGGCAGTGAAACCAGGGCTCGTGTGTGCTCACGTGCCCCGGACACCTTGCCCGCCCTGTGGTCGGCAGGGCCTGCAGCGAGCCGGGCCGCAGCCCTGAGGCCCCGCCCCGCGCCCTCACCTTGGTCAGGTGCAGTTTCCCGCCGGAGCCTCGGGTGCAGATGATCAGGTGCTTGGAGAACAGGAAGCACTGTCTCTCACCCTCCTTCTTCAGGGACAGAGAGCCCAGGCGCCCCCTGGTGATCTTGCCCTTTTCGGACATGGGCACCTGGATGAGGGAGCCTGCGGATGGACGGAGGACAGAGACCTGACTGCCCATCTCCGGGCTGAGCCTGCGCGTCTGAGGCTTCTGCCGTCCGGTGTGGGTTGAACTGGGAACCAGGCGACCCCAGTCCTTGGTGACAAACCTGCACATAGGACACATGCTCCAGCCCCCCAGGGCCCGATGGTGGGGACGGGACTGGGGGATGACCAGGGAGGATCCATGTGTGACCCCTTGTCCTCCGGCCAGGGCAGGCCTTGGCAGGCAAGGAGCCCTCACTACCTGAACCCTGCCGTGAGAATGCAGGTTGGGGGGGGGGTCTTGGGGTGGCAGGAGGCTGAACAAGTGGGGGGCTGCTGTGGCCCGGGGGGGATTGACAAGGGCACTTGCTGCCACACAGCCAAGGCAGACGTCACCAGCCAATCAGACTTTGCTGCTGCACCTCTGTCCTCAGCGCGGCGCCAGGGAGCCACTGCCGCAGGGCAGGTGCCTGGGAGGGACCTGTTTGCTGTTCCCGCCCCCAATGCCTGTGCCTGTGAATCCCTACTGACCCTTCGAGACTCGACTCCAGCGCCACCTCCTCCGGAGCCTGCCCTGATTCTCCCTGGTCTTGCTCTGGGCCACTGCTCTGCCTCCTGCCCACACCCGTCCCTGCCTGGAAGCCTGGACTGTGGGGACACTGCCAACCCCAGGAGAGGTCTTTTGGGGGGACACTTCCAGCATGGGTCCAGTGCGGCTCAGGGGAGATGGGGGACAAGCATGGCTGGCTCTGGGCTCTGCAGTTGGCAGGGTGGACCTAGGATGCAGGGCCACACACGGGAGCTTGAGAGACACTCCAGGCTGGAGAGGCCCTTGCTAAGGGTGGAGACCAGAGGCTGGTGGGAGGTGCTGTCAAGCTTTTATCTAGTCAGAGGTCCCAGGGCCCAGCTGAAGGAACTCGGGAGACTGCTCTACAGTAGGGTCATCTCTGTGGTATGCATGCAGACCCTGAGCTTTCCAGAGCCTGGGGCCTGAATGGGGAAACCTTCAACTGCACTGCAGCTTGAACATGCCTGAGTTAGTCAGTCCCTTGGGCACAGAGACCTCTCCCCACCCCTCGCCATAGGGCTGTACCTCTTCACACTGTTCCCAGGTGAGCTGAGGCCAAGGGGGACAGAAACCTTCTTCCCAGAAGAACCACAGTGGTCACAGCCCCCTGAGGGACCAAAGACGATGGACAGAGGACAGAAGGACTGACCCAGGCCAATTTCTCCAGACACTGAAATGCCTGTGGTCACAGGGCCAGTCGGCATCTATCCTCACCCTTTGCTGCTATGCTGTCCCACAAGAGACATGTTCCTGTCCAACAGAATATATGATAGACGGCCAAGGCCGGGGACTCTGCAGTCACCCCAGCAGGTGCAGCAGCCAAACCAGCGGGGGTGCCGAGTGATGCCTGCTTCCCAGTGCCGGGTCTCCCAGTACCTTGTCTCACGAAGGTCTGGCTGGTGTCCAGCAGAATCTCGCAGCCTTCAATGATCATGCGCTCGATGGCCAGGTTCTTCCGGATGTTCTCCGTCTCACTCACTTCGTCGTGCATGATCCTGCGGACACAGAAATGACAGTCAGAGACAGGTGGCCACCACTCAGAGAGGAAATCTTGGAAGAAAGCTGGGCCCCCAGGACTCTCAGTGGGGCCCCTGACCAAGGGTCGAGAGCAGGAATGTACTGAGTGTGCTGGACACAGAAAGGTATCTCATTTTATCTTTCTGACAGCCCAAGGAGGCGGGTGCTTTTATTTCAGAGAAAAGGGAATGGAGGTTAACAGCTGAAAAAAGCAGGTTTCTGTGATTTAAAAGTCTAAGACGACAGTAACATTGAGAGGAAGATGGGGGTACAGGAGATGTCCTTAGTTCATCAACCTGTCTCTCATCCAACCACCAGCCCTATCCATCCACAGAAGAAACCAACTTTATTTCTACTCCAGGGCCTATGCACTTCCTGTTTAGTGCCCCTGAACGCTTGGCAATGCAGCTGGCTCAGGGAACACTGACTTCAGTTATTTCTGTGAATTCTGGCATGCCTGAGAGAGAAATAGAACACTGCTTGCCCCTGATCTGAGAACACCAACAACTGTCCCTATCTGTCCCTGTTCTGATGGCTGAAACACCACTCATGTCCACAAGGTGGCACCTTTGACCTGCTTTTTAGCGAATACTGTCTGTGGGTAAGAGGACAAGAGTTGTCAACTTTGCTAAGAGCCTTGATGGGTTTCTAGGACTTCAGGAAAGTAGTGGGTAGTATATGAGGGAGGGTAGTGGAAAAACACTCCACCTACTCCAGCTCAGGGTCTTTGCCCTTGCTGTTTTTTTCCTCCCAGAAAGCTCTTACACAGCTGTTTATTATTGAGGGTGGAATTGTTTATATTCCAAGGACCTGGCTGGAAAAAATTTCAGCCTATTTCTCCTCAGGGCATTTGTACTTGTGGTTTTATCCTCCTGAATTCTCTTACAGGGCTGATTTTTACATCCTGGCTCTGGATTGGTTTATTGTCAGAGAACCTGACAGAGCAGCTAGCTCAGGGAAAAGAAGTTTGGTTAGTTTTGTAGGTTCTGGAAAGATTGGGAGGAAAGCTTGACATCGGTACTTCCTAATTAGAGATACAGACAACTGTCCCTGTTTTTTGCTGTTGCCTGCAATACCACTCATGTCCACAGGATGGCAGCATTTATATTTGAAACATTTTTTAGCTACTTGCCATACCACTCTTGTCCACAGGATGGCAGCATTTATATGTGAAACATTTAATTTTAGCTACCTGCCATACCATTCTTGTCCACAGGATGGCAGCATTTACTTTAGAAAAATTTCTTTGCTGCTGCCTGCAATACCACTCATGTCCACAGAATAGCAGAATTAACAGTTTTCTAATTTTTTTGTGTGTTTACAGATGTCCCTCCTTCCCTCCCCCCCCCATTGACAGGCAACATTTATGTTTGAAAAAATATTTTCTGCTGTCTGCAATACCACTCGTATCCACAGGATGGCAGCACTTAAACATTTCTTTGCAGCTTCCTACAGTATCACTCGTGTCCATAGGTTGGTAGCTTTTAAAATTTTTTCTCCTGCCTGCAATACCAGTCGTGTCCACGGGATGGCAGCATTAAAAAAATTCTGCTCCCTGCAATATCGGTTGTGTCCACAAGGTGGCAGTATTTTTCAAATTCTGCTTCTTGCAACACCAGCCATGTCCACAGGGTGGCAACATTTTTTTTAAAAATCTGCTTCCTGCAATAGTGGTCGTGTCCACACTACGGGAGTATTTTTTAAAATTCTGCTTCCTGTAATACTGGTCGTGTCCACAGGGTGGCAGTATTTTAAAAATTGTGCTTCCTGCAATACCAGTCGTGTCCACAGGGTGGCAGTACTTTAAAAAATTCTGCTGTCTGCCATACCGGTCGTGTCTACAGGGTGGAAGCATTTAAAAAATTGTTTTCTGCAATACCAGCCGTGTCCACAGGGTGGCAGCACTTACTTTTTTCTTGATTTTTTTTTTTCTTTCTTGTTGAAAGTATTACAGATGTCCCTTATTTTTCCCCCATTGACAGGCAGCATTTGCATGAAAACATTTTTTTTCTGCCGCCAGCAATATCATTCGTGTCCACATGGTGGCAGCATTTTTGAAAAAATTTCCTTCTGCCTGTAATATCTGTCGTGTCCACAGGATGACAGCATTTTTGAAAATCTTCCTCCTGCTTGCAATACCAGTCGTGTCCACAGAATGGCAGCATTTTTTTAAAAAATTCTGCTTCCTGTCCTGGCTTGTTTGGCTCAGTGGTTGGAGCGTTGGCCTGAGGACCAGAGAGTCCTGGGTTTGGTTCCCGCTAGGGGCATGTACCAAAAGCAAAACAAAATAAAACAAAAATTTCTGCTTCTTGCAATACCACTCGTGTCCACAGAAGGGCAGCATTTACTTTTTATTGAAATTTTTCTTGTTTAAAATATTACAGATGTCCCTTTTTTTTACCCCCATTGACAGGCAGCTTTTATATTTAAAAATATTTTCTGTTGCCTGCAATACCACTCATATCCACAGGATGGCAGCATTTACTTTTTATTGAATTTTTTCTTGTTTAAAATATTACAGATGTCCCTTTTTTTTACCCCCATTGACAGGCAGCTTTTATATTTAAAAATATTTTCTGTTGCCTGCAATACCACTCATATCCACAGGATGGAAGCATTTTTGAAAAATTTTCTCCTGCCTCTAATACCAGTCATGTTCATATGACGGCAGCATTAAAAAAAAAAACTCTGCTGCCTGAAATATTACTCCTGTTCACAGGATGATAGCATAAAAAAATTTTTTTTTCATTTATTGATTTTAGAGGGAGAGGAAGAGAAAGATGGAAACTTCATCAACAAGAGAGAACTTTTTTCTAATCCTCACTAGAGGACAGTTTTGCATTTATCTTCAGATAGAGTGGGAGGAAGGGGGGAGAGAGAGAGAAAGAAACATCAATGTGAAAGAGACACGCCCAGTGGTTGCCACCCACACGACCCCAAACAGGGCCAGTGACAAATTGAAACCGAGGTACATGCCCTTTATCAGGAACCAAACCTGGGACGTTCCGGTCCGCAGGCCGACGCTCTAACCGCTGAGCCAAACTGGCCAGGGCCAGCCAGTGATTTCTTGGTGCATGGGTCGATGTTTAACCATTGAGCCACACCAGCCAGGCATGATGGCAGCTTTTTTGAAAAAAATTTTTCTGCTGCCTGCAATATCACTCATGTCCACAGGATGGCAGCATTTACTTTCTTGTTGAAAATGTTAGCGATGTCCCTCTATTTCCCTATTGACAGGCAGCATTTACGTACTTGGAAAAAAATTTTCTGCTGCTTGTAATACCACTCATGTCCACGGGATGGCAGCATTTACTTACTTTTGGGGAAAAAAAAAACCAATTCCGTCCGTGAACCTAGATGGACAAGATAGTTGCCAAATTTGCTTGGAAAGTTTTTTGTTTTGAAGAAGTCTTCAGAAAATAATTTGTCATTTTTGAGTGAGGGTCTTAAGAAGTTTCCTGCCAACTCTTTCTCAGAGCCTTTGTACTTGTTTTATTCCCAGTAACTCTCTTGTACGTTGGTTTTTCAAAATCGTGGCTCTACACTGGCTTGTTGTGGGAGCACCTGGCAAAGCAGCTAGTTCGGTAAGTCTGACTCCAGCTAACTTGTGGGTTCTGGCAAGTTTGGCAAGAAAGCTTGACAGAGCTCCTTCGGAATCTGAGCTGCAGACAAGCGTCCCTTTGTTTCGCTTCTGCTGCCTGCAATACCACTCGTTCCCACAGGGCGGCAGCATTTACTTGCTTTTTAAAAAAACAGCCTTGGATCAGGCAAAAGGACCAGTGTGCGGTCTGTGTTGCTGTGAACCTTGATTGGTTGGTTTCCAGGCGTCTGCCCAAGTGGTCTGTTATTTTCCTAGTGGGTGTGTGAAAAATAGTGGGCCTTCTTCTCAGGGCCTTGGTAGTTGCTGTTTCATATCCCTGAACTCACTGATAAGACTTAAAAAAAAATCCTGGCTCTGGATTTGCTTATTGTCAGAGGACCTGGCAATGCAGCTGTCGCAGGGAAGACCGGCTTCAATGTCTGCAGATTTTGACAAGTTTGGAAGGAAAGCTTGACGCAGCTACTTCCTAACCTGGGATACAAACAACCGTCCCTTTTGTGTCAGGTCTGTCGACTACAGCACCATTCATGTCCACCAGGTGGCACCACTTACCTGTGCTTTAAAAATACTGTGCTTGGGAAAATGCACAGCTGGGTTGTCGACTTTGCTAAGAGCCTGCGTGCGTTTCAAGGAGTCTCAGGAAAGTAGTGGGTCATCTGTGTGTGTGTTGGGGGGGGATCTCAAAAATGCCCTACCTTCTGCTTGGGCCCTTTGCAGCTGCTGTTCCCTCTCCCTGAATGCTCTTCATGTGGCTCTTTCCTTAATACTTTTTCTGAAATGGCTTATTTTTGGAGGACCCGGCCGTGCAGCTGGCTCAGCGGCCTGTTGGCCCTGGCACGTCTGGGAGGGCGCTCTTAGCCCCTAATCTGAGAACAGACAGCTGTCCAGTTGGTGCCAGTTGTACCGGCCGCAATACCACGCATGTCCACAGCGTGGCGCCATTTACTTGCTTAAAAAATATGTCCCTAGGAGGGGCTTTGCTAAGAATATGGATGGATTTTTCAGGAGTCTGAGGAAAGTAGTGGGTCAGCTTTTGGGGGGATAGATCACTAAATATTGTTTGCTGAGACCTGAAATTCCGTCAGGAATGAGGGGCTGGTCACTGTGTGGCTCCCAAGGTTCTCTCCCAGACACCCCGCACTCAGACCCCACAGCACCCTGCAGACACGGGTGCCCCAGGTCCGTGACTGCTGGACTCAGCCTGACGCTGGTCCTCAGTTTCCTGAGAATGTTGGGGTGAGGACGGACAGCTGTGTAATTCACGCACTGAGGTTTGCATGGCCCAGGACAGTTGAAAAGGGTTGTGATCACTGTGGCCGCTGTCATGGTTCGTAACTGTTCACAGAACAGGGTGTTTCTGGTTCCAGACTGAGGCCTTGAGGTGGGGTCCCCGCCACAGCCTTGGTTCCCTTCCCTTCCGGCTGGGCTCTGACAGAGCCGGGCCTCGGCCCGTCCTGGGAAGGTGTCGGTGAGGGAGGCACCTCCAGGGAGTGAGTTCCTGGGGTGGGGTTTCTCTCTAGAGGTGACCAAAGGCAGCCAGCCCCTTTCTCTGGGTCTGGTTTGGGTGGACGAGTGTCGGGGCGGCCCCCACGGGGTGCCGGGGCGTGGGGAGTAGGTTGAATCTGCAGCTCGCCCGGGGGCTCTGTTTCCGAGCCCTGGGGCTTGTGGGTGACAAAACTGGGTGACCAGTGAGTTAGGAGATGGGTTTTGGGGGGAGCAGGGGTCCAAGGCCAGCCCAGGAGAATTCTGAGCACAGCACCGAGCACTGCTTGTCTGAGCGCCTCCTGCAGGTTGGGGGCTTTTCTCTGCCCCCCCCAGCCCCCAGGAGGGTGAGAGGAGAATGAGGGGTGTTTTCATGGAAACAGGAAACCCTGCTTTGTGCTGGGTTCAGGGCCAGGTGCAGGCGGAGGGGGTGGGGGACAGTCGGAGAGCAGGTTGCACACCGGGACCCTTGGGGACCAGGGACAGAGGTCTCAGGCCACATAACTTGGCACCAGGTGCCACATGCACCTCCGCTGGGACAGGTGTCCGTCAGGGACAAGGTACCCCCATGGGAGGGTGTGATTTGGTATCTGGGTCCTGTGAGTCCTGGGGACCCTGGTCTGCCGTCACCGGTCTCCCTGACTCCACTCGGGGCCTTGCACTGCCCTGGTCCAGCCCGGCGCCCCCTCCGCCCATCTGGGAGCCGGGCCTGCTGGCTGCCCCTCGCTGGCTCCAGAAGCTGTCGAGGGTCCTGAGGGGTCGGCAGGGCTCCAGCAGGACCGGGCGCTGGGCTGACCCTCCTTGGTCTCCGAGCACACGGCCCCCTCTTCTGTCGGCCTCCAGGTGAGCAGCCCCCACCCGGGCTTCCCACCTCGCTTCTGCCTGAACTATTCCCTCTGCCCCTCGGTGGCCTCACCACGTGACTCAAGATGCTGTCCCAACTGATAACCGAAATGTCCCTCCCCCTAAACTCCAGATGGAAGCACCTTGGCCAAGTCCCCTCCTCCCAGTAACACTCCCAAGATGCAGGAAGGCCCCCCCTCACACTCCTCACCTCACTCTTCTCATCTTGGTCACCCCACCCCGACTCGTCTTGTGCGTCTCCTCACATCTAACACATCAGAAACTCCATCTTCCAATGTGCCCTGAATCTGCACCTCTTCCTCACCCCCACCAGCTCCACTGGTGCAGGCCGGCGGGTGTGCTGTGGCCTCCCCCCTGGCCGCCCTGGTCCCCCCTTCTGCCCTGCAGAGAAGGCTCCGCTCCCCCAGACTTCAGGGACTGGGCGTAGGCGGCAAGGGGCTGGGGCTTGTCCACCACAGACACTGTGCTGGCTGGAGCCTGGGCACCTGAAGGCTCCCACCCCAGATGCCCCCGGGGCGCCGTAGCCTCAGGTTTGACGGGACTCAGAGGACAGGCAGCCGGCAGGGTCCTGTCCTGGGAGCGGGGCCCTGCCTTCACCCCACGGGCACCGCTCTGGTGCACTCGGCTCTGTACCCCCAGCGTCCTACCCTGAGCACACGGATTCCCAGCCGGCTCAGCACCCCGGGCGCCCCCACCCAGGCCTGCCGCAGGGCCGCTCACCTGGACAGCTCCTCCAGCTTGGACTTGGCGTAGTCCAGGCTGTTCCGCTCCACGTGCTCGTGCGGGGTGTGGGCCAGGAGCTCGTGTAGGGTCAGGATGTACCGCGGGATCTGCGGGGGCGGGCACGGGGCAGAGGGCCGGAGGGACAGAGGGCGTTGGGAAGGGGTCCCTCGGCTCTGAGGACACGTGCAGGAGGCCGGGCCACGGGCACCGGGATCAGGAGAGGCAGGGCCAGGGGCGCCCCGTCTCCCCACGCCCGCTGTCCCGGCAGGGGGCCCGAGGGGCGGGGCGGCCCGCAGGTCCCTCCCCCGCGCACCTGGAACATGGGGTAGGTGAGGAACGTCTCCAGGGTGCGCTCCTCGCAGTCGGGCTTGGCCTCGTAGTGCTTCAGCAGCTTGTCGAAGTCGCGGTTCTGCTTGCAGTGCGCCAGGATCTGCAGGCTGTACTGGTGGTTGCGCACGAACTCCTGGTAGATGTTCAGCATGGGCAGCAGGATGTCGAACAGGTCGGCTGCAAGGACGGGCGGTCAGCGGGCGCGCCCAGGCCCCGCCCTGCGGGCCCCGCCTCTGAGGGGACTCTGGCTGGGAGGTGGCCCCGGACGTTGAGAGCTGGGGCCCCTCTGGTCGGACACGCGTCCTGCTGTGGCGGCACCCCTCCCCCTTCAGCACCCACACACTGTCCCCAGCTGTGGGGGTGCTGGTGGCCAGTGGCTCTCAGCTGCGCCTCCCAAGCCAGGAACTGCTGCAGGAGTCACAGCCCCCCCAAGGGTGGGTCCAGATGGGGGTGTAAAGGCCAGGCCGGGCCTCACTCAGGGGCATCCTCAAAGGGCCACCCAGCTCCCCTGCTTCCGTGAGGCTGGCTAAGGACCTGGTTGTACCTGCACCGAAGCCTCGTTCCCCTCCACCGGCTCCCAACTGCATGATGCTGAGGGCTCCCCAACAGGCCCCCCTCCCAGCCTCCCACCAGTGACAGCAACCCATCTGAGGTCACAGGTGAGTCAGTAGGTAGCCTGGAACCAGGTCTCCTGACACCTCCATTCTAGGTCTCCCCACCCTGTGACACAGCCTCTTGGGTCTCTGTCCCCAATCTGCCCCCACCCATGTATCCTTGAACCCCCAGCCCTCTGGACGGGGTGCTCCTGGGCACCGGAGCATCTCACAACCCTCAGCAAGTGTGAGAAACACAGGCTGTCAAAACACCCGCAGCAAGACTCGGATTCTGTGTTCAGTATGTTTGCGATTATGCAAAATGGGGGGTGGGGGGGAACAACCAAAAAAACCCTGAGATCTACACATGGAGAAAAATTGGAAGAAAACACCCAACTGCTTACAGTGGTATCTTTGGGTGGCAGGACTGTGGTTGATATTTTTAAACGTTTTCTACTTTTTTGGATTCTCAAACGGGTGCATATATATTATTTTAAAAAGGGAAAAACAGATAAAGAACTAAAAATATATCGCTTCCTCCTAGAAACAGTGCTTCTGCCAACTTTCTTCCCTCCTGGGCTCCCTCTGGGGCTTCTGCGGGCTTCTAAGGGGCCACCCTTTTCCCCTCTGGAAGGGTGAGGTGCCCCCAGCCGAGAGGGTGGCCTTGGAGTGGGACCCCGCCGGTGGGGGGCAGGAGGGCTGGGACTCACCCAGGACCAGAGTGGGCCAGCTGGAGATGCGGGCCTTCAGGCCCTGGTAGAAGATCTGGTGGAGGAACATGATGGTCTCGCTGGAAGAGAAAGTCGGGGTGAGGTGGGGCCAGGAAGCGCCTGCCCCTGGGGCGCCCTCCCCCAGGGCACCCAGCTCTGGGCCCGAGAGACCCCAGCTTCAAACTCCTTTCTCAAGTGAGACCCGCCGTGACCCTTCAGCAGGACGGCCTGTGTCATTTCGGGGCCCCGAGCAGGACAAAGAGGCGAGACCCCGCTGCAAGGGACCAGCTTTCTGAGGTGACGGCAGAGCCCTGGGTCACCTGCCCAGGAGGGAGTCCCCACAGGCTCCCGGAGGGACCAGGCGGTGGGGGCAGAACGGCTGTCAGGCAGCGTGCGAAGCCTCCGTTTCAAGTAGAAGCTGAGAGCGTCTCACCTGTAACCCTGTTTCTCCGAATTCCCATCGTTACCCACTGATAAGGAAACACGGTCTCAGTTTGGTTGGATTCGCTTGGGGAAAAATCATGGTGGGTGGGTGGGTGGGTAGGTTGGATATTCTTCCTGTGGTCGGCCACGTGAAGTTCGACTTTTCGGAATCGGCTAGTCGAGTCCACTTATTATTTTTCCCTCACGAATTTGAAACAGCTCATGTCATCGGTCCAGACACATGCCGTGGCCGCTCATGCTCAGCTCTTGGCCCAGCGGAGTGTGTGTTTGGAGTTTGGGGCCGTTTTTCCATCTCCTTCCTGCTGTGTGCTTGGGGTACCCTGTTCCACCCCTGGGTGGCACACACAGACTGGCCTCTAATTGTTTCATTTCACCAGCAAAAGCTTAACTAGCGGTTACTTGGGTGTGTAACGTGAACAGGCATGCAACGTGACCCTTGCCAGCTGGGATGGCCGACGGCCCGGTGCCGTTCGTCACGTGCGCCACCGTCTCTCGGCTTTGTGAGGCCGTCTTTTGTATGACTGTCTCTGGACTGTTTCATTTTGATGTAATATTGATCTACTTCATTACTCTTCATATACTTATGAAGCTTTACATTTTAATTATAAGTAGGGAACATTTCTCTCGTTCTCTTTCCAGAGTAAATACTCGTTAGTATTTATTCCTTCACTTGAACTGTAAAATCATTTTGTGGGGCTGCCCTTGATTGGAATGATATTAAATGTAGATCATGTTTGGGGAGGGAATGACCTCTCTGGGACATGGGGTCTTCCCATCCAGGAGACTGGCCTGCTGTCTGTTTTTGTACGGCCTATAAACTTAGGAGAATTTTTACATTTTATTTAATATGTTTTTCTTTAATTATTGATTTTTTAGAGACAGAGAAAGGGAGAGAGATAGAAACGTCGATGTGAGAGAGAAACATCGATCGGCTGCCTCCTGCACGACCCCTGCTGGGGATCAAGCTCACAACCCAGGCATGTGCCCTGACCGGGAATTGAACCGGGACCTCTCAGTCCATGGGACGTAGCTCAATCCACTGCGCCACACCGGCTGGGTGAATTTTACATTTTTAAATGGTTGGGGGAAAAAAATCAAAGGACTGTCTCATAATCTGTGAACATGATGTGAAATTCACATTTTCGTATCTGTGAGTGGACTTGGGTCACAGCCTCGCCCGTCTGCTTATGGATTGTGTCTGCTTAGTTTTTTTTTAAATTTATTGATTAGACAGAGAGAGAGAACCATTGACTTGTTCCACTTATTTACACCTTCACTGGTTGGTTGTTGTATGTGCCCTGACCAGTGATCGAACCCACAACCTTGGCATATGGGGACAACGCTCCACCCCACAGAGCCACCGGCCAGGGTTGACTAGTTAGTTTTGACAGAGTCCGTCTGGCCCGCGAGGTCTAACGTGCTGACCGCCTGGCCCTGCGGAGACGTTGGCGGGTCCCCGGGTGGTGCTGTGTGATGGTGCAGCCGTCCTCTGTGGACTGTGTCCGTCCCCAGCACGGTTATGGTCCAGAGGGGCCCAGACACTCATGGTGGTGCCTGCTGCTACCAAAGGGACCAGGAGCGAACAAGCAGGGGACGTGCTCTGGTGGCCGCAGGTGGCATGGGGTGGCCAGGGACATGACCTCCGAGGACAGGCGCGGAGAGAGCAGGAGATGGATGTCGGAAGGAGAGGGGTGTGGGAGGAGCTTCCCAGGGAGAAGCAGCGACATTCCCAGGACACACTGGGAGGGGCTCACCTTCCCGGTTCCCTTCCTGAGCCCAGAAAGGGGCGTGACCTGCCCACGGCCAGTGCAAGGTGGACAGGGCAGCGCCCAACCCCTGGTCTCCCGCCCCACCCTCTGCCCGGAGCCCTCTGGGTATCAATGCCAGCCCTCCTGACTCCCAGCCCAGGCAGGTGTGACCGGGGGCTGCGGGCACGCTCCCCGCTGGGCCTCATTCTCCTGCACCCAGGGCTCAGGTGGCCACTACCAGTCAGACACCACCCATCTGTGCCGGGGGAGGCCTGTCACGATGGGGCGGCGCCGAGGCTCCCTGCACTGTCCCTGGGTCCAGCTGGTCCACCTCCGTGAGCGCGTCCCCTTGGCTGAACAACCCTCCCCAGCTCCGCAACATCCCCGAGGACTCTGCCAACCTGGAGACAGGCCTCTCTCTCCAAGGGCCCCTTTTAGTGACCGAATCACCAACTTAGCACGAGGTCTGGGGGAAGCTGTGTGCGGAAAGGGGGCTGGCAGCCTGTGCCCTGGGCGGTTCACACCTGGTCCTGCCTGTCGCGGTGGGAACGGGGCGCAGTTTGCTTTCTGTAGCTTGGGTACAACCCTGGACACCTTGGCCTCTTGGGTGGAGTCGCCCTGAGAGGGCCTGTCCCGGGCCTGCCGACTGTTCAGCGCATCCCTGCCTCCACCGCCCAGATGCCAACAGCCACCCGCAGCCCCCGGGAGCCCAGCGCGTTCTGACAAGCGAAAGCTCTCCAAACATTGACCACATCCCGGGGCAGCCCGGCCGCGCTCAGAACCAGCACTTAGATGTGCACCGTGTGGGCCCCCTTTGCCCCTGCACCCCACGTTGTTGGGGGCGTGGCTTCTCCCCCCGCCCCCAGCTGGGCAGGAACCAGCGGGGGCTCAGCGGGGCTCACCTGTTGAGGAAGATGCTGCTGACGTCGTCATGCGTGATGGGGGGCTTCTTGGAGCTGGCGGCCATGCGCAGGGGGCGCAGGAAGTTGTTGACCAGGATGTGCAGCTGCTGCACGTACTCGGCCTCGGCCTCCAGCATGCTGAACACCACCTGGTTCCTCTTGCGCATGCTCTCGGCGTGCGGCGAGCGGGTGTAGTCCTGGATCACACTCTTCCACTTGCGGCGGCACAGCCAGCCCCGCAGGAAGCTCTGCACCTGTGCGGACAGGCCGGGCGCGTGGTCGCTGCGCGTCCCTCAGGGACGACGGGCGCGACGCTGCTGGGCTCCGGGGTGGGGCGCGCTGGCTCAGCCGCTGACCTCCCTGCACCTGCACCCGCCCTCCGCCGTGGACAGGACCCCTGGCCCCCATGGAAACATTCTCTGGAGGAGGACAGTGTGGCCCCTTAACGGGAGGTGGCTGAGGACAGAGGCCACCAGGCTGTGCTGGGCACGGCTCACACCTCGCAGCCTGAGAGCCGAGGCTCCGTGAGGCTGGTCTGGGGAGAGGGCGAGTATCCAGCCGAACAGAAGGTGGCACATCAGTTCCTCTCCGGCCTCAGACTCCTCAGCGCCTCTGAGACCCGGTGCTGGGGCGCCCCTCCTGCCTCCCCAGGGAGCTCAGAGCACTCTGGTGGCAGGAACCTGGGGAAGGCCTCGGTTCACACAGCGAATTGTTCTAAGGCACACACTTCAACCAAGGTGCCACCAAGCTCCCTGCCATCCCCGAACAGGGGGCACCCAGGACACCCGGGGCCAGGGTGCAGGGTGGTGCTTGGATGGGAGGCTGGGGACTCAGGGGTCCCCCTGGGCAGGTTACACCTGTCAACTGGAGAGTAGAGGCCGGGACTGGGCCCTGCCAGCTCTCTGAGGACCAGAGGGGACATCGGGGGGAGGGCAGTGGGTTCAGCTGATGCTTACCAAAAGCTTCCAACCTGAATGGTTCTCAAAACGGCCGGAAGCCCAGTGGGGCCAAAGCCAAGGAGGACGGCCAGGGAGTCCCTGCCCTGTGGGGCCTGGCAGGTCACAGCCGCTCGAAGGCGGTTGGCTGGGGACCGAGGTGGCCACACCTCCACGCCTGTCCTGTGTGTGGGAGGTGGGCCTGGGGCTGAGGGACCTGCCTTTCCAGGACGTGGGCTCTGGAGCTTGGCGGCCAGGGTCTGACTGTCCAACACTGAGTGTGACCTGAGCGAGTCCCTGCACCTGTCTGTGCCTCTGTTCCCTTGTGGGAGATGCAGATAATAAAACCTCCGCGGGTTTGCCGCTAGGAGCGAGCTCATCGGCCAGAAAGCTCCCGGAATAATGTCCGGCACGTGAAAAGTACTGAATGAGCGGCAGCGATTTCTACTTCTGAGACCAGAAGTGAGGATTGTTATGTGACATGTGGAGCCCGTGCAACCCTGGCGACAATGAGAGAGCAAAAGGAAAGCAGCCTGTGGGTGCAGAGCCCCCGCGCCCTGGCCTGTGGTCCCCTTGCTCACTGTGTAGGTGGGGTTCTCGGGTTGCACTTGCTCTTTTTAGGGTGAGTCAGGCTCCCTGCTTCAGGTCTGACAAGCTGCGGCCACAAACTGGGCCCTTCCTCCACACCCCGCGGGGTGGCCCCGGGTGCTGGCTGTGGGTTGGATCCCTGGTCCCTTCTGACATGTCTGTCCCCTGGACTCTGACAGGGCAAAGCCACTGGGAGCGACAGTGGGGTCTTCTTGAGGCCGGATTCCCGGGCCGGGGTCCGCCGGGGACGGGAGGGCAGCTGTGTGGACATGTCTGCTGATAGGAGGGAGTGACCTCGGCGTGGTGGCCTGGGGGCTCTGGTCAGGCTGCCTGGTGTTGTGAGGAAGGCTCTCGGCTGCGTGTCCCACGCCCTGGGTTCCTGTCCTTTCTTTCCTGGAGCCTCCGTTTTCTCAGAATAAAATGGACTGAGCCACCCTCCTCACAGGGACGACCAGAGAGACGTCTCCACAGGGCGCTGTTCAGGGGTCGGGGGCTGCTGGTTCTGTCTCCGGAGCCGAGGCGAGGGGGATGCCCCGGGGCAGGGGCACAGGAGGCTCTCTGCAGAGGGCTGGGGGTGCAGCCCAGAGGGATGGTACCCACCTTCTTGATTTTCTTGATGTCACTGTCCTCATCGTTGGGGGTGACGGTCTGGGTGGACTGGATTCGCTCATTGTCCTTGAGCAGGGATGCGATCTGCAACAGAAACACAAGTCAGCATCCCAGAGGATGGCCGGCCGGCAGGCACCGCAGGGTCCGCAGGCGCCCTGTGACCTCTTCTCTGAGGGCCAACAGCACCGGGGCTGAGGTCCCTTGTTCTGTGGGAGGTGGTTGAGCAGATGTCTGAGTGAGCAGGGGGGGGGGGACCTGTCCCCTGGGTGCAGGCAGCGAGGCTCCCAGTGACCTTGGGCTCTGCTCTCTGCAGCCTGAATCTGATCTGTTCCCTACCCCCAGCCATCGCTCCCGGGTGTCTCTTGTTGTAAGACAGTGACACGAAGCTCATCTTTCAGCCAGTTGTAAGCGCACAGTTCAGTGGCATTAAGTACATTCATGGCCCGTGCGGCCACCCCTACCACTGATCTCTGGAGCATCTCACCTTCCCGAAGTGAACCTCTAACCCTGCTGCACACCAGCTCCCCTCCCTCTGCCAGCCCCTGGCAACCACCCTTCTACCCTCGGTCTCTGTGCACTTGGCCCTTCCGGGCTCCCCCTCAAAGTGGATCCGTCTGTGGTCCTGGCTTGATTCCCTCAGCGCCACGTCCTCAGGGTCCACCCGGGTTGTAGAAGTGTCAGAACGCCCTTCCTCCTTACGGCTGAGCAACCCTCCCTTGTCTGCACAGAACACATGTTGCTATCCGTTCACCTCTGATGGACGCGTGGGGGCCCCTTTGTTTTCCTAACCAACCCCACTGGCAGCCCAGTGGCTGCGAGAGAAGGCAGGTGGCCGGGCGGAGTCCTGTGGGCATGGCTGTCCCTGCCCTGGGCGGGCCGGACGTGCTTCTCTGACCGAGAGCTCTGAGGGCCACAGCCTGGGAACTGCTGGCCCAGAAGATGTGTCAACCTGGGAACGAACGTCTAAGAACCTAAACACCTCCATCTGCCTCTTTGGGGATCAAAGACATGGGCACAGCTGGGGCCTGGGACACCTCCCGTGGACAGGCCAGAGCCTTCTACCCTCAGTCTGCATGTCTTTGCCGGGCGCCCTTCACCGGGGCTGCCTTGAGCTGTGGACCCCTCTTCAGACGTTCAGGTGCCGGCATCGCCCACCGACTCTCCAGCCCCGTGGGGAGGACCGAGACCCTGCGTTCCTTCCTGTGCTCCCACGCCGGGCACAGGCTGGGCACTCAACGCATCCTGATGGCCCCATTAATTCATGAATGAAAAAAACAAAACAAAACCCACCCAGAGCAACAAAATCCTCAGCCACAGAAAAACACCACAGTCACTCGGCCACATACAACTAAATGTAGCTGCCCAGGCCCTGGCCGGGTAGCTCACTTGGTTGGAGCATCGTGCTGGTATGCCAAGGTTGAGGGCTCCATCCGTGCTCAGGGCACATACAGGGGTCACCAATGCATGCACAAGTAAGTGGAACACCAATCGATGTCTCTCTCACTCTGTCTCTCTCTCTCTCTCTCTCTAAAAAAAAAAAAAATTAATAGCCATAGACCAAGGGGTCTTGGGTTCAATTCCCAGTCAAGGGCATGTACCTGGGTTGCAGGTTCCACCCGGGCCCTGGTTGGGGTCCTGCAGGAGGCAACCAATCAATGTGCCTCTCTCTCCCTTCCACTCTATCTAAAAATCAATGGAAAAATATCCTTGGGTGAGGATGAGAAACAAAAACAAACAAAAAGTCAATAAATAATTTAAAAAAAACTAAAGGTAGCATCTCAGGGGAACTGCAGACGCTGCCGCGACGCCGGCTCCCTCTTCAGGCCACTCGCCGAACTGCAGAACGAATGGCCTCACCGCTGAGCGGAAGCCCTTGGAAAGCGAAACGGAACAGTTCTGGCTCTCGCTCCAGTTGCTAAAATTACCTGGCGGTGCGTGAAGAGTGGCTGAAAATATCTGGCTGGGAAATAGTCAGCGCCGACAGGGGAGCTGCTGCTCTGCTCTCCCCAGCCCCCACCTTTTTATTCAATTCTCTGAGAACATTTGCACATTGAAATAAAAGCTGCGTCTTTGACCTGCTCAGGGCGAAGGGACTCACACGCACACCCGTGCACGTGCTCCCGGAAGCCCGGAGACTCACACGCCCTCAGCACCCTCGGCCTTGGCCTGACCCTGTCACCCCCAGGCCAGTCTGCTTGCTTCACGAGTTCTCAGCTTTGCACCTTTAGCTGGGTGGCGTGTGTGTGCATCTGTGTATAAAATTGGTGGTGCTCCTCTCTGGGAGAGGCCTTCCAGACAGCTGCTCCGCGAGGGCCAGGGCAGAAAATAGATGCACTTCGGCCAGGTGCTCTGCCACCTGCTCGGGCTGCACCAGCAGCTTTGGAGCCTTGTTTGAGCCTCAGGCCAGGTAGGCAGAGCTGTGGGCCTGGCCACCCACAGGGCCCTGGGCCACGGCCCGGTGCAGCCAGGAGCCCCCGTGAGCTCCCAGAGGCTGCCTTTCTCCAACCCTGGCAGGCCCCAGCTGGGGTGGGTTGGCTTTGGACCCTGGCTGGCTTGCTTGACATCTAGGAGCTGCTCAGTTGACCCTTGTCCATTGTGGCCGTGTGGAGTTGGGACTTTGGCTCACAGCCCGACTCACTGGCTAGCATCCCGTCTGGCTGCCCAGCCTGGAGTCTCAGCCGTCCACTTGCCACTCGAAGACTGGCTTTCTTGGCCCTCACTTGTCATGCCCCTTGGAGCATGGTGCACCTGCCCCTGCCCCACCCCAGTGCCCTCTCTGGAGACGGTTCCTTTGGTGCAGAACACGTTTCTTCGGTGCGGTAATTGATGGTGGAATTAATCCAGGTTTTTTCCGCCAATGTTTTGCACAAGATCTCAGTATTTCTTGCTTTTCAACCAGCTGCCACATAACTCGGTTCTCTCTCCCCCATCTCAATTCCTAGGAGACGTCCACCTTGACCTCCCTTTGTGCTAACCCGTCAGCATGTCCTGGGCACCATCCTGGTACAGGTAAGACAGGGTTGGGGGTGGAGAAGTCAGAAGGGTCCCTGGAGGAGCGCTCAGCCTCAGACGGGGTTGGACATCCACAGAGGCAGCTTGTAATCCAACGAGGTAAGGACAAAACAGAGATGTGCACCTACTGCAGTGGGAGGTCTCACCACAGAAATGAAAAGGGCTTTCCAGAAGAGGTTTTGCAGGACTGATAGGAGCCCAACAGGTGGCTATGGCACAGAAGGAATTTGAGCAGAAGGAATGGTGTGAACCTTCCTATCTCACCCATTGTGAGCCACCAAAGGCTGAAGACATAGCTTGCAGATTCTTGAAAACATTGGCTCTTTACAGCTGGTGTGAGCAGCTCCGGCATGTCACCGGGTGGAGGGCGAGGGGCCTGGTAGAGAAAGAAGTTCTGAATGAAACCCGACAGAAGGGGAGTGTGTGGAGAGGTCGGTGAGGGAACCTTGTTGTGGGAAAGGCGACTCGAGGTGGGATGTCTTCTCTTCGCTTCTGCCGTGTTCTCTTTCCGCCCGGAGACCTCTGATGTGTCCAAACCTCCTGGACCGTCTGTTCTGTACACCGGCCTGTGTCAGGGGCTTGGGGATGGATGGAGGGGCTGCGGCAGGTCATCTTCAGGGCTCTAGGATTCTCAGCCTCCTCAGGGGGCAGGATTGTTTCCCAGGCCCTGTAACTCAGGCGTGGCCATGTGACTCGCTTGTCCCATGAGAAGTGAGCAGGGGTGTCTCGTTCCTGTCCCCTGGCGGGATGGCAGAGCCCCGCAGCCTGTGCCCCTGACTCCCAGTGAGGACGCCTCGTGACCGAGAGAGCGGCCTATGCTGTTCTAAGCCGCGAGGACACTGGGGTCGTTTGTGGCAGCATCAGCATAACCCAGCTGGTCCTGACAGGTGCATGTTGACCCCTTCCCTGGGGTAAAGCAGGAAGACTGAATGGACACAGCCACTGTGGGGAGACACGGGACCAGCTGGGGAGCAGAGCCCCCGGGAATCCTCTGGAGGAGTGGGGGGCGTCTGAGGGAAGGTGAACCCGGAGAGCCTGGAGCACCTGGGGAACAGCCATTCCCTAACGTGCAGCCTTCAATCAGCCTGTCTCCGAGGCGGGGGCAGTAACTTGGAGGGCGTGTGAGGCTGGGGTCTGAGCCGGGAGATCCAGTCCGGGTCGGGCTGCAGCACGGGAGGGTGAGTCCCTTCCTCTGTGGACCTCTGTCCAGATCCCTGCCAGCTCTGACCTCAGACCTTGTCTTTGTCACGGTGCCACTCACCACTTCCTGACTTAGTGCCTCCTGCCACCTGATGGCCCACTGCCCGGGCCATGGGCTGTTTCCGCCTTCTGGAGCCCGTCCTGAACAAACAGGTGGCCTGGGCCCTGCGGGACGTGAGCGTGTGTGGGAGACACAGACCTGAACCCAAGGGCTTGACCAAGCCGGCCGTTCAGCGTCTCCTTGAAAAACCTTTGCCCTGGAGAGCGGTGCACTCAGTTGGGAACATTGCTCCACATTTCCACAGATGGGCTTCTGCTGCCACGTGTGTGCATGTGCACACACATGCAAACACGCACATGCACACAAGTGCACGCACACATATGTACATGCACACACACACATGCGCTCTCACAACTGACCTGCTTTGTGCCCCAGCACCGGGGCCTCCACCTTGCACCCACCTCTCCTCTGCCCTCCAAACCCCGAATCTCTGTCAGGCAGAAGCAGCAGAAACCCACACCCACATGGGCCATAAAATGACTCACTTCCTGACTTATGTGCACACTAAGGTCCGTTCTGCTAATTGCTGTCTGTGAACCGGTCAGGTTTTAGGGGTAGAAGCCTCCATTTCCGCAGTGCCCGCCACAGAGCCTCATGTCCATTTACGCAAGGAGCGCTGACTGAGCGCCTGTGTGCCAGGCTGGGAACCCGGAGGGGGCAGTGGGCCTGGGAGGGTTCCCCAGGCAGGGGCACATGGGGTACAAGGGAATTGCATGCAGGCGCATCAGGTCCAAAGGCCAAGATGTGCCCAGATGGGCACCTGGGAGGCTGGTGACAGGAGAGGAGCCTGGGGAGAGGGTGGGGCTCAGGTGACTGAGGCACACAGTGAATGAGTGACCCCTGGCGCCCCGATCATGAACTGATAACCTGGTGGGGTCAGACCTCCGTCCCTTACAGGGGCTCAGCTTGGACTTGGGTGGATGCTGAGGCCATGAGAGGCTCTGAGCACAGCAGACACACCGGCGAGTGGACAGGACCCAGGTCCTCGTGCTGACTCTGCCACTAGCAGCTAAGTGGGCTTGGACAGGGCACCGAGCTCTTGGGGCTGCTCCCCTGTCGGGGTGGTTGTCAGGCCAGAGGACATTCTGTTGAAGACCCCGTGAAGCCCCAGGCGGATGTCACTGTTAGTTCCACATGCCCAGGGGGGGGCTGGCAACCTCAGGCAGCACCAGGAGCATGAGGTGGGTGACCCAGCAGGGGCCGAGGGCACCATGGGGCAGAGGGAGGGGAGGTGGAGGTTGAAGCTGGGGGCGACCCGTCTGCCGTGGGCTGGGACGGCGAGCCATGGGAAGGGGAGAGTAACTTCCCCAGCGCCAACCAGAGCCCGGCAATTTTCACCTACGTGACGTGACACCCTGCAAATTCTGTACCAACCCTGACTGCGGGAGCCTGTGTTTTCATTTCTCCCTCCTGAGCTCAGGTCCACCGTCCTAGCGATATGGCCAGATGGCTCTGAGCACAGCGGTGAGGCGAGGGGTCAGGGGCGGTCAGAGCCTTCTGTCGGGGTGGACAGCTGCTGAGGGGCATCGAGGGGGTGAGAGCCAGCCTGCCCAGCTTAATGAACTGACAGTCACCTGGGATGTTGTTAAAGGGCAGACTTGGCTCAGCAGGTCAGGGCGGGTCTGAGATTCTGCCTCATGGACCACACTTGGAGGGCCCATGTTCCAGAGGTCAGCCTAGTGACCGCAGCCTGGGGGGTGCCCATCACGCCACGCAGAGGAGATGGACCTGAGCCGGGAGCCACACTCTAATGGCACCCTGTGCCCCCCAGAGTCTTGGGCTGATAGTGCTGAAGGCTTATTCCATGTGCATGTTGTCATAGAAACTAGGAATCTCCCCAAAACCATCTCACTCGGTCCCCACAGCTTTCAGGGTTGGGTATACGAAGCCCAGACAAAGGGGGGCCCAGAGAGCTTGGGGGATTTCATCCACGTTGCAGTTCTAGGTAGCAGAGGTGGGGACTGACCCCCATCTGACCACAGGACCTTCCCACTCTGCCCACATCACTGCGTTTAGGGTTGGAGGCTGGCACAGCAGGGGCTGGGAGCCATCCCCCACCCCTATCCTGAGGACCTGGGGTTGCAGGGGTCACCTCCGCTTTCAGTCGCTCGATCTCGATCTCCCCGTCCTCGATCTGCTGCCGCAGCTGCTTGGCCACGGTCTTCTCCGTCTCCACGATCTGCAGCAGGTGCAGGTACTTCTGCATCAGGGCTTCGTGCTCCGTGGCCAGGGTCCGGTAGCTGCGGGCGGATGGGCGAGCGGGTGAGCTGGGCGACTTGCCCCTGGAGAGCCAACCAGAGCGGGGCTCACCACCCGCTGCGCTTGGGAGAGGGTCCCGACTCCCAGACATGTGCCTGGGCCTCGACCGGACTGCTGCCCCATTCACCCACTTCCTCTCACTCTGCCCTCCGGCTCCTCCCGCTGGCCCTGTGCCCCTGCCCCGCCCACACACCCCTGGGCCTTTGCACAGACAGGTCTGCCTAGAGCATCCTGCTGCCCGCTCCTTCCTGAGCCTGGTGGCCTCTTTTCTAGGATAGCTCCGGGTCACCATCTCCAGGGAGCCTTCCCTGCCCCTGACCCCAGACTGGGCAGGGTGTTTCAAAAATACCCTACGCGTCTAGAATCATGGCACTGGCCAGACTGATTTTTGGGGGGGAGGTGACAGTTATTCCTGTCCTGGTTATCAGAACGTGCAGCCCATTAGAATTCTGGGATGCTTCAGAGCCCTCGTGTACATAATTTCACGGGGCTCTGAACACCCACTATGGGTCCTAGGCAAGTGCTGGGGAGTCTGAGCCCCGCCGCTGCCCTGAATCTGGGTCTTTGCACTGATTCTGTACCCCACGGTGCCAGAAATTTCCACTCCAGATCCTGGTCCCCTCGGTGTAGATCTTGCAATGATCCCTGCTGTTCACAGCAGAGATCAGACATCTCAGCTGATATCCAAACCAGCTACGACCAGGTTCCAGCCCAGCGTCCGGCCTCCCGTACCTTCTGATGCTCAGACAGCCCCGTCATTATTCTCCGAATTCTCTTTCCTGTATCAGCGCTGTTTCCTACAGTGTTGGGGGCTTAACTGCTCATATCTACACTCATTCCATCCAGCCCCATTCCCCGACTCGGCTCAAATGTTCCCCATTTCCAGCTTCCCCAGACCCCCCTCCCCTGCAAATGGAGCAGCCCCCGTCTCTCACGGTCTCTGTTCCTGACCAGCCTCCATGCCCCACCCATCTGCACATCTGTCTGTCTTCCTGGCTGGGCGGCGATGTCCCTGGGGAACTGTGCTGACCCTTCTGTCACTCAGCTGCACACTCACGTCTGATAACCTGGTTCCCACAGCTACGCTGAGGTCAGGGCTGTGGCCATAATAAAGAATTTCTGGTGAGCTGGCTTGATGCATAAATCAGAGATGGGCCTTGGGATCCATCCACCCATCCAGTCGTCCATCCATCCACCATCCATCCACCCATCCACTCATCCATCCATCCACCCATCAACCCATCCACTCGTCCATCCATCCACCCATCCACCATCCATCCACCTATCCACCCATCCACTCATCCATCCATCCACCCATCAACCCATCCACTCGTCCATCCATCCACCATCCATCCACCCATCCACCATCCATCCACCCATCCACCATCCATCCACCCATCCACCATCCATCCATCTATCCACCCATCCACTCATCCATCCATCCACCCATCTACCCATCCACTCGTCCATCCATCCACCCATCCACCATCCATCCACCTATCCACCCATCCACTTATCCATCCATCCACCCATCAACCCATCCACTCGTCCATCCATCCACCATCCACTATCCATCCACCTATCCACCCATCCACTCATCCATCCACCTATCCACCCATCCACCATCCATCCACCATCCATCTACCCATCCACTCGTCCACCCATCCACCATCCATCCACCCATCCACTCATCCACCATCCATCCATCCATCCATCCATCCATCCAGTCGTCCATCCATCCACCATCCATCCACCCATCCACCATCCATCCATCCATCCATCCAGTCGTCCACCCATCCACCATCCACCCATCCACCATCCATCCACCCATCCACCCATCCACCATCCACCATCCACCCATCCACCATCCATCCACCCATCCACTCATCCACCATCCATCCATCCATCCATCCATCCATCCAGTCGTCCACCCATCCACCATCCACCCATCCACCATCCATCCATCCATCCATCCAGTCGTCCACCCATCCACCATCCACCCATCCACCATCCATCCACCCATCCACCCATCCACCATCCACCATCCACCCATCCACCATCCATCCACCCATCCACCCATCCACCATCCACCCATCCACCATCCATCCATCCACCCATCCACTCGTCCATCCACCCACCCTCCATCCACCCTGCACACAGACTTTCACCACCGTCCATTTATCATTCACGTGCCCTCCACCTGTCTTCCGTATACACTCGGCACGCACCCCTGCATTCTCCACTCCAGCCACCATGGCTGAGCACCTGGCTATGCCGTCATCAGACCCTGAGGATGCAAAGAATCGCGTTGGTCCCCGCCCCCAGGAGCTTACACTTCACAGGGAGGTAGACACAGAAACACCAACATCCACCGAGCCAGAAAGATCCACTGCCCAGAGAGGCGGGTCTGGGCGTCCCGGCCCGCGACAGTCCTCAGCTCTGCCAGGGGATTGTGAGCTCCGGGGCCACAGCCTGGCCGCAAGTCCCATATTTCCCAGGACCCCTGCACTCGGTCCAGCCTGGGCCCCCACTCTCTGCGGTTCACACTCCCTGGTTTTCCTGCCTGGGCCCAGCGAGTCTCCCTCCTGAGGGAGCCCGGCGGGGCTCAGAGGGCTGAGGGGATTTCAGTCTCCAGACGGGGAGATGGAGGCCCAGCAGGGACACAGGACAGGCTCATGGTCACACAGCAAACCGGTGGCTGTATCTGCCTTAGAGCCTGCGGCCTCAGCCTGTGGTGTCCATGAAACCCTTCATCCAACCCCTGGTGCTCAGCTGCCCTCGTAGAAAGAAATGAGCAAGTCTGGTCGAAGCAGCTGGAGACTCCTCAGGGCCTGTCCTTCCCTGTGTGCACACACCCCAGCCCCGGGCTCTCGGGAGACCCTGACAAGCACCCACTCCTCCTCCTCTCCCCTCTGCTCTCCCCTCTTCCTAGGTGTGGGCTTGCCTGAACGGGCCCCTGGCTTCAGCCCTTTCTGCCCGGACCTCGGGGCTGGGGGAGACCTACCTGGCATGAGCGATGGCCGCCACCCACTCGTCACAGTCCTTGGCATCCTCTGTCCTCAGCTCCAGGGCCTTCTGGTTCTCGTGGCTGAAGTTCACCGTGAAATAGTGCTGCACCAGGGAGAGACCTCCATCACCAGGTGTCCGCGGAACTGGCCGCACCTGTCAACCCAGCTGTTTGCCAAGTGCCGTTGCCTCAGCGCTGGGCATGGACCCCTCATCCCTGCTGTCAGAACGCCGTCTAGGTGGGGTGCCCTGGACCGAGGTGGGCTCTGTGCAGTGGAGCAGAACCTACGCTGAGGTGTCGTGAGAACCATCGGCGCCACTCGAGGGAAGGCACATGGGAGCTCATCCCCTTGGGGAACTGGGTGCCGATTCAGGGCAGCTCGTGTTCAGTTCACTCCAAAAACGTACTAAGCACTCTGCTAGGTCCTGGGGTCGGTGAGGAAGACACAGACACGGTCCCCAGGAGAGCCCACTGGGAGCCAGCTGTGTTGGGTGCAGGTGACTGACTTAGCTGGTCACCTGCTGGGCCGGTCCCCTAAGCTCCCAGCGGGCAGAGGGGCCGGCAGGAGACACACACCTGTCATGTTACATGCACTAACATGCATGTAACATGTACAGCTCTCAGAACATGCCCGGAGCCCAGTAAGCACGTGGCTGTTGTAATTACTGAGGTGCAGCGACCCCCCAGTGCCATGGAAGCGCCTGGGCACTGGTCCAGGTTTGGGGGTAGGAGGGGGCCATGCAATGGAAATGGGGTGCCAGGGCCAGGCTGTGCAGGGGGCGGGCAGTGTGGTGGACTGAGTGGAGGAGAGGTGGGGGAGAGAGTCTGAGGACAATCCCCAGCCTTCAGACTTGAGCACCTAGGTGGGGGTGCCATAGACTGGGGGCATGGGCAGGATAAGGGCAGGCTTACAGGCTCGGCTAGGGGTGGGCTTGCAGCTGTGCACGCCTGTGGGCCCCGTCTCTTCAGGATGCGGACCCACCGGGAGCTGGGAGGCATGAGTGAGAAGGGGTGGACAGGCAGTGAGCCGGGGCAGCCTGTGGGGGCCCCTGGGTCTGGTCCTGGAAAAACCAGAGGAGACAGGCAAGCGGTGGGGGACAGGGCAGAACCCTCAAGCCAGGTCTATGTCAGAGGGCACTGCTCCTGCGGTCTCAGTCCCCGGGCGCTGGGGCAGCAGGGGCAGCAGTACCTGGTGGGGCAAGTGAAGTATTTTCAGCTTCTGCTGACATTTACTGTATTTCTGTTAATTATCAGGCTGGATGGCAGCCAGGGTGTGTGTGTGTGTGTGTGTGTATCTGTGTGTGTGTGTGTGCGCGCGCGTGTGTATGTATGTGTGGGGGGTTGTTGCCGTCAATGTCTCTCACTTGTTTCCTAGGAAACAGATCACTGGGGCTATAGAATGAAATGTCATCCACAGCCTCCAATAACTGAATCCGGAGGCTCTGGTGCGAGCGGCTCCCCCTCAGGATGGAAGCAAGTAGAAAACAGCGGCAGGTGGGTCCCCCAGCGCTTCCCCGCCTCTCGAGATGACGGACAGGTACGTGCTTGTCTCCCCCAAACTGTTCCCACATGCCTCACTTGGAACAGGTATCATTGTCCGTTTTGCAGTGGATGAACCTGAGGCTCAGAGAAGTCAGGCCACTTGCTTAAGGCCACACAGCAGAAGGCAGAGCCAGGATAGCAAACCTTCACTGGGCACCAACCGTCTGGTCAGGCCCTGGACTTGGCACTGGATGAAGGAGCCTGTGGGCAGGTGAGACTCGGGGTCCTAACTGAGAAACAGGGCCAGTGGGAATGGGGGTGCTGGCTCTTCATAAACCACGTCTGTGCTCTCCGGGGAGAGCAGTAGGTCCATTCACATAGTAAAGGCACTGAGAAGTCCTGCAATGATGGAACCTTTTCCGGAACTCAGTTCACCATGGATCCTTTTGCTTTCATTTGTTTTGGAAGATCTATTAATATCTCATCACACCAGTGTTCCAGGGAGTCGCCTTTGGGACCTGGGTTCAAATTTATTATTATTATTATTGTTTAAATTCCTCACCAGAGGATACTTTTCTATTTATCATCAGATAGAATGAGAGGGAGAGAGAGAGCGAGACAGAGAGAAACATTGATGTGATAGAGCCACATTGACTGGTTGCCTCCTGCACGACCCGACCAGAGCCGGGGACGAACCGCAACCGAGGTACATGCCCTTGACCGGAATTGAACCCGCGACTCATTGGTCCACGGGCCAACGCTCTAACCACTGAGCAAAACCGGCGAGGGCTCAAATTTATTATTGCTTATTTAGACGTGGGGCCTCCAACATGTCTCTTCTCATCTATATTTTCTCTTTCACAAAGTGGGGAGGTCATCACCCACCTCACAGGTAACACTGTAAGTGCTCAGGAATGGTCTGTGAACGGGCAGAATCACTTGCAAGGTCCGGGCACCGGGTCTAGTCAGCCTGTGGGTGGCAGCTTGCCAGGAAGCACACCTGTGTGTGCATTCACTCGTGTGTACCCAGAACGTCCCCTAAAATCCACGTCTCCCTGGGACCTGCGAGTATTTGAGAACCGTGTCTTTGCAGATGTAATCAAGTGAAGACGAGGTCACACTGGACCCACTTCATGACCCTCTCCCCCGGCTGTGAGTGGCCACAGTCTGCCCCTGCTCTGCCTCTGAGTTCTCAAGTCTGACACTTTCCAGGATCCGGCCCCACGCGGAGTGTTTGTCTCAGGTCTCTGTCCAGCTCCCAGTCTCCCAGGGGGTCTGGGCCACGTGCTGCTCTGGTCCCCAGTCAGCCCAGGGAGGTGAGGAGTGACCGCCAGGTCAGAACTGGCCCTGGGGGTCAGCCTCAAGTGAGGCTCGGCCACAGCCTGGCCCTGCTGCTGTCTCCCACATCGGCTGCGGCGGCACAGCTCCCGGCCTGCCCTCCGCCTTCCCACCAGCACCCTCTCCGGTGTGTCCTGAATGAACTCTCTGGACACCTCTGCCCTTCAGCTGCTGTGTGTGGACACAAAAGACGTTCTTCATGCGTTCTTCTAAAATTAACTTCGAAAGGCCTTTATTTTAAGGTCTGAATTGGATTTTTCCGATTTGAAAAACATAAGAACTCCACTAGGAAGTTTTTTGTTTTTTTTGAAACGAATGATCTTGCTCTTCAGGGGAAGGAGGTTGCATTCACTCTGCTGGTCGAGGAAGATCAAGTCGTTAACATATAATTTGCCGGACTGAACACTTGGCCTGGATGCCCACTGACCCGAACGCCCCAAAACTGAGGCTGGGCCAAGGTCTCACTCTGGCACTGCCTGGCAGGGAGAACTCGGGGCCTGGGAGAAGCAGGCCCTGAGGTGTCCGTACCCCAACAGCAGGGTTACTGTGTTGCTGATATGGCAGGGGTGGGAACAGGATGCTGCCCCCGCCAGTGCCCACTAAGCTCGGGGTGCAGCCTGGTTGTCACCGCAGCATAACCCAGCCCCTCCCGACTCGTACGCCAGGGAGGAGGCCACCACTAAGTCCAGATGAGAGACGACGGCAGCCTGGACGAGAGCGGCGAGGACAGAGGGACCTAGTGGGCGGGTCCTCGAGAGACTTAGGAGAGCAGACTAACGGGCTGGTGACGATGTGGCCACCAGGGGCGAAGCGGCGATCCCTGCTCCTCTTGTGGGGCACCTTGCTCAGACTCTTCCAGAAACGCCCCATTCTGTCTTTATGGGCAGGATCAGGGCTCGCTGTTGACTGGCTTCCCACCTGCCCCAGGCCCAGGTGAGACCCATCACTTCCCCAAGGAAGGCGAAAGCTGACCCCGAAATGGCTCCGTTGATCAATAAGACCTACTACTGTGTTATGCAAAGACTTTACAAACAGCACCTCGTTTATGACTCAGGACAGGGCTCCCAGGCAGGCTCTGGAACGGTCTCCATCTCGCAGATGGGGACACTGAGGCTCAGCGCTTGCAGACCTTCCCAAGCTAGGAGGCGGCAGCACCAGGACTCAACGCTAGTGCCCGTGGCTGAAACCATGGCTTTTCCCTGACGCTGCAGGCGGACGCTGCTCAGTGAATGAGCTGGGAGCAGAGGCTGAGCACTTGGGGGGCTGCATGGCCCTCTCTGAATGGGGGACAGGCAGTGGGGTGTCCAAGGCTCCCAGCTGCTCCCTGCACGACAGTGGCCCCCGTGGAGGCGTCTGGGCGTTGGCAGTATTCTGGGTGCCTGCCAGGTCCGCGCGTCAGAGGTCCTGCACAAACACCGGGGGCTGAGCCCTGTTCCTGCACACGCACCCGCTCCACACACAGTCCCGGGAAACAGGACTGTGTGTGTGCATGTGTGTGGGGGTGCCTCATCGGCGAGTTTCCCCCAACGCTCGTGGGACCCCAAGCTGAAACAAAGCCACTTCACAAAAGTCACCTGACTGGCAGTGACATGTTTTCGCTGCAGGTGTGTTTTAGTCCCTCCATTTTTCTTGGCTGAGGACGGTGAGCTCCAGCCCCCCGGCCCGTCTGAATGCAGCCAGCAGGGGAGATGCTGCAGTTTTGGAGTCAGGCAGCCCTGGGCTCAGTACACTCTGTAACCCCGAAAGAGTGACCCCAACATCTCTGAGCCTCAGTTCCGTCATCTCGAGAATGGGTCCACAGGGATAACTTCCCAGAGCTGTCGGGGTGAGTAAGAGAGGTGGGGTACGTCAACCACACCCTCCAGTGCGGGGCTCACAGCAGGTGTTAATAACCTGCATTTGCTGGGAGCAGTTGTTTGCGGTCTGGTTTCCGAAGTTCTCTGTGACAAGACACCTCTAAACCCCGAGCCCGCCCTGTGGGAGCTGGAGGGCTCGCTTTTCAAAGTGCAAGTGAAGAAGTTTTACGCGGACCCCTAATCTGGGGCGCAGTGAAAAGCGGGGCTGCTCTGTGGACGGGGCGGGCCCTCAGCCCTGCCCACACCTGTTTCTGTGGGGAGAGGAGAAAGCCTTCCCGCCCTCACGCAGCCCCACCTGATCTCGGGAGACCCTCGGAGACCAGCCTCCTCTACAGATGGCGGCACCTGGTCCAGCTCCGCCAGGGGCTTTGGAGGGTCCCTCTGGCGGCCAGCTGCCCGGAGAGGGACCGGACGGGACACAGGAGGTCCTGACCAGGGTAGCAGGGGGTGACAGCTCCCACCCATGGTCATCGCTGAGAAGGACCCTAAGGCCCCCGTCCACCGGGAGCTCTTTGTACGCGAGACTCAAGGCCTCCTTTTCGAGGGACCCACAGGACCCAGCACAGGTGTGGCCCCGATCGCCACTCAACGGTCGTCACCTGTTTGTGAGTCTAGGCACCTGGCAGAGGGCAGTGACCTGGTACTTCTTGTCCCAGTTAAGGTACAAGCTGTGCAACCTCATTTCAGCTCTTGCAACATTGGGGGGGAAGGTGAGAAATGAGCACCCCACAGTTACTCCTGGGGCCTCACGCGTTGGGGGCTGGGCTGGGGCTGGCCTGCTCACCATCTGGCTGGTGCCATACGCATGCCGTGTCTCAGGGGTGTTGCTTTTAGCTCAGCCTGTTCCCCTACATTTGGGTTGGCCTTGTCCTCACTGACAGAGAGGCTGAGGTCTAGAGGGTGAGCTGGTGGAGGGGCAGCCAGAGCATAGGTCTTCTTTCAGCTACTGCCTTGTGGGGGGTGCTGACCCTCACCTGTGAGCCAGCCACACCCACAGCCTGGGGGCAGTTGTAGATCTTAATCCACCAGGGCACCACCCATGTGTCTGGTGATGGGGACCATGAGTGAGCTTCCTTGCCCCCCCCCCCCGAGAACGGCTCCCCCTGCGTGGCCCACCGGCTCCGGAGTCTCCACCCACACCAGCGCCAATGGTCTGGCTGAGGATCCTGTCTGTGTCCCTTCTGTCCTCTGGGAGTCAGGAACAGCCTGGGGTCTGCATTGTGGCCCCTCCGGGTTGGGGGGTGAGGGAAATGCTGATGTTGGTTTGGTCAGGTTCCCCCTGCAAGAAGTTGGGGCTGAAAGCTTTTGTTGGGGGGGCTGGGAGTGGGGGTGAGAAAAGCCAGTTTGGAGTAATTCCATGCCAAAGCAGGGCAAGGGACACCAAGGGACACCTGCTAGGGCAGCTAAACCCAAGCTGTAAGTCCAGAGGCCTGTGCCTCCTGTGTGCAGCTGCAGGGTCAGGAGGCCAGGAGGTCAGCGCTGAGTCAGCAGGGCCCCGGGTGTGGCAGCTTGGCCGTGCCCGTCCGACTTCATGCGGCCTGGGGGTCCCAGGCCTGAGCTCCAGGCGCTGGGGCTGCAGTGGGCACAGTCAGACTGGGTAGAATCAGCCGGAAGAGATTGCATCACGTTAGGGTGGGCATGGCGCTCGGTGCCTTCATACCCCAGCACTCAGGCCAATTTCTCAGTGTGAGGCACCCGTATTTAGGAGCTAGGGACTGTGCCACTGCAGCTTCTTAGGGGTGTGGCCCAGCACGGGGCCTGGACTGGAGCCCAGCCAGCCCTTAGGATGTCAAATGCGGAGCTAATTGATGCACCCACGGTGTGCTCCATCCCCGAACCATTCCTGCCACCGGGGCCTCCCAGCCAAGACTTGGTTTCTGCTGCTTTGGAAGCCATCCCTGGCCCTTCTTAGTGGAAGCTGCCTGCTTAGACCTGGGCAAAAATGACATCTTCCTGAAACCATGTGTTCACCAGTCCGGCCGAGTGGTCAGCCTCTTGGGGGCCTCCTAGTGTGGTGCTCTGCCCTGGGCCAGCAGATTTGGCGTCAAGGCTTCCTGGGGGCCCGAATGCAAGGCAAACACAGTCACAGGATGTCTTGGAGCTGGGCTCTGTGAGGGCCATCAGGGCCCCAGGTCCAGGAGGAACACGGAGCAGCTAGCTGCTGGGGTCATCCGTGTCACGCAGAGGTTTAGAAAGGGAAAGGTTGTAAGTGTTTGTAGGCACATACAGGCCAAAGGGGCAGGATCTGCTGCTCCGCAGGCACCAGACTCACTTGGAAGTCAGATGGCACATCGGACAAGGGCAGGAGACAGAGCGTCTGTGGTGGGACCTGCGCCTGGGCTGGGCGGCGCCAGACCGTCCCCTACTTTCACCCTGTTTTGTTCTCATGCCCAGAGGGCCACTCAGTGAACACGTCAAGCCTCTGACCGGTGCTGTTCTGAAGGAGGGCTCCGAACACGCCTGCAGACCTCCGTTGGCTTTACACCCTGATCCTCCCCCAGCCACCGTGAGCACAGTTCAGGGCCGAGCCCTGAGCTCAATGACTTGGAATCAAGGTAGCATCTCATTTGCAGGAATTCTTAGACTTGGGATGAATTCTAGCTCTGATTCTGCCATGGATGTACTCTGTGATGTCGGGTGCCCCCTTCCCCTTTTTGGTCTTCAGTTCCTCTGTGAAGTAGGAAGCAGGGTGCTGTACGGTGTCTCTGAGGTTCCTTTCCGCTCGTCCAGTTTGTGTTAGGCCTTTACGCCCTGCCCAGGTGGATAGAATTCAGATTCAACTAAGATTTATCGACATCCCACTCAAATGCATCGTGAGCATACGTTCCGATACCTTATTTAATTGTATTCACAAAAACCCCAGAACGTGAGGTGTTACGATCACCACTTCGCGGGTTGCACACGGGGGCTCCGAGAGGCTGAGTGTGTTGGCTGAGGTCACACAGACAGGAAGCTGCAGAGCTGAGGTGCCGTCTCAGGCGGGCTCCCGGCTCCGAGGGACGGGGAACAGACACTGTCGTCCAACAGCAAGTCGGCTTCCTCCACACCTTTCTCCCTGCCTGGCGGGGCCCAGCTCTGTGCTCTGGTGTAGGGGCTGAGGGATGGAGGCAGCTTCTGCTGGGGCTGTAGGTGACTGCTAGTCCACACGGGTAGGTGGGCTTTGGGGCAAGGTTGGCCATGTTCTGGAAGGCTGGGAGGGCAGGTTATCAAAAGCTGAGAGCAGCACCTCTGGCCGGGCCTGGCCTCCAGGCCTCGTGAGCGCTTTTTCGGCGTAAGGAGCTGCGCTCTTTGCTCTGCTTTGCCATCTGGGAGCCCCTACCTGCCGGGTTTTCAGATTCGCTGTCCACATTCCCAGCCCCCACAGGCTGAGGGTAGGGAAGGAAAAGGTGAGCTGCGGACAGTTCAGAGCTGCCTGAACAATTAGGGGGCAACCTCAAGCCAGTTCAGCTCCCCTCACCCCCATTCTGTGTTTAGCAGTAGCTTCTGAGATCAACGTGATCTCACCTGAGGTGGCCTCAACTCCTGGCATGACCCTGGTGAGCAGTTTCCTCCCTGGGCTCCCATGTCCTCGCCCAGGTGACCACCAGCTGGTCGGGCCTCGGTGCATCGCTCAGGACCCTTCCAGTGGTGACACTTGGGGTTCACTCTTTCATTTCACCTTCCCAGAGGCAGGAGGACGGACCGGATGCCTTCGGAGAGGGCATCGAGCTTAAAAACCGCTCTCTCCCCTGTCTGGTTGTTCCCACTCTGGCTGCAGGTGCTCACCCCTCCCTCCACGCGGCCGGCGCACCCCCCCGCCTCTGACAGCGCACCCCCACCGGGCCCAAGCCCCGGCAGATCCAGGCCTGGCCCTTTAGCCTGGCAGCGCAGGAAACGCTAGCTAGCGCAGCCCTGTGGCCGGGACTGCGGTGGTGGAGGAGGCGGAGGCGCAGGGGGCGGGGAGGAGACAGGCACCCACTTGTCCCGCCGCCCGCCAGCCCGCGGCCTCCGCAGCAGCCCTGGCGGGCGCATCAGCGGGGTGCTTGGAACCCCCGGCTTGTTGCTGGGGCTTAGGGCCGCTGGGAGACCATCACTGGTCTGTGGCACCCAACCAGCCTTGCGGGAGCAACCCCAAACTTGTCGGAGCCAGCGAAGGCTGCGCTTCGCTCCAGCTGCAGTGTGGCAGGGCGCATCCCTCTGGCTCTGCCCCTGCCACAGCGCTGGGGATTACACCTCCGAGGTCGGGGCGACGATCGGGGCTCTCTGGGTCGGAGGGGTGGGAGTGGGGGTGGAGAACGAGAACCCCATGTTGGGCTGCATGTGGGTTCGCATTCATCATCTTCAGTCTCCCTTCCCATCTCCGCCTTGCGGTCCCTCTGTTCTGCCTCCCACAGAACTCGCCGGTGAAGGGCAGCCGCAACCGCATCTGCTCCCTGCCCGCAGCCCCGGCCCTCTCTGTCCACCACAGGGTCACCCTCCCGCTTGGGCCAACCTTCTTTAGCGCCAAGGACGCTGAGAGTACGGGGACCAAAGTTTGGGTCCTATCGGCCAGCCGAAGGCCCAGAGCCCCCGGGCGTCGCGAGGTCAGGTGCGGCGCTGGCTCACCTGTTTCTCCAGCGGCTCCTTGGCGGAGGGCGCGGGCTTGGGGGAGGGCGCGCGGTCGCAGACGCAGCCCTCCAGCAGGTAGAGCCCCGAGGGCCTGGAGCTCGAGTCGCTTTCGAAGTAGAAGAGCAGGTTCTGCAGCAGCGCGAACCACTTGGTTTGCCATTTTGTGTTGTCCGAACTCCGCTTGCTCAGGTAGCCTTTGCGCGTTCCGTCCTTGCGCGCCAGCAGCCCCAGGGATGCGACATGGCCATCGTTCAGCCGGATCCCCTTCTGCATGGTGCTCGGAGGCCAGCTCGACCCCACGCGCTTACATCTTCCCCGCGCAGCCCCGGCAGCCCCCTGTCTGTGCGCGCCGCGCTCTGCCTCTCTCTGGCGCTGGCTCCTTGTCGCTCTCCCCTCCCCCCAAATGTCTACACTCCGGGAGCTGGCGCCGAGCCCCAGCCACGGCTTCTGCAATCCAGATGGACCATTCCGCTGGCTCCGCAGAGCCCCCAGGGCCCAGGAGATGCCTGGCGACCCTGTCCCCTGGCCCCTGGGAAACTGAGGGAGCGGGGAGCTGCGTGCGCTGGGGAGGGGCAGGCAGAGTCACGTGACGCGGATCCCTCGAAGAGCCCGTTTCAACGGCAGGGACAGGGACACACGCACGCAGCCTGCCAGGCGCAGAGCCAGACAGGCTGTACCTTGGCGCCTCCTCTCTCTCCTGGACACACACCCTGCCCGCCCGCCCCTGGCCTCTCCTCTCCGCTCCCCTTCGGGTGTTAAAAAGTAAATCCGATCTCTTCTCGGGAACCCAGTGCAACCGCAAAGGCTCGCCACCCAGAGTTTGCGCCTTTCGCCCCTTTGCCGGCCGCAGCTGTCATTTTCTCTAAAGGCTTCCTCCGGTTACTTTATTTTCTCATCTGAGGTGGATGGAGGACGGTGGACCTGAGAGCCTTTGGTTCTAATAACCCGATCGCATTCATTTCGGCCTCCAGCCTCGCGCTTGGTGGCTTCCCAGCGACATAAGGACAATGGGGGGGTGGGGGTGAGGTGGAGAGGGGGCGGGGAGCGTTACTTTATTTCGAGTGTTGCCATGATTATGGGTGCTACCCCCAGCGCCCTGGGGTCCGGCTGGCGAGCTGCGGCCCCCTAAGCCTGAGGGCGGGCTCCAAATGCGGGCGCTGGGGACCATGGGAGCCTTCAAATAGCTGCGCTGGCGCAATGATACCTTAATGATAGATTTTCCGTTCTTATTTTTAGCTCCCGTTCGCCTACACAGTTACACGGCATTTATCCGAGAACGTCACAGCGCCGGCTTGCTGCACCCGAGCGCGGGCCCGGCGCGGAGCGGGGAGCGCGCCGTCTGCCGCAGAGACAGCGCCGGACGGGAGCCTGGCTGCAGGGGGGCGGCCCGCGGCCGGGAAGGGAAGGAGGGCGGGAGTCCTCGCAGTCCGGTGCGCCACGGGGACAGGGACGCGCTGCGGAGGACCTGCCCTGCGTTCCTGGGGTGGGGGTGGGACATTCTCGGAGAGCTAGTGGCCGTGTGAACCACAGTCTTTCCTCTGATGTGAGGACCCGGGAGGCTGATCTGTCTTCATGGATAATGAAAGCAAAGAGGCCAGATGGCGAAGCCTCTTCACGGAGTCTTGGTTTCCCCAGAAGGGACCCTGCACGGTGACCACTTTCCTTGTCTCTCACCCTTCATGTGGGAGCAGGAGCAAGGTTCTTCATCCAGGTTCTTCCAAGTGCTTTAGATCAATTAGGTCATGTGATCCTACACCCTCGGGAGTAGGTCCCCCCTTCAGCCCCTTGGCTGCACTGTACCGCCCGGAGCGGGAAACAGGCAGCGAGGGGTTGAGTGACATGCTCAGTCACTCAGCTGGGAAGTGACAGGTGAGACTTGAACTGGGTCTGTCCCCAGGGTCCATGTAGAGCTGAGTGGGTGGTCCCTGGGTTGCAGAGGGATTGGTTTTTGTTGTTGTTGTTAATCCTCACCAAGGATATTTTTCCCATGATTTTTTTAGAGAGAGTGGAAGTGGGGTGAGAAACATCGATGTGAAAGAGATACAACCATGGGTTGCCTCCTGCACGAGCCCCACTTGGGGCTTGGGATCAAACCTGCAATCCAGGTACATGCCCTTGACCGGGAACCACACAATCCTTTGGTGCACAGGCCAGCTCTCTAACCACTGGGCCACACTGGCCAGAATCTCTCCCTTGCACCGGATGCCAGGGTGGGCCTGCATGGAGGGTGCCCCAGCAGAGCCCAGCGATGGCTTGTGAGTCCTGACCTGGTCTGAATCCTAATCTCTGGGGATGTCTCAAAGGCACCCACAAAGGGCCATGACGGTTATATACTTTCATGGGTGACTTTAATGTACAACAAAGTTAAAGACCCAGTCATATGACATGAACCAACTGGGGTCTTTTTGAAACACAGATTCTCATTCTGGGCCAGGGTCTATGACTATTTTTTTGTTTGTTTAATCCTCACCCAAGGATATTTTTCCATTGATTTTTAGATAGAGTGGAAGGGAGGAGGGGGGGAGAGAAACATCAATGTGAGAGAGATACAGTGATCGGTTGCCTCCTGAATGACCCCGACCAGGGCTGGGAATTGAACCTGCAACACAGGCACGGGCCCTTGACTAGGAATCGAACCCACAACCCTTCAGTCCGTGGGCTGATGCTCCAACTGAAACCGGACAACGAATGGGTCTGGTACTTGAGGCAATGAAGCAGAGACAAGGTGGAATTGTTTATGAGCATTTATTCCGATATTGCTGGCAGTGTGGGGGAGCAGTGGGTTATTCTGTAAAATTTGCCCCTCCCCACTCGCCAGCTGCTTTTAAAGGGCAGACAGGCAATGACCACTGAGAAAGGGCAGTTGGGCAGAAAGAAAACAATGGGTACATCGGTTACAGGCAAAGGGGAGGGATGTGGGCAGGGGCCTGGCGGCTGGGGCTGGTCGCCAGGGAGTCACAGTCCTGCGTCCAATGTTCAGTATTCTGATAGATAACCACGTTGTTCATCTTTCCATGATGTCCGGTAGCCTCCTTGTCCTCAGATTAGGAGCAAGGACGGCATTCCTGAGGTCAGCTCCCGAGGGGTACACCTCCCAGCCAGGTCAGAATGGGCTCTTCTTTAACCGGAGCAGAGCAATCATGATTAACGTTGAACAGGATGATGAACGTTCTGCAGAACTACGGCTAGTGCCCCGCTATGATTAGTTCTCTGCTCTGTGATTGTCTCCTGCCCCTTTCCCTTGTGAGGTGCTTCTGCTGGTCTGCAGCCCACACTTGGGAGGATGTGGGGCACTCCGCAGGTGGGAAAGGTGGGGTTCCTGCTTTCCTGCCTCTCTTCTTTCCTTCTCCACATCCCCTCATGCCGCAGTGTTCACAAAACCCCTCGTCTGTGCCAGGATCGTGGCTGGGCCCCTGGGGACACTAACACAGAACAGTCCCTGCTTCATAGAGTTTAGGGACCCAGGGTTCCTTCTCTCAGGCCCCCAGCCTCCTCCCTGGGCCTGGGGAGAGGTTCTGAGGGAGCCGTGAATCAGGATAAGAACTGGATCACCCAGTGGGCCTCAACCCTGGGGTACGTTAGAACCCCCGGGAAAGATGTTAAACATTGGTGTCTCAGATTCACAGTGTCGTTTAACCAGAACCTCTGAGGACGGAACCTGGGCCTCAGTACTTCAGAAAGCTCCCCTGGTCTAAAGCTTGGACAGAGAAAATCCCTTCTCTACACCCCACCCCCACTACTGACACCGGGGGGCTGCCTGGCCCCCTCCTGCTGGTCTTGGAGTGAATCATTCCATATGATTTTAAGTGTAATGCATGCTCTTCATAAAAAAATTAACACAGTCTATAAAATAGATAACAGCTCCTATATACATTTTTGGTATCTAATCTTGATTTTTTTCTTTTCTTTTTTTTTAAATCCTCACCGGAGGACATTTTCCCATTTTTTTGTTCAGGTAGAGTGGGAGGGAGAGAGAGGAACAGAGAGAGAGAGAGAGAGAAACATCGACGTGAAAGGAACACATCGAGTGGCCGCCACCCGCACGACCGACCAGGGCCGGGGACAAACTGCAACCGAAGTACGTGCCCTTAGCGGGAACTGAACCCGGGTCTCTCAGGACCGCAGACCGACGCTCTAACCACTGAGCCAAACCGGCGAGGGCTCTTGATTTTTTTCTAAGCTATTATACAGGGTGTCCCTCCAAAAATGTATACACAAGTTGAATGATTATAACGTCAGTGTTTATTAACATGCAGTTCATTTTCAAAATTTAAAAGAATCTACAGAAATGAATATATATATATATTTTTGTTAGCGCCTGTTTTCAAACGGAGGACCGTTCTGGTCCGGGCACTGCTGACAACGCGAAGCAATAGAACAGCACGCACCAGCACGCGTTGTTTTGTTCGCTGTTGGTGCGCAGTCTCTCTCAATAGCTGCCCTCAATTCGTCGACTATTGCTGGCTTTGTATCGTAAACGTATCTTTTATGTATCCCCATAAAAAGTTTCATGGATAAATTCTCTTTGTTCAATTCTTAGTCTGGCGTCTCCCATTATTTCAAAACAGCTGAATCTGAAAAGGAGAGAAAATTGAGTTATCAGCTGTTACAGTGTGTGTACTTTTGGGGGGGGGGGGGACACCCTGCATTTACCAAGACGGGCCTCTACAATACAGGCTATTTTATAACCTCAGTCTCTCTCCTTACTGAACAGTATGCGGGGACATTTTTTCCCCCTATTACTATAAATTTAATCAACAGATTCTTTATAATTGGGCATTTGAGTTGTTTTCTGAAATTAATGCTGCAATTAATATCTTCATATATACATTTCTCTCCATTAGGCTAAATTCCTGAAAGTGGGGTATCTAGGTTAAAGGAAGGTACACTTGAAATGTCTGTACATACTAACAGATTTCCAGGGAGAGCTTTTACTCCTCCTGTGGATGTGGGCAGTGGGTATCAGCCCACTTCTCCTTGTCAGTCCGAGGTTTTGATATTATCCATCTTTGAAACAGTTGCCCATCTTGTATTCATTTTCATTTCTTTTGTTGCTTGTGAGGTTAGACATTTTAAAAAAATGTTTACAATTGTTCTCATTCATCTTGGGTGGTCTCCCTACTCCCAGCCCAAACCTCACACAGTCCTCTCGGTATCCCCTTCTCTCAGATCATCCGTTAGAGTGTTCTCTCTGCTTCCTCCTGGCCCCAGCCGATTCGGGGCTGGAAGCACATGTAGGAATAACGCAGTCCAGCCCCCTTGTCTTTTGAGGAAAGGTGCTGTGCTCCAGGCCACGGTGAGTTCGTGGCTGGCTCGAGCCAGAGCCCAGGAGTCCGGGGTCAGCATGCCAACCTCGCCTCTCCAGTCCCTCTCCGGACAACAGGTTTGCACCTAGAAGACCAGGATTGCCTTATAAGTGCAGGAGAACGTGGAGAACAAGTCGGAGGTTTACCGCCCCCTTCATTGGAGACCAGCCCAGCTAATCTGATCCTTTGAATCACTTTAGAGGTGGGTGGGGAGGTAGGCATCTGTGCTCTGC